AAGTATTAAAAGAGATAAAGGGATGAAGAAAGCTTCTCTATTGATGAACAAAGTCGGATTCTCCCTTGAAAACTCTTAAAATCAAGTTTATAGAAATGGAAACAATGAAAAGAAAGAACAAGAGTTGAGCGGCGCCTCCTTCTTCTTGGACGATCTCCTAGGGCTTCTCTCCTCTGAACTCTCTTCTCACACGTACACTCTTTGATAATTTTCGGACTCTCTTCTTCAGCGGCTAAAAACATGTATATATGGGCGAAGTCGCGTAGGGTTTTCTTCATGCCGGAAAAGGAAAGTTTCCCGTGAGCAAAGCCTTCTTCTCCACGTCGTGTATGGGCCGACATTGTACCAAGGAAAGCTCCAAACATTAGCCAGGCCTCTTCTCTATTCGATCAAGGCCTTTGGCGCTGCTGCTCGGGCCATTAGACACTCCAAATCCTCCATGGGCTTCGTTTGCTCGCTTACCGGACATGTCTCGGTAGAAAATAAGTCTAGGCCTCATAGTTGATCCAAATGGCTTCATTCCACTTCGACGTGATGCATGACTCAAGTATCTATCTTTCCATATCAAGATCGTAACTTTTGGACGTCGGGAACTCCTCCGCGCGCGGCCAAACTTCCGAAGCTTCGTTCTGCGCGCTAGCGAGAACTAACACTTGGAGATAAAATGATCTTCTTGACTTGGAAACTTGCATGGATCTTGATTTAGGCTCTTTTACTCCTTTTTGCATCCTTTTTGATTTTCACCTAGACTTCAAATCCCACAAATACAAGAAAACTACCTCTAAAGGCAAAGAATCTTGCAAAAACCGTTTGAAAACATAGTAATATATAGTAAAATCATGTAAAATATGGTGATATCAACTCCCCCAGACTTAGCCTTTTGCTTGTCCCCAAGCAAACTAAGCAGGAAAAGAGGTTTGAAAACGTGAGAACTCTCAAATCTTTTGGAAATCCAAATTGACTTATGCTTTAGTAATCCACATGAAACAGCATTGGCAAATTTTGAATTAAGAACAAAGTACATACCATGAGTTTTGCGATTTTCCCAAAGCGGTCCACCTCTCCTTGGACAATCCAATTCGCCACCCTTGACTCCTTTCATTTCTAAAGGTGTGGTCTCAACTAGGGAGTATCGATCAGCCGGCTTTAGACTTTACTCATCCCCTTGTTTGGCACTTGTCTTTTTACTCCATGTTTCTCCTCTCTCTCTTCTCACTTCTTTGAGTTGATTCATCCCTTTTTTAGGGTAGCGAAGTATTTTTTTATTCAACTCCTTCTCTTTATTATAGAGGTTTTGCTTGGATCTTCCACAGACGCGAGTATTGATGGTGTTTGCCACCGAATCCCCGGTTGCTTGGATTCATAGGCCTTCCATAGACGCGAGTATTGATGGTGTTTGCCACCGAATCCCCGGTTACTTGGACCTTACGCTTTTTCTTTTAAATTGAAGGGGAGAGAGAGGGAAGCACGAACTCACTAAGACTTTTTCATTTGATGGAGAGGATGAGGAATCATGCCATTTGTATGCCAAGCCCCTAGCTGAGAAGATTAAGTTCATTAAGGGCGGAGTCAAAGATGGATCCTTCTCAAGTCTTTAGAGATGTAGGCGTTTTTGGTAGATCGATCAACTCATAGTGCACCTGTGGTAAGATGTATTGCCAAGAACTGCTCAATGGTCACTTAAACATTAGTACAACCATGGTTAGATCCAAGATAAGGTCATGATTCTCGACAAAAATTTTGACTCAATAAAAACGACTCGATAAAAGGGAAAAATGCAAATGAAAATGCCAAAATGAACAAACATTGTTAGTAATCCCCCCAGACTTAACTTGCACCGTCCCGGTGAAAGCAAATCGGATTAAGAGAGGTATAACATGAAGTTCAAATGAAAAATTGAAAAGAAAAAGGTTTAGGATGATGTTACCAAATGTCGACCAATTTATAATGAAGATCAGTTCCGGTTTGGGTCATTACACTTCTTTAGGCAATATTGGTCGGTGAGTTTTAATTTCAGGCCTTGGTTTCCGCCGGTTTGTGTTTTGGCCGAGATTGGTATATTCGGTCGGCCAAAATGTGGTGCTGTGAACTACAGAACAAACCGTCAAAAATTTCATGACCTATATTGAAATTTCATCGACCAACCTGGTATTTTATGCCTCTGGTGAAGTTTGGGAGCATTTGTACGAGCGGATTGAGACTTCCTTCACAAAATGGTCAAGTCGGCTCCGGGAAGGAGTTTCCTTGGCCATGTGAAGTTTGGCTCGTTCCTTTTCGTTTCTTCCTGCATAAAAGTGTTAGTTAAGCTCAAGAAGAGTTTTCCAACCGGTTGGCGCGCCTATGCCGTGATTTTTTTGTCGGCCATATTGCTTGCGCGCCATCGGCCAGAATGAGCTCCGTCGTCTATCTCATGATCCGTGATGATTTCTCCGTCCTATCTTTTGGATTTGCCGACCAAAGTGATTTTATGGTCGCCTGTGAAGTTTGGTGGACTTTGGTCATTTTATGGTCGCCTGTGAAGTTTGGTGGACTTGGTCACGCCGTTTAGGAGTTGGCCGAGTTGGCTCCTTGTGCGCGTATGGCCGAGAGAAATGTCTGGATTGAATTTCTTCGAAATCCACTCGGGCCAATTGAGATTTTCTTCGACCGAATTGTTTTAATAACCCTCCTGTGTCATTCCCAAGTGGTGGCCGCCTTGTTTCGTGTGATGGCCTATGTATCTCCTTTTAACCTCCCTTTGGCCGCCATATGCATGTTGGTTTTAGGTGGTTGATAGGTTTGCTCTATTTCTCCTTCCTGTCAAATGGTTAACTCCTTGCAAAACACTTGAAATCATGATTAGATGGTTTCTCAGATTGTGATCCTCAAGTGACCAACTTGAAGTTCACAATCCAAGAGATTAAAGCACAAACTATAAATTCTTATTTGGTCTTGGTCAATGATCCAAATTTCAAACTATAGTTCAATCTCTTGTAATTTCAGTGAGCAAATGAGTTTTGACAAGTGATTATGTATTCTTTCCAATCATCAAAAGTAAATCAAGTTAAACCATGAAATATATTTGATAAAGTGCAATGGTTTAAACGATTTTTCAAGTGAAGATCAAGAGTGATTAGAAATGAATACTAGTGAGAGTTTACTTACCTTTTGAAGAGAAACGCCTTGTACAAGGGTGGGCTCATTGGGTGGGACACTTCCATTGTTTGGTCTCCTTTGGGTCTTCATCCTAAGAAAATATTTTTGTATTTTTGTTTGATTTTTGAAAAACTCCTGCAAAATAGAAATAATAGTTAAAAACCATATGGGTTGCCTCCCATAAAGCGCTTTTGTTTTAAGTCATTTAGCTTGACTCCTTTCTTTCTTTCAATCGTGGTGAAGAGTGGCTGAAGGGCAAAGGATCCCTTTAGCTTCTCCATTCTCCGGTTCAGTGGCTCTTGTGGTGGTGTTGTCGCGCCATGATCATCTCTCACATCATCTTTGAAAACCAATGCCTTGGGGAAAAGCTTCATAGTTCTCTCAAGCTTCTCTTCAATGGATTGGTCACCTTTAAGCTCCGAATCTTTTGGTGTAAAGATTCTTATCTTGTGAAAGAGATTAGGTGCACCATTAGTCTCCTCTTCAGCTCCATACTCATCAAAGGTTGGAAGTAAGATGGAGTTGATTTCCTTAAAGACATTTTCATGCCTCGGCTCCAATGTTTTCTTCTTCTCCTTTGGTTTTGGGTAGCGCTCACTCTCTCTTCTTTCTCCATGCAGCATAGCTTCTTTCTTAGGTATGAGAGTGGCTTCTTCTGGTGGTAGCTTGGTCGCACTTGGCACTGACCTGAAATTTACACTTGGGAAAAAGATATCTTGCCGGATGTGGCCAAAAGATAGATGATTCCCAAAGTAGTTTAGGACCGCTCCAGCTGTAGCAAGGAATGGGGTTCCAAGAATCAGTTGATTCCTCTTTGAGCCTTCCCAAATCATGACTTGAAAGTCAGTTGGGACGATCGACCCCCTATTTCCATCATGACATCTTCAAGCATTCCATAGGTTCCATGCACGATAGATCCGCGAACTCGACTCTTATCTTGGGGCTCTTGAATTCCTTGAATCCCAAGTCTTTTGCAAGTGCAAGAGACATTAGATTAACATTAGCACCAGTATCACATAGGCAATCGTGGAGTTGAATGCCATTGATACTTGAAGTTATCACAAACTTCCCCGGATCTTCTTGTTTTTGTAGTGGCTTGCCTTCAAGTCTTCTCTTGTAAGCTCTTCTTGATTCCCAACTGTATCTCTTGATGATAGGATTTGTGTGTGTGTGAATGAAATGAGGTGGAATGCAAACAGGGGTGAATAAAGATGATATGGTATGGTGCAATCACAATCAATCAATTCCTCTTAACCATCATAGTCATTGAAGTATAAGAGGTTATCAATCCAAAATGGGAACTTGTTACTCTTTGAGATATGAAACAACCGAAAGTCAAGCAAGCAGTTATAGATTTGAAGTAACACTAACAACCTAAAAATAATGAAAAGCAGTGCAATAAAAGTAAACAAAGCAGTGAAGTCAGCTCGACCAAGAGCTCGAGTCGAGTAGAGCAAAGTACCAGCTCGATCGAGTTTAGGGACGAGTTGAGACAAACAAAGCTAAAGGTGACGACTTTAACAAGATAAAGAGAGAATTAGGGTTCAAGACAGGGTTTTGCAATCAAAGGAATCTACACTTAATCAATCTAGCTCTTAAAACTCCTTGTATCAAGGCTTCTCTTGATATTGGGCTTCTCAATGCCTAGCCAACCCTTTCCCAAGGTGGAGGCTATCAACCAAGGAATGATCTCAGAAACAGGGGGTTAGCCAGTGAGAATCAAACCTTGGAGGCTATAGGATCATTGCCCAAACTAATCCATCCAACCCCTTAGACCTCTATTGTCTAGAGCAAGAGATATTGGAGCTCTTAGTGGATCTTTTCCAGCGAATGCCATCACTTTCGTGTGGGGAGTCGCCTAAGGACTTACAAGCCAGGGGTAGTGGTCATGTAGCCTTAAGATCTATCCAAAAGAGAGAGAATCTAGATTAAGACCATAAGCTAGAAGGATTAAGCATATGAAACCTCTAATCTATCCCATCTCAAACCCAATGGGTAACTACTCACTACACATGAATGTAAACACAAGCAAATGCAATAAAAGAGACATCATAAGAAAGAGGAGATGAAATTAAACAACTTTTATTGAAATAAGCAAGTGCAAATACAAGAGAGATTATCCAGGATCTAAGATTCAAGAAGCAAGAGCTTCAAGAACACAAAGAGAGGATTAGATCTCTAAAAAGTAAAAGTACAATAAATTAAAAGAAGCTAAAACAAAAGTAATCTAAAGCTTGGTGGTTTTTTCGTGGCTAAGAGCCTTAAATACAAAGAGGATTAGGTTTAGGGTCAAAGGAAAGTCAAGGGGGAAGCAACATTTTTCGGGTTTGACTTTGACTCCCCAGCTCGATCGAGTTGAAGCTTGGCCGGTCGAGTTGAGGAACTCGACCGGTTGGTCGAGTGGACGGTCGAGCTGGTCTTCAAGATGGCTTCTCCCTTCTTCCTTTGCGTATCCAGTTGAGCTGCTTCCATGTGCCAAGTCCCTCCATGCTCCTGTCCCATATGCTCCAGAATGCTCCAAAAGACCTATTTCAAAGGACCAAACATGCATATGTATGCAAATGCAACCTAAAACTAACATGAATGCATAAGAAGAGAAAAGGAACAAGATATGATGCAAATGGAAAGCTAAAACTATGCAAAAGATGCATAAAAGATGTGCTAAAACTATGTAAAATGCAAGTACATCAACACCCCCAAACTTGAACTTTGCTTGCCCTCAAGCAAACAAATAGAACAAGAAAGAGATGAGGTTTGAAAAAGCTGATTCAACACTTAAAAACATGTCCTCAAAAGCGATTTGCTAAATGTCCAACTTAGAGATTCTAGAATGCAACAAGGTGAGAGATATTCATTAAGATTTAACCATGCTTATCAACATCAATCCCACTTCACAGTCACTCAAACAATGCAGCAAATCCCTTTAACATTCATTAAGCAAAAACAGTGAACCAAAAACATGCAAGATCAATCAACTCATTTGGTTTCAAGGGTTTATGGGTTAAGAGACAAAGAGGGTCTCTTTTGTATGGTGGTTTAGTAACAGGGATCTCTCAAGAAAGTGGCTTTGCTTTGGCAGAAGGCTAAGTGTTAGAACCAAAGATGATGCAAGAACAGCAGCTCGAGCCGCCTAATCCTAACTCGATCGAGTTCAACACTTAGAGCTTTTTAGAACAAAATCCTAACTACCCTTTTTGGCATTTCGCCTTTGAAACTGAGGAGCTTTGCTCACTTTTCTTTTAAGAACTTCCTAGGGAGAGGCTTCTTGAGGTAACATCTAGCGGTTTGGGATTTTCTAAACACTTAGGGAACTTTTCTTTCCTTTTTGGACACTTGAGGCTTTGCCTTCTTTTCATTCTACTTAGAACCCTTTTTACTTTCCTTTTTTAACTTCCCAAACCTTTACTAGACCCTTTTTAACACTGCCAACTCCCTGGACTTAACTAAACTCTTTTTCCTTTGGGTTTTTCCCAACTTTTACCACTTTTCTGGTTTTTACACCCAACTCGATCGAGCTCGAGTTGGCACCCCCAAACTTAGCCTGAAAACAATCCCAAGAGAACTAGACAACTAGAACTACTGCCCCTGCCGGTTTAAACACAACACCTTATGCTAAGCAAAGCCAAGAAAGGTTCTCACATTCGCACAAGAGATAATAAGGGGTTTGAAATGAAAAGGCTTAGGTTTAAGGTGTGGTAACTGTCTCAAAGATAGAGATCAGCTATCTGGACAAGCAAAAGGGATATGAAAATGGTAAAGAATGTCCAGATATGTATGTGGTAGCCATGAGTTGAAATCAAATGCAAGCATTGGTAATTAAAGATCAAGTTATGGTTCAAATAGATAGGGAAATGCATCAAATCACAGCAATGGTTGAATGAGATGTGCATGCAGTGATATGATCAAGATAAACATGGTTCTTGCTGCTCAATCAATCTCACCCTAATGCACAAAAGAATCTAAAAACAGGGCACTCAAGAAATCGCAAAAGATGGACAAGTTTTCAAAGTCAAATCAACAATGCAAGTGAAAAATGCAATCCTAAACAAGTCTAACAAATATGAATGCAAAAAGATGAAAATATTTTTGGATTTTTTGAAAATTTTATGATTTTTTTGGTTTTTCTATGCAAAAGATAAATGAAAAACTAAGAACAAAGAAAACAAGGTTAAATCATCTCTTGAACCCTCCCCCAAACTTAAATCACACAGTCCCTTGTGTGAGAAAAATTTAGTGAAAGATTCAAGAGGGCAAAACCAAGAAAAACAAGAACAAATGAAAGAAAATATGAAATGGTATATACAAGGGTTGGTGTTTGGATACCTCAGTGTCCCCCAAAGAACTGGGAGACTAGGTCGTGGTCTGGAGATGGGAGACGGCCATCAGGAGCGCTCCATGCAACTGGGGTTGCCTCTTGCGGCTCACTCGATCGAGCTTGTGGCTCCTCTCCTCCTCTTCTTCATCGTTGAAATGTGTGTGGCTTCCTTGATAAGGATCAAGCAAAACAGGCTGTCGGACATAAGAGGTCGGACTCGATCGAGCTAGAGTTGGACTCGATCGAGCTGCCGATCGAGCTTGTCGTGCGAGCTCAACTGGTGAAGTGTGAATGGCCACAGTAGGTGCATGCACTTCTGGTTGATCAATCTGGACTCCAGGAGCCTCAGCAGCAACAATCTCTTCATCATTCAGCAGTAAACAAAAATCTTCAATGACCCTTTCTTGATCCTCTTCTTCAACAAGTCCTTCTTGAGTGAAGATGACCTTTGCACTGTTCCTTGGGGTTCTGAATAGCTTTACCAGGTAGTTGTCCTTGCTTTGTAGCAGCAGCAACAGAAGAAGCATGATTCTCCAGAGAGTAAACCCTTGTGTTGAGGTTCTCGATCTTAGAGTTTATTTCAGCTAGCTTCTTGCTTGTGTCCACTACCCCATCAGCTTGCCCTTGAAGTAGTTGCTTTAGCATTGCTTTGAGCTCATTCTCTTGTGAAGGTGCAGGCTGGGGCGGTTGGTGGGGGAAGCCTGGTGGGATATTCATTTGTTGTCCAGGGAAAGTGCCTTGTGGTCCTTGGTAATTGTTCTTTTGACCATACCCATGTTGTGGCACCTGACTCGATCGAGCTGCTTGTTGTTGAGGATATACTTGGTCCTGAGGGTTAGCAACATCAGTGTTGCGGTATGACATGGCAGGGTTGGACTTGTAGTTATAGTATCCTTTGTTGTAACCTCCTTGCCCATTGCTCATGTAGCACACCTCAGCAAATTGTGTATCCTCCCCTTCTTGGACTGGTTCCATCTCCTCAGCAGACACAAAGTTGACTTTCTTCATTGTGGACTGAGCTAGGATCAGCTTATCCAACTTCTCATTCAATGCCTTAACATCTTTTCTCAACTTTTCGTCTGACTCGATCGAGTGGTGGGTCGAGCTCCGGTTGGTGCGATCATACTCTTCTCCATAGCTTCCATTTGAGTTAGCTATGTTCTCCACAAGTTGCCAGCCATCATCTACATCCTGGTTGAGGAAGTTCCCATTGCTAGCTGTGTCTAGCATCTCCCTATACCTAGGCAAGCATCCTCTATAAAGAGTGGAGAGTAGGATTCATTGTTGAATCCATGGTGTGGGCACTGACTTGTGTAGCCTTTGAACCTCTCCCAAGCCTCTGCGAATGTCTCATTGTTTCGCTGGATGAAGCTGGATATCTCCTCTAAGCTTGGCTGTGCGACCGGTGGAGAAAAACTTAGCAAGAAAGGCCTTCTTGCATTCATCCCAAGTGGTGATTGTGCCATGGGGCAAGCTCTTCTCCCATTGGTGAGCTTTGTCAGCTAGAGACATAGGAAAGAGTCTCAGCTTGATGGCATCTTCAGAGACACCATTGATCTTTGTCAAATCACAAAGCCTATCAAACTCATCAAGGTGGTCAATGGGGTCTTCACTTGGCAATCCATGGAACATCTTGTTCTGGACAAGGTTGATCATTCCCAGCTTGATCTCAAAGTTGTGGTTCTGCACTGGTGGTGGAACAATCCCTTGTCTCTGTTGGTGGCGGTTTGGAGCATCTCCTTGACCAATCGGTCGAGTTTGCCTAGCTCGACCGAGTCCATTGCCCAAAGGGTTTCCATTCCCCTCTGGTACATCCATTGTATCAGCAACAAGCACCTCAGGTTCCTCTTGTACCCTCTGTGACCTCTGAACCCTCTTTCTACCCGTTGTAAGTCTAGCTCGACCAAGTCTTCAGTTGACCGACTCGATCGAGTTCGCATACACCTGCAAAAAGAGACAAAAACCCAGCAGTACAATAGAACAGGGGTGGTATAGCTTGATCGTCCAAGTGTGTTTGAAACTCAAATGCAACAAAAATATTCCCAAATCGGCAACGGCGCCAAATTGATGATAGGATTTTGTGTGTGTGTGAATGATATGAAATGAGGTGGAATGCAAACAGGGGTGAATAAAGATGATATGGTATGGTGCAATCACAATCAATCAATTCCTCTTAACCATCATAGTCATTGAAGTATAAGAGGTTATCAATCCAAAATGGGAACTTGTTACTCTTTGAGATATGAAACAACCTGAAAGTCAAGCAAGCAGTTATAGATTTGAAGTAACACTAACAACCTAAAAATAATGAAAAGCAGTGCAATAAAAGTAAACAAAGCAGTGAAGCGTCAGCTCGACCAAGAGCTCGAGTCGAGCTAGAGCAAAGTACCAGCTCGATCGAGTTTAGGGACGAGTTGAGACAAACAAAGCTAAAGGTGACGACTTTAACAAGATAAAGAGAGAATTAGGGTTCAAGACAGGGTTTTGCAATCAAAGGAATCTACACTTAATCAATCTAGCTCTTAAAACTCCTTGTATCAAGGCTTCTCTTGATATTGGGCTTCTCAATGCCTAGCGAATGCCATCACTTTCGTGTGGGGAGTCGCCTAAGGACTTACAAGCCAGGGGTAGTGGTCATGTAGCCTTAAGATCTATCCAAAAGAGAGAGAATCTAGATTAAGACCATAAGCTAGAAGATTAAGCATATGAAACCTCTAATCTATCCCATCTCAAACCCAATGGGTAACTACTCACTAAACATAAATGTAAACACAAGCAAATGCAATAAAAGAGACATCATAAGAAAGAGGAGATGAAATAAACAACTTTTATTGAAATAAGCAAGTGCAAATACAAGAGAGATTAACCAAGATCTAGGATTCAAGAAGCAAGAGCTTCAAGAACACAAAGATGAGATTAGATCTCTAAAAAGTAAAGGTACAATAAATTAAAAGAAGCTAAAACAAAAGTAATCTAAAGCTTGGTGGTTTTTTCGTGGCTAAGAGCCTTTAAATACAAAGAGGATTAGGTTTAGGGTCAAAGGGAAGTCAAGGGGGAAGCAACATTTTTCGGGTTTGACTTTGACTCCCCAGCTCGATCGAGTTGAAGCTTGGCCGGTCGAGTTGGTCGAGTGGACGGTCGAGCTGGTCTTCAAGATGGCTTCTCCCTTCTTCCTTTGCGTATCCAGTTGAGCTGCTTCCATGTGCCAAGTCCCTCCATGCTCCTTGTGTCCCATATGCTCCAGAATGCTCCAAAAGACCTATTTCAAAGGACCAAACATGCATATGTATGCAAATGCAACCTAAAACTAACATGAATGCATAAGAAGAGAAAAGGAACAAGATATGATGCAAATGGAAGCTAAAACTATGCAAAAGATGCATAAAAGATGTGCTAAAACTATGTAAAATGCAAGTACATCAACACCCCCAAACTTGAACTTTGCTTGCCCTCAAGCAAACAAATAGAACAAGAAAGAGATGAGGTTTGAAAAAGCTGATTCAACACTTAAAAACATGTCCTCAAAAGCGATTTGCTAAATGTCCAACTTAGAGATTCTAGAATGCAACAAGGTGAGAGATATTCATTAAGATTTAACCATGCTTATCAACATCAATCCCACTTCACAGTCACTCAAACAATGCATTCAAATCAGCAAATCCCTTTAACATTCATTAAGCAAAAACAGTGAACCAAAAACATGCAAGATCAATCAACTCATTTGGTTTCAAGGGTTTATGGGTTAAGAGACAAAGAGGGTCTCTTTTGTATGGTGGTTTAGTAACAGGGATCTCTCAAGAAAGTGGCTTTGCTTTGGCAGAAGGCTAAGTGTTAGAACCAAAGATGATGCAAGAACAGCAGCTCGAGCCGCCTAATCCTAACTCGATCGAGTTCAACACTTAGAGCTTTTTAGAACAAAATCCTAACTACCCTTTTTGGCATTTCGCCTTTGAAACTGAGGAGCTTTGCTCACTTTTCTTTTAAGAACTTCCTAGGGAGAGGCTTCTTGAGGTAACATCTAGCGGTTTGGGATTTTCTAAACACTTAGGGAACTTTTCTTTCCTTTTTGACACTTGAGGCTTTGCCTTCTTTTCATTCTACTTAGAACCCTTTTTACTTTCCTTTTTTAACTTCCCAAACCTTTACTAGACCCTTTTAACACTGCCAACTCCCTGGACTTAACCAAACTCTTTTTCCTTTGGGTTTTTCCCAATTTTTACCACTTTTCTGGTTTTTACACCCAACTCGATCGAGCTCGAGTTGGCACCCCCAAACTTAGCCTGAAAACAATCCCAAGAGAACTAGACAACTAGAACTACTGCCCCTGCCGGTTTAAACACAACACCTTATGCTAAGCAAAGCCAAGAAAGGTTCTCACATTCGCACAAGAGATAATAAGGGGTTTGAAATGAAAAAGGCTTAGGTTTAAGGTGTGGTAACTGTCTCAAAGATAGAGATCAGCTATCTGGACAAGCAAAAGGGATATGAAAATGGTAAAGAATGTCCAGATATGTATGTGGTAGCCATGAGTTGAAATCAAATGCAAGCATTGGTAATTAAAGATCAAGTTATGGTTCAAATAGATAGGGAAATGCATCAAATCACAGCAATGGTTGAATGAGATGTGCATGCAGTGATATGATCAAGATAAACATGGTTCTTGCTGCTCAATCAATCTCACCCTAATGCACAAAAGAATCTAAAAACAGGGCACTCAAGAAATCGCAAAAGATGGACAAGTTTTCAAAGTCAAATCAACAATGCAAGTGAAAAATGCAATCCTAAACAAGTCTAACAAATATGAATGCAAAAAGATGAAAATATTTTTGGATTTTTTGAAAATTTTATGATTTTTTTGGTTTTTCTATGCAAAAGATAAATGAAAAACTAAGAACAAAGAAAACAAGGTTAAATCATCTCTTGAACCCTCCCCCAAACTTAAATCACACAGTCCCTTGTGTGAGAAAAATTAGTGAAAGATTCAAGAGGGCAAAACCAAGAAAAAACAAGAACAAATGCAAGAAAATATGAAATGGTATATACAAGGGTTGGTGTTTGGATACCTCAGTGTCCCCCAAAGAACTGGGAGACTAGGTCGTGGTCTGGAGATGGGAGACGGCCATCAGGAGCACTCCATGCAACTGGGGTTGCCTCTTGCGGCTCACTCGATCGAGCTTGTGGCTCCTCTTCCTCCTCTTCTTCATCGTTGAAATGTGTGTGGCTTCCTTGGCCTTGGTAGCTCGTACTGTCCATAGGGGTTCCATCTACTCCGGGGAGGCTCCTGGTAAGGCATGGGATCGTATTCAAATCCCGGATCCTCGAACTGGGGCTCCTCCTGGTCAGCTCGACCGTCAGCTCGATCGAGTTGAGTTTCCTCTGTTTGGACTCGATCGAGTCCGGTGGTCGAGCTGGAGCGTCTGGCCTTGGAAGTCTTCCTCCTTCTCTGCGTGTTGTCTTCTCCTTCCCTTGGCTCGAAAGAAGAGGCTCTGTGAGGCTCTTGGGCAGGGAGCCTCCTTGGGTGGTGAGGAGTGATCTACTCCTAGGGAAAGTGGGGGCCTTGGACTTCTTCTTGCTTGAAGAACCAGAAACCTTCTTCTCCAAACTTTTGATCTTGCTCACCATCTTGTCCATGGACTTTTGCATCTTCTCAATGGCTTTCCCTTGCCATTTGTTGAACTTTTGGAGAAGTCCAATCCTCTTGTGGGCAGCCACAACAGAGGGGTTCATCCTTGGAGCCTCATACTCCTCAAAGTAATAGCACTCAGGCTCACCCAAATCCTCATCGCGCTCTCGATCCTCAGCTGATCTCAGCTCGATCCTCAGCTGACTCAGCTCGATCCTCAGCTCGATCGAGCTCGATCTCTTCTTCTTGCAAATCCGCTCATGCCCAACTAAGTGTACACAGGGGGTCTGAAGTCAATGTTCTACCCCTAGGACCTGTGGTGAGCTCAGGGTTGGGCAGGAGAAGCTTGGAGGGTCCAGCCAATGGGGTGGGTGAACTTGAATTGGAATCTCCCATCCAACTCCTTGTGCTCAATGAGGAGGTTGGTCTTGCAAAACTTGATGTCCATCCAACCTGGTGGAGTAGACCTTCTCTTGTCAGTTGAACTCCAGCTGCACAAAGATTGGTGTGATGACCCCTCCAACACTAAGCTTTCTTCCTCTTTGGTGCCTAGTGTTGTAAGCTGTGACCTTGTAGGTGGAGCTGCTCAAGGAGAGGCATGAGTTCCCTGCGTGTGCCCTATCTCCTCTGATCTTGCCATCCTTGTGCGTGAGATGATGGGCTTGATTCCCATGTCAAGGAGCTTGACTTCTCCCTCATTGATTGTCCCAGTGGCTTCCTTGCAAAGAAGGTGTTGGCAAGTGCCTTGTGCACATATCTAAGCACTGGGCTCCTGATCTGAGCAGCCTTGGACCTTGAGGAAGAGTACCTCTTCAGCGATTGTAGCCCAAACCTTTGGAGTTCTTCTTCCTTGATGTTCCACTTGGTTACCTTCTCCATAGTGAACCCAAACAGATCTCAAGCTGCCTAAAGGTCACCATCTTCTTCTCTCCCTTTGCCAAGAAGTGATCCCCCAATCCTTGGTCCAAATCAGCTCGATCGAGCTCTCATCAACATGATGACCTCCTCATTGAGCCAAAAACTCACAAGTGAGCTCCTTGTAGACTCCATGCGGTGAGAGAAGAACTTGGCCAAGTGCATGTTCTTGAGCACCAACTCCACATCCTCAAAGATCCAAGCCTTCATGTGTCATCATGTGGGTACTTGGTCTCCACAAAGTCCATGGAGAAGAGAGCATTGTAGTGCTCTTGGTACATGGGGAGCTCATCCTCCTCTTGCTCTTCCTCAGCCTCTTCCATTGGCTCATCTTGGTTCCCTCTTGGTCATCTTCATCAACCAATTGGTTCACCTCTTCTCCTTCCTCTTCACTCTCAGTTCCTCACTCCTTCATTTGGAGAGCCATTTCCTCCTCTTGAACAAGGTTCACTCCAATCTCAAACTCTCCTTGCTCACTCTCACTACTATAGGGTCATTCCTCTTCTTGGTTCTCCTTTCTTCCCTCAGCCTCTCACTCTCAGACTGTTCCTCAGAGTAGACATATCCTCTGCATCAGATTCTTCCATCCTCTGATCCATCTCTCCAAATCGGCTTGCATCTTAAGCCTTCTCTCTTGCATTGCTTGATCACCCTCAACCATTCTCCTCTGTGAAGCGCGGCTTCCCTCACTGTTTGTCATCCTTGTTACTCTGTTTCTTCACTAAAGTACCTGAAATGCATCAAAGATTACAAAGAATTAGAGTTGTAATGATCGGTTTGGTCAACTCGACACTCAGCTCGATCGAGTCAAAAAACTCGAGTGACAAACTCGATCGAGTTGGGTGAAAACAGAGTATAACCAAACCTAATTCAAGTATTAAGAGCTGGAAAGATGCTAATCAATCAAATTGAACCAAGAACAACTAGTAAATGGAACAATGAGCAATTCTAGTGAAAACTAAGCATCTTAACCAATACCAAACTCAAATTCAATCCTTTCAAGCACATGCAACAAGTTTAAAGGCAAAACAGAGGTGAGGTGAAACAAATAACAAGATTATACAGCAGAGGCGAAATATGAGGGCAATTACTCAAGAACAAGTCCACAAGGGACACATGCAATCAAAAATCAAAGGAAACAAGCAATAGTTGAAATCGAGATGGAGAATCAAGGGTTTTAGGGTTCATACCTTGTTGAATGATGGAATTGAAGAGCAGTAAACAAAACCCAAGCAAAACAAAAGATGAACAGAAATCGCAAAAACTTAAGAGAAAAGTTGAAATTCGAAATTTTCTTGTGGTGAAGAGAGAGAGAGAGAGTTTCAGAAATTTTAAGAGTGTGGGAGAGAGAAGTGGGTTCGATCGAGTTATGGGGAAGAGAGTGTTTGAGATGTGTGGTTGAGATTAAAAGATGAAATAAAGAGGGAACAAGAAGCTAGGGATTCTCTGATCAAATTAGGGTAGTGGGGGACCAAAATCAGCTTGTGGGACCCACTCCCTTGACCAAGAAAACGGTTATGAATTTGAAATTCAAAAACTTACCTCGGTCGAGTTGTGTAGCTCGATCGAGTTGCCCTGGTTTCTAGCTCGATCGAGCTATCGGTCGAGCTGGCTCCTTGACACCTAAACTTAACTTATTCAAAGGTTAAAACATAAAGATAGATAGAAATTGCATAAATAGAGTATGTACAAGGATAAACATGGGACTTCCTCCCAAGTGAGCTTGTTTAAGGTCCCATAGCTTGACCTTTACCTTCTTAGGCATTGGTTGAGCTAGTCCCACCATCAAGGGTGATAGTGAGGACTTGAGACAGAAGCTCCTTTAGCTTGGTTGGGTCCCTGGACTGTTCTGAAGTCACCAAGGCCTTGGCTCTAGAGAATGGCCTTGATCTCCCCTTGTACCTTATCTTGTACTCAATCTTCCCATTTTCAAACTTGGTGGGGAACAAAGTCATTGTGAGCTGAGATGGCTTGACTGAAGGGGCCTGAGCTGGTGGATCCTTTCTTTTATCTCCTGGTCTTGCCTTAGAGGCTGCATCCTCCCCTTCTTGTAGAGCCCTTCCTAGTGGCTCATCAAACAAAGCTTGAAGGCTCTCTTCATCAAGCACACAAGGGGCTTGAACAAGTCTCTCAGCTCTTGGCCTATCAGATCGTGGTTTCTCAACTCTAGCCCTCTCAAGACGTGGCTTCTCAATCCTTGGTCCTCTCTCATCCTTATCCTTCCCAACTCTTGGTTCCTTGTCAACCCTTTCCTTCACAACCTTTGTAGCTCCATGACTCTTAGAACTGAGATTGGTACTGTCAATTGTGGCACAAAAGTCTGAACCTCTAGGCTGCAAGCGATATGACACCAAACTATTCACCTTGTGAAGGATCACTTCTTGCTTGTGAAAGTCTATTGAAGCGCCAACTGTACTAAGGAAAGGGGTTCCCAATAACAAAGGCAAATCCTTCTCTTCTTCCATTTCCATCACAGTGAGATCAGTTTGGATGATGCATTCTCCAATTTTCAAGTGATAGTTCTTGAACACTCCAAGAGGAGACTTAGAAGTTGCATCTCCAAACATGATTGAAGTAGTAGGGCGCTGCAAGGCTCCAGCTATGCCTAGCTTCTCTGCCATGGAGAGAGAGATCAGATTGATGCTTGCTCCAGAATCCACTAAGGCATTGTCAATCTCAAGATGCCCAAGTGTGCAAGGGAGAGTGAATTTCCCTTGATCCTTGACCTTTGGTAGGAAGGTGGGTGAAGTAAGCAGGTTGAACTGATGAGTAACATCATAGTCATTGAAGTATAAGAGGTTATCAATCCAAAATGGGAACTTGTTACTCTTTGAGAGTATGAAACAACCTGAAAGTCAAGCAAGCAGTTATAGATTTGAAGTAACACTAACAACCTAAAAATAATGAAAAGCAGTGCAATAAAAGTAAACAAAGCAGTGAAGCGTCAGCTCGACCAAGAGCTCGAGTCGAGCTAGAGCAAAGTACCAGCTCGATCGAGTTTAGGGACGAGTTGAGACAAACAAAGCTAAAGGTGACGACTTTAACAAGATAAAAGAGAATCAGGGTCCAAGACAGGGTTGGTCGAGTGGACGGTCGAGCTGGTCTTCAAGATGGCTTCTCCCTTCTTCCTTTGCGTATCCAGTTGAGCTGCTTCCATGTGCCAAGTCCCTCCATGCTCCTTGTGTCCCTTATGCTCCAGAATGCTCCAAAAGACCTATTTCAAAAGACCAAACATGCATATGTATGCAAATGCAACCTAAAACTAACATGAATGCATAAAAAGAGAAAAGGAACAAGATATGATGCAAATGAAAGCTAAAACTATGCAAAAGATGCATAAAAGATGTGCTAAAACTATGTAAAATGCAAGTACATCAGGAGGTTGATTTATCAGGGAGTGAAACCGACTTCTGGGAGTATTGTGATATCTGTGATTCAGGCTGAGCAGTTGCTAGAGCGAGGTTGTGAGGCGTATCTGGCGACGATTTCTATGTCTAAGTCAGGAGCTGGAGTTGTTATGGGATATATTGAGGTTGTCCAGGAGTTTGAGGATGTCTTTCAGTCACTGAAGGGATTACCACCATCTCGATTAGATCCTTTCACGATTAAGTTAGAGCTGGGGACAACACCAATATCGAAGACGCCTTTGATGTACTTGCATTTTACATAGTTTTAGTACATCTTTTATGCATCTTTTGCATAGTTTTAGCATCCATTAGCATCATATCTTGTTCCTTTTCCTTCTTATGCATTCATAGTAGTTTTAGGTTGCATTTGCATACATATGCATGTTTGGTCCTTTGAAATAGGTCTTTTGGAGCATTTTGGAGCATATGGGACGTGAGGAGCAAGGAAGGACTTGGTGCATGGACGCAGCTCAACTGGATACGCAAAGGAAGAAGGAGGAAGCCATCTTGAAGACCAGCTCGACCACCTACTCGACCATCCGGTCGAGTTCCTCAACTCGACCGGCCAAGCTTCAACTCGATCGAGCTGAGAAGTCAACAGTCAAACCCGAAAAATGTTGCTTCCCCCTTGACTTCCCTTTGACCCTAAACCTAATCTCTTTGTATAAAGGCTCTAAGCCACGAAAAAGACAACAATCTTTAGCTTATTTTGTTTTAGCTTTTCTTTAATTGTATTTTACTTTTTGCAACCTAAGCCTCTCTTTGTGTTCTTGAGCTCTTGCTCTTGAACCTTAGATCTTGGTTATCTTTGTATTTGCACTTGCTTATTTCAATAAAAGTTTTCTTTTTTTCCCTCTTTCATATTATGTCTTTCATTGCATTTGATTGTGTTTACATTCATGTGTAGTGAGTAGTTCCTTTAGGGTCAAGATGGGCTAGATTAGGGATCTTATGCTTAATCCTTCTTGCTTATGTTCTTAATCTAGAAATCTCTCTCTTTTGGACAAACCTTAAGGCTACATGACCACTACCCCTGGCTTGTATGTCATAGGCGATTTCCACATGGAAGTGATGGAAATCGCTTGGAAAAGGTCCACTAAGAGCTCCAATAAACCTTGCTCTCGAAATGGAGTTCATAGGTGTTGGATGGATTAGTTTGAGCAATGATCCTATGCCTCCAAGGCTTGATTCTCACTGGCTAACCCCCTGTTTCTGAGATCATTGCCTTGGTTGATAGCTTTCACCTTGGGAAAGGGTTAGCTAGGCATTGAGAAGCTCAATATCAAGAGATACCTTGATACAAGTTGTTTGAGAGCAAGATTGATTAAGTATAGCTTCCCCTGATTGTAAGACCCTGTCTTAGACCCTAATATTCGCATTAGCTTGTTAAAGTTCCTGCCTTTATCGCTTTTTACTCTAACTCGACCCTCAACTCGATCGAGCTTGGTTACTCTGTTCCCACTCGACTCGAGTCCTTGGTCGAGCTGCTTGCTTTACTGCTTTCTTTACTTTATGCATTGCATTTCTTTTCATTAGGTTGTTAGAGTTACCCCATCTCTTTACTGTCTGCTTGACTTTCTTGTTATTGCATATCTCATAGAGTAACAATTTCACCCTTTTGGATTGATACCCCTTATACTTCAATGACTATGATGGTTAAGGGAATTGATTGATTGTGATTGTGTTTTGCACCATACCATCTCATCTTCAGTACTGTCAATTGTGGCACAAAAGTCTGAACCTCTAGGCTGCAAGCGATATGACACCAAACTATTCACCTTGTGAAGGATCACTTCTTGCTTGTGAAAGTCTATTGAAGCGCCAACTGTACTAAGGAAAGGGGTTCCCAATAGCAGAGGTAGATCCTTCTCTTCTTCCATTTCCATCACAGTGAGATCAGTTTGGATGATGCATTCTCCAATTTTCAAGTGATAGTTCTTGAACACTCCAAGAGGAGACTTAGAAGTTGCATCTCCAAACATGATTGAAGTAGTAGGGCGCTGCAAGGCTCCAGCAATGCCTAGCTTCTCTGCCATGAGAGAGAGATCAGATTGATGCTTGCTCCAGAATCCACAAGGCATTGTCAAGCTCAAGATGCCCAAGTGTGCAAGGGAGAGTGAATTTCCCTTGATCCTTGACCTTTGGTAGGAAAGTGGGTGAAGTAAGCAGGTTGAACTGATGAGTAGACTCTTGTAGAACCTCTGAAACTTTATCACTGTTGGCATAACATCCTTGACCATTTGCATTTGATCAAATGCCTCACTCATGCTATCCATAGGAGGCAACTCAATTCCAATCCCACTGAGATCTCTTCTGAACTTGTGAATCACTTCCTTGTGACCTTGACTAAGTAGGCGAGACGAGGAAGCAACGGTTGTAAGGATCAAGCAAAAATTGGTTTGGGACAGAAGAGGTCGGACTCGATCGAGCTAGAGTTCGACTCGATCGAGCTGCCGATCGAGCTTGTTGTGCGAGCTCAACTGGTGAAGTGTGAATGGCCACAGTAGGTGCACTTCTGGTTGATCAATCTGGACTCCAGGAGCCTCAGCAGCAACAATCTCTTCATCATTCAGCAGTAAACAAAACTCTTCAATGACTCTTCTTGATCCTCGTCGATGCGAGCTCAACTGGTGAAGTGTGAAGGCCACAGTAGGTTGCACTTCTGGTTGATCAATCTGGACTCCAGGAGCCTCAGCAGCAACAATCTCTCATCATTCAGCAGTAAACAAAACTCTTCCATGACTCTCTCTTTTTCTGAATAGCTTTACCAGGTAGTTGTCCTTGCTTTGTAGCAGCAGCAACAGAAGAAGCATGATTCTCTAGAGAGTAAACTCTTGTGTTGAGATTCTCAATCTTGGAGTTGATTTCAGCTAGCTTCTTGCTTGTGTCCACTACACCATCAGCTTGCCCTTGAAGTAGTTGTTTCAGCATGCTTTGAGCTCATTCTCTTGTGTAGGTGCAGGCTGGGGTGGTTGGTGGGGGAAAGCCAGGTGGTATTGCATTTGTTGACCAGGAAAAGTCCCTTGGGGTCCTTGGTAGTTGTTTTTGACCATACCCATGTTGTGGGGCTTGACTCGATCGAGCTTGCTGTTGTTGAGGATAGACCTGGTCCTGAGGGTTAGCAACATCAGTGTTGCGGTATGACATGGCTGGGTTGGACTTGTAATTATAGTATCCTTTGTTGTAACCTCCTTGCCCATTGCTCATGTAGCACACCTCAGCAAATTGTGTATCCTCCCCTTCTTGGACTGGTTCCATCTCTCAGCAGACACAAAGTTGACTTTCTTCATTGTGGACTGAGCTAAGATAAGCTTATCCAACTTCTCATTCAATGCCTTAACATCTTTTCTCAATTTCTCATCGACTCGATCGAGTGGTGGGTCGAGCTCCGGTTGGTGCGATCATACTCTTCTCCATAGCTTCCATTGGAGTTGCTATGTTCTCCACAAGTTGCCAGCCATCATCTACATCCTGGTTGAGGAAGTTCCATTGCTAGCTGTGTCTAGCATCTCTATACCTAGGCAAGCATCCTCTATAAAGAGTAGAGAGTAGATTCATTGTTGAATCCATGGTGTGGGCACTGACTTGTGTAGCCTTTGAACCTCTCCCAAGCCTCTGCGAATGTCTCATTGTTCGCTGGATGAAGCTGGATATCTCTCCTCTAAGCTTGGCTGTGCGACCGGTGGAGAAAAACTTAGCAAGAAAGGCCTTCTTGCATTCATCCCAAGTGGTGATTGTGCCATGGGGCAAGCTCTTCTCCCATTGGTGAGCTTTGTCAGCTAGAGACATAGGGAAAGAGTCTCAGCTTGATGGCATCTTCAGAGACACCATTGATCTTTGTCAAATCACATAGCCTATCAAACTCATCAAGGTGGTCAATGGGGTCTTCACTTGGCAATCCATGGAACATCTTGTTCTGCACAAGGTTGATCATTCCCAGCTTGATCTCAAAGTTGTGGTTCTGCACTGGTGGTGGAACAATCCCTTGTCTTTGTTGATGGCGGTTTGGAGCATCTCCTAGACCAATCGGTCGAGTTTGCCTAGCTCGACCGAGTCCATTGCCCAAAGGGTTTCCATTCCCCTCTGGTACATCCATGGTATCAGTAACAAGCACCTCAGGTTCCTCTTGTACCCTCTGAGTCCTCTGACTTCTCTTTCTACCCGTGTGAAGTCTAGCTCGACCAAGTCTTCTGTTGTCGACTCGATCGAGTTCGCATACATGCAAAAAGAATCAAAAACCCAGCAATACAAAGAACAGGGGTGGTATAGCTTGATCGTCCAAGTGTATTTGAAACTCAAATGCAACATATTCAACCCAAATGGCAACGGCGCCAAATTGATGATAGGATTTGTGTGTGGTGTGAAAGATATGTATGAAATGTGGTGGAATGCAACAGTGGTATATAAGATGAGGTGGTAGATGCAAAACACAAACACAATCAGCAATTCCCCTTAACCATCATAGTCATTATAGTATAAGGGGTATCAATCCATATGGGTGAAATTGTCACTCTATGAGAATATGCAATAACCAGGAAGTCAAGCAGACAGAAATTGATAAGGTGGTAACACTAACAACCTAATGAAACATAAATGCAATGCAGTAAGTAAATAAAGCAGTAGAGCAACAGCTCGACCAAGGACTCGAGTCGAGTGGGAACATAGTAACCGAGCTCGATCGAGTTTAGGGTTGAGTTGAAGTAAAAAGCAGTAAAGGCAGGAACTTTAACAAGCTAATGCGAATATTAGGGTCTAAGACAGGGTTTTACAATCGGAGGAAGGCTATACTTAATCAATCTTGCTCTCAAACAACTTGTATCAAGGTATCTCTTGATATTGAGATTCTCAATGCCTAGCTAACCCTTTCCCAAGGTGAAAGCTATCAACCAAGACTTGATCTCAGAAACAGGGGGTTAGCCAGTGAGAATCAAGCCTTGGAGGCATAGGATCATTGCTCAAACTAATCCATCCAACCCTATGAACTCCATTTCGAGAGCAAGAGTTATTGGAGCTCTTAGTGGACCTTTTCCAACGATTTCCATCACTTCCATGTGGAGAATCGCCTATGGACATACAAGCCAGGGATAGTGGTCATGTAGCCTTAAGGTTTGTCCAAAAGAGAGAGATTTCTAGATTAAGAACATAAGCAAGAAGGATTAAGCATAAAGATTCCCTAATCTAGCCCATCTTTGACCCTAAAGGGAACTACTCACTACACATGAATGTAAACACAAGCAAATGCAATGAAGAAGACATAATATGAAAGAGGAGATGAAGATAAACAAATTTTATCGAAATAAGCAAATGCAAATACAGAAAGATAGAGCCAAGATCTAAGATTAAAGAGCAAGAGCTCAAGAACACAAAGAGTGGCTAGGGTTTTGCAAAAAGTAAAGACAATAAAATAAAAGAAAGCTAAAACAGAATTAAGCTAAAGATTGTTGGTTTTTTCGTTTAGCCTTTAAATACAAGAGGATTTAGGTTTAGGTTGAGCTGCGTCCATGCACCAAGTCCTTCCTTGCTCCTCACGTCCCATATGCTCCAAAATGCTTCAAAAGACCTATTCCAAGGACCAAACATGCATATGTATGCAAATGCAACCTAAAACTACTATGAATGCACAAGAAGAGAAAGGGAACAAGATAAGATGCTAAAGGATGCTAAAACTATGCAAAAGATGCATAAAAGATGTACTAAAACCATGAAAAATGCAAGTACATCAGTGTTCCATAAGACATGAAGGTACAGACATATGCATTCCTCATGCTTACTTGTTTTCCTTGTGGTCTTAGAGCCTTTTCTCATAAATATTTCTTACCTTAGGGATGGGAGAGAGAGAGGAGAGCTGCTTTCAAGGTTAGACAAATCTTATTGAAAATCAAGCAAGGAACTGTCGACATGTATGCCAATCCCCTTGACAAGAGTTATTAAGATTGATTAAGGGTGAGGTTAACTCTAGATTGCTTGGTTACCTTAGAAATTTCGCTGAGCTAGCATGCCGATCCACTATAGGAGCTTCTGTTAGGCTTGTGCCTTCAAGGTCGCGCCAACTATGATCATTCTTCCTTGTGGTATATCTTCTTTATCATTGTGTGGTTCTTAGATTCATGTATCCAGGACTCAAAACAAAACTAGACATTAAGTAAAACTAATTGAAAAGAAAAGATAAGAAAAACACCTTTCATGGGTTGCCTCCCATGCAGCGCTTGTTTTGAGTCGTTAGCTTGATTGATAGGATCTCTTAGTTAAAGATGGGGGTAAGGGCACGGCCTGAGACAAAGTATTTTGGTGCTTGTCTCATCGTGACCTTGAGTGTGGTCTGGTGGTTCTCTTGGGCGGCTTTGGGCAGTGATGAAGTAGGACAGCTTGTTTGGTGAGATGAATGGTATGATCTTGTAAAAGACTTACTTGTCAACATTGGCTAAGGAAATTCGCCTGTTTGGAAGGTCCATGATAGCTCCAGCAGTGGCCAAGAAAGGTCGGCCTAGTATCAAGGGCGTATCACATCCTCCTTTGATGTTCATGACATGAAAATCCACCGGGATCTTGGTATCTCCAATCTCTAGAAGAACATCAACTACAACTCCTCTTGGCTTGGCTATGGTGTGATTAGCAAGTCCAATACTAATCTGAGCAGGTTGTAAGCGTGTGATACCAAGGAGTTTGGCGGTTTGGGTTGGCATGAGGTTGATGCAAGATCCAAATCGCAAAGTGTTCTATCAAAGTAATGACCATTTACTTGACGGTTTGTACTGAATTCTAGATGGCCGAGTGGTAAGGCGGGGGTATAGAGAATTGACCTGGGTCTTCAATTTTGTAGAGGGTTTTGAAGGTAGGCTGAACTTTAGCTTTCTCAAAAAGCTCTTTGATGTCATGTGGTGTCTCTCTGCAGTTGTGGAAGAAGGTGGTGAATGGGTAGTAGCGCTGATATACCTCTATTTTACATGCTTTTTATACTATTTTAGTATTGTTTTCTAATGGTTTTTGGAAGTTTTTCTATCTAAAAAGGTAGTTTTACTGTGTTTATAGTGTCTAGAGTCTAAACAGGTGAAATGATGCATTTTGGAGCAAAACCATAGATTTGGCGCTTCAAGCCGCTCCATACACAAGCATCAACTTTAAGTGGGCCCAGAAAAAGATCTACTCGATGGATTTCATCTAGACCAGTTCCATGCGTGCTCTGAGTGAGTTAACTTTCCAACGCAACTGGAACAGCCTCATTTGGATGAGTAGAAATGGAGTTACAACCAAAAGAGTGAAGACTGGTCCAGGTGGCCCGATCGAGAAACCATCCGGCCACGACCACGACCCGATTATCCGGCCGACCGTCCCGACCACCGTCCGAACGCCGCGGTCGACCCGAAGCCCGTTTTGAAGCCCGTTTCACATATTTTCACGGCCCGGCTTAACCCTAAGCCGCCTCTAAGACCTAGCACTATATATATATAGCTTTTTAGCCTCTTGTGAAAAGAGAGCCGCCCTTGTATTTCGATTTCCTACTCTAAGTTTTATTGCAATCATGTTTTCTTCATCTCTATGTGTGTTTGCTTTGATCATGTCTGAGTAATCCACTAGTTAGGTTGCTAGGGTTACTATTCAATGAGTTGCTTGCATGATCTTTGATTTCAATGATTAGCTAGGGATTATATTAGAGTCTTTGTCTCGTCTTGTGCACTTAACTAATGCTGATTGCTTTACCGCGCATCTAGTAATCCGATCTTAGGTTGATTTGAGCCTCGACAGTGTTGTATCATTCGCCGGACATATTCTTTGACAAGCTAGGTTTCTTAGACTGCGAAAGTTGATCTACTATAATCTAGTGAACTGTATCAGAACCTATTCATTCTAAAGCTTGATTTAATCACCTAGGGACATACCAAAAGTTTAGCGACTAGGTAGATTAACAAAGGAGCCGGAGCCTCGAAAGTGGAATGGTTTTATATTCGTGATCTGTGTTCTAGACGGTTCTTAATATCCCAACATCCCTAATCAATTCATCTATCATTGTTTCATTGATCATTGCTTGCTTCTCTGCGATTAGCCCCTGTTGACCTAGCGCTTTTCCTTATTGATTTACAACCTCGTTATACTTGCTAGTTCGGTTCACCATTACAACCTCAATCATACTTTTGTTTTAGCTTGATCCAAAATCCATAGTTTCAAAGTGTACTCAATAGCCAGTCCTTGTGTTCGATACCCATACTTCCGCGATCTGTGCACTTGCAGAGGTCTAGGAGTTTGGTAAAACCTGACTCCACATCAAGTTTTTGGCGCCGTTGCCGGGGACTGCAGCAGTACCTTTGGAACTCGACTAGGATCTAGTCTAGAACCTTTTCCTGTTTTGCTTTCTTTTGCTTTTGAATTTTCAGTTTTTGATTTCCTTTTCTTTGATTTTTGCTTTTGTTTTTGTTTTTCCCTTTTGATTTACTTGTTTCCAAGACTCTTTTCAGGTGCATGACTAGGAGGTCCAACAAGGACAACCTAGTTGAACATCCAGAGATAGACAAGCTTGAGAAGCAACTTAGGAAGCAAAAGCCCAAGAGATGGCCGACGAAGCAGCTCGCGCTCACGCCGCTGAAGTGGCGCGCGCTAATGAAGAAGGAAGAGATCCACCTCCTCCTCCTCCTAATCCACAAGATCCTGCTGGAGATGTGAATGTGCAACCTCAAGCAGGCATCCAAACAATCGGAGACTATGACTCTGCCGATGCTTTCTTCACGGATAGAAACCCTATCCATCCACCACTTCCTGCAAGGAATGACTATGAGATCAAGCCTCAGATCATAGCATTGGTTAGACAGAACCAATTCAATGGCCTTCCAGCCGAGCATCCTCTTGATCACATAGAAAACTTTGAAGAGATTTGCAGCACTACTAGATCCAATGGAGTCTCAGCTGACTACTTGAAGTGCAAGCTCTTTTCATTCTCTCTTGGCGACAAAGCTTCAAGATGGTTGAAGTCTCTGCCAGCTCACTCCATTACCACTTGGGATGAGTACAAGGCCGCATTCATCAACCACTTCTACACCAAGCAAAGATCAGTTTCTGTAAGGAACAAGATCTCCAACTTTCGCCAAGCCAACAATGAATCTTTCTATGAGGCGCTAGACCGATTCAAGGAGTACATTAGGGACTGCCCTAATCATGGTTTCAATGAGGGAAACCTATGGAACATCTTCTATCGTGGCATAGACCACAAGTACAAGCTTTCATTGGACACTGCAAGCAATGGAAACTTCATGACCAAGACTGTTGATGAAGCTAAGGTTCTTATTGAGAATCTTGCAGCTAGTGATTGTAACAACTGTCCTGATTATGACCGCTCAAGCCGCACCACTACTAGCTCCCCTGATTCTTTTCAAATGACTGAACTCAAGAACATGATGGCTCAAGTTCTTAAGGGACAGCTCAAGCATATCAATGCAATAGAAGGGATGAGTGATGCGAATGAAGACTGATGATAGGATTTTATGGATGTGATAAGATATGAGGTGGAATGCAAACAGTGGTGAATAAAGATGAAATGGTATGGTGCAATCACAATCAATCAATTCCTCTTAACCATCATAGTCATGTAGTATAAGAGGTTATCAATCCAAAATGGGAAACTTGTCACTCTATGAGAATATGAAACACAAGAAAGTCAAGCAAGCAGTAAAGATTTGGTAACACTAACAACCTAAAAACAGAAATGAAATGCAAAAGTAAATAAAGCAGTAGAGCAACAGCTCGACCAAGGACTCGAGTCGAGTGGAACAGAGTACCAGCTCGATCGAGTTTAGGGTCGAGTTGAAGAAAAAGCATAAAGGCAGCGACTTTAACAAGCTAAAGAGAAATTAGGGTTCAAGACAGGGTTTTGCAATCAGAGGAATCTACACTTAATCATCTGCTCTTAAAACTCCTTGTATCAAGGCTTCTCTTGATATTGGGCTTCTCAATGCCTAGCCAACCCTTTCCCAAGGTGAAAGGCTATCAACCAAGGAATGATCTCAGAAACAGGGGGTTAGCCAGTGAGAATCAAACCTTGGAGGCCATAGGATCATTGCCCAAACTAATCCATCCAACCCCTTAGACCTCTATTTCTAGAGCAAGAGATATTGGAGCTCTTAGTGGATCTTTTCCAGCGATTTCCATCACTTCCATGTGGAGAATCGCCTAAGGACATACAAGCCAGGGGTAGTGGTCATGTAGCCTTAAGATCTATCCAAAAGAGAGAGAATCTAGATTAAGACCATAAGCTAAGAAGGATTAAGCATATGAAACCTCTAATCTATCCCATCTCAAACCCTAATGGGTAACTACTCACTACACATGAATGTAAACACAAGCAAATGCAATAAAAGAGACATCATAAGAAAGAGGAGATGAAATTAAACAACTTTTATTGAAATAAGCAAGTGCAAATACAAAGAGATTATCCAGGATCTAGGATTCAAGAAGCAAGAGCTTCAAGAACACAAAGATGGGATTAGAGCTCTAAAAAGTAAAAGACAATAAATTAAAAGAAACTAAAACAAAAGTAATCTAAAGCTTGGTGGTTTTTTCGTGGCTTAGCCTTTAAATACAAGAGGATTAGGTTTAGGGTCAAAGGAAAGTCAAGGGGGAAGCAACATTTTTCGGGTTTGACTGTTGACTTCTCAGCTCGATCGAGTTGAAGCTTGGCCGGTCGAGTCGAGTGGACGGTCGAGCTGGTCTTCAAGATGGCTTCTCCCTTCTTCCTTTGCGTATCCAGTTGAGCTGCGTCCATGTGCCAAGTCCCTCCATGCTCCTCATGTCCCATATGCTCCAGAATGCTCCAAAAGACCTATTTCAAAGGACCAAACATGCATATGTATGCAAATGCAACCTAAAACTACTATGAATGCATAAGAAGAGAAAAGGAACAAGATATGATGCAAATGGATGCTAAAACTATGCAAAAGATGCATAAAAGATGTACTAAAACTATGTAAAATGCAAGTACATCAACACCCCCAAACTTGAACTTTGCTTGCCCTCAAGCAAACAAATAGAACAAGAAAGAGATGAGGTTTGAAAAAGCTGATTCAACACTTAAAAACATGTCCTCAAAAGCGATTTGCTAAATGTCCAACTTAGAGATTCTAGAATGCAACAAGGTGAGAGATATTCATTAAGATTTAACCATGCTTATCAACATCAATCCCACTTCACAGTCACTCAAACAATGCATTCAAATCAGCAAATCCCTTTAACATTCATTAAGCAAAAACAGTGAACCAAAAACATGCAAGATCAATCAACTCATTTGGTTTCAAGGGTTTATGGGTTAAGAGACAAAGAGGGTCTCTTTTGTATGGTGGTTTAGTAACAGGGATCTCTCAAGAAAGTGGCTTTGCTTTGGCAGAAGGCTAAGTGTTAGAACCAAAGATGATGCAAGAACAGCAGCTCGAGCCGCCTAATCCTAACTCGATCGAGTTCAACACTTAGAGCTTTTTAGAACAAAATCCTAACTACCCTTTTTGGCATTTCGCCTTTGAAACTGAGGAGCTTTGCTCACTTTTCTTTTAAGAACTTCCTAGGGAGAGGCTTCTTGAGGTAACATCTAGCGGTTTGGGATTTTCTAAACACTTAGGGAACTTTTCTTTCTTTTTGACACTTGAGGCTTTGCCTTCTTTTCATTCTACTTAGAACCCTTTTTACTTCCTTTTTTAACTTCCCAAACCTTTACTAGACCCTTTTTACACTGCCAACTCCCTGGACTTAACTAAACTCTTTTTCCTTTGGTTTTTCCCAACTTTTACCACTTTTCTGGTTTTTACACCCAACTCGATCGAGCTCGAGTTGGCACCCCCAAACTTAGCCTGAAAACAATCCCAAGAGAACTAGACAACTAGAACTACTGCCCCTGCCGGTTTAAACACAACACCTTATGCTAAGCAAAGCCAAGAAAGGTTCTCACATTCGCACAAGAGAAAATGGGGTTTGAAATGAAAAGGCTTAGGTTTAAGGTGTGGTAACTGTCTCAAAGATAGAGATCAGCTATCTGGACAAGCAAAAGGGATATGAAAATAGGTAAAGAATGTCCAGATATGTATGTGGTAGCCATGAGTTGAAATCAAATGCAAGCATTGGTAATTAAAGATCAAGTTATGGTTCAAATAGATAGGGAAATGCATCAAATCACAGCAATGGTTGAATGAGATGTGCATGCAGTGATATGATCAAGATAAACATGGTTCTTGCTGCTCAATCAATCTCACCCTAATGCACAAAAGAATCTAAAAACAGGGCACTCAAGAAATCGCAAAAGATGGACAAGTTTTCAAAGTCAAATCAACAATGCAAGTGAAAAATGCAATCCTAAACAAGTCTAACAAATATGAATGCAAAAAGATGAAAATATTTTTGGATTTTTTGAAAATTTTATGATTTTTTTGGTTTTTCTATGCAAAAGATAAATGAAAAACTAAGAACAAAGAAAACAAGGTTAAATCATCTCTTGAACCCTCCCCCAAACTTAAATCACACAGTCCCTTGTGTGAGAAAAATTTAGTGAAAGATTCAAGAGGGCAAAACCAAGAAAAAAAAAACAAAGAAAATATGAAATGGTATATACAAGGGTTGGTGTTTGGATACCTCAGTGCCCCCCAAAGAACTGGGAGGCAAGGTCGTGGTCTGGAGATGGTAGACGGCCATCAGGAGCACTCCACTCGACTGGGTTCCTCACTCGATCGAGCTTGCGGCTCCTCTTCTTCCTCTTCTTCATCGAAGTGTGTGTGGCTCCTTGGCCTTGGTGGAAGCGGTTGTAGGGAGTCCAGGGTCTGGAGAAGTCCTTGGTAGGCGTTGGATCGTACTCGAATCCGGATCCTCAAACAGGGGCTCCTCCAGGTCAACTCGACCTCAGCTCGATCGAGTTGAGTTTCCTCTGTTTGGACTCGATCGAGTCCGGTGGTCGAGCTGGAGCGTCTGGCCTTGGAAGTCTTCCTCCTTCTCTGCGTGTTGTCTTCTCCTTCCCTTGGCTCGAAAGAAGAGGCTCTGTGAGGCTCTTGGGCAGGGAGCCTCCTTGGAGTGGTGAGGAGTGATCTACTCCTAGGGAAAGTGGGCCATGGGTGCCTTCTTCTTCTTGCTTGAAGAACCAGAAACCTTCTTCTCCAAACTCTTGATCTTGCTCACCATCTTGTCCATGGACTTTTGCATCTTTCCATGGCTTTCCCTTGCCATTTGTTGAACTTTTGGAGAAGTCCAATCCTCTTGTGGGCAGCCACAACAGAGGGGTTCATCCTTGGAGCCTCATACTCCTCAAAGTAATAGCACTCAGGCTCACCCAAATCCGCGCTCTCCTGGCTCGATCCTCAGCTCGATCGAGCTCAGGCTCCTCTTCTCGCAAATCATCCTCATGCCCAACTAATGTGTACACAGGGGGTCTGAAATCAATGTTCTCACCCCTTACTACTGTGGTGAGCTCTGGGTTGGGCAGGAGAAGCTTGGAGGGTCCAACCAATGGATGTGTGAACTTGAATTGGAACCTCCCATCCAACTCCTTGTGCTCAATGAGAAGGTTGGTCTTGCAAAACTTGATGTCCATCCAACCTGGTTCAGTGGCTCTCTATCAGTTGGGTTCACTCCAGCAGCACACAAGATAGGTGTGATGAGCCCTCCAACACTTAGCGCCTTCCCTCGTTGATGTCTAGTGTTGTAGGCTGTGATCTTGTAGGTGAGGAGATGGTCAAGGAAAGGCATCAAGTTCCCTGTGTGATCTATCTCCCCTGATCCTCTTGCCATCGCTTGTGCGTGAGAGAATGGGCTTGATTCCCATGTCAAGAAACTTGAGTTCCCCCTCGTTGATTGTCCCGGTGCCTTCCTTGCAAAGAAGGTGTTGGCAAGTGCCTTGTGCACATATCTCAAGACTGGGCTCCTGATCTGAGCTGCCTTGGACCTTGAGGAAGAGTACACTCCATCAGCGATTGTAGCCCAAACCCTTTGGAGTTCCTTTTCCTTGAAGTTCCACTTTACCTTCTCCATAGTTGAACCCAAACAAGATCTCCAAGCTGCCTAAAGGTCACCATTCTCTTCTCTCCCTTAGCCAAGAACGTGATCCATCCCAATCCTTGGTCCAAATCAGCTCTATCTTCCTCTCATACATGTGGTACCTCATTGAAGCTAAGAACTCGCAAGTGAGCTCCTTGTAGGATTCCATGTGATAAGAGAAAACTTGGCCAAGTGCATGTTCTTGAGACCAACTCCACATCTTCAAAGATTCCAAGGGCCTTCATGTGTCAACATGTGGGTACTTGGTCTCCATGAAGTCCATGGAGAAGAGAGCATTGTAGTGCTCTTGGTACATGGGGAGCTCATCCTCTTCCTCTGTTCAGCCTCCTCCATGGCATTCTCTTGGTTCTCTTGCTCACTTCTCAACTCTTGATTCACCTCTTCTCCTTCCTCTTCACTCTCAGTCTCATCACTTCCTTCTTCACTTGGAGAGCCATTTCCCTCCTCTTGAACAAGGTTCACTCCAATCTCAAACTCCCCTTGCTCACTCTCACTACTAATGGGTCATTCCTCTTCTTGGTTCTCCTTTCCTCCCTCAATCTCTCCTCTCAGACCTCCTCAGAGAGACACCCTCTGCATCAGACTCTTCCATCCTCTGTTTCTCTTCTCCAAATCCTTGCATCTTAAGCCTCTCTTTCTTGCTTGCTTCCTCCCTTCTTCTGTGAAGCTGCGCTTCCCTCACTCTCAACATCTTGAACTGTTCTTCACTAAAGTACCTGAAATGCATCAAAATTACAAAGAATTAGAGTTGTAATGATCGGTTTGGTCAACTCGACACTCAGCTCGATCGAGTCAAAAAACTCGAGTGACAAACTCGATCGAGCTAGGTGAAAACAGAGTATAACCAAACCTAATTCAAGTATTAAGAGCTGGAAAGGATGCTAATCAATCAAATTGAACCAAGAACAACTAGTAAATGGAACAATGAGCAATTCTAGTGAAAACAAGCACCTTAACCAATACCAAACTCAAATTCAATCAAGCACATGCAACAAGTTTAAGGCAAAACAGAGGTGAGGTGAGGCAAATTCACAAGATTATACAAATAGAGCGAAAATGAAAGCAATTACTCAAGAACAAGTCCACAAGGGACACATGCAATCAAAAATCAAAGAGAAACAAGCAATAAGGAAATCGAGATGGAGGAATCAAGGGTTTTAGGGTTCATACCTTGCTTGAATGATGGAAGAAACAGTAAACTAGAACTAAAGCAAAACAAGATGAAGAACAAGAAATCGCAAAAACTTAAGAGAGAAAGAGGAAATTCGATTTTTCTTGTGGTGAAGAGAGAGAGAGATGGTTTCAGAAATTTAGTGTGGGAGAGAGGAGGTGGATTCGATCGAGTTATGGGGAAGAGGGAGTGTTTGAGATGTGTGGTTGAGATTAAAAGTGAAATAAAGAGGGAACAAAAGCTAGGGATTTCTGATCAATTAGGGTAGTGGGGGACCAAAATCAGCTTGTGGGACCCACTCCCTTGACCAAGAAAACGGTTATGAATTTGAAATTCAAAAACTTACCTCGGTCGAGTTGTGGAACTCGATCGAGTTGCCCTGGTTTCTAGCTCGATCGAGCTGTCGGTCGAGCTGGCTCCTTTGACACCTAAACTTAACTTATTGAAAGGTTAAAACACAAAATAGATAGAAATTGCATAAATAGATATGTACAAGGATAAACATGGGACTTCCTCCCAAGTGAGCTTGTTTAAGGTCCCATAGCTTGACCTTTACCTTCTTAGGCATTGGTTGAGCTAGTCCCACCATCAAGGGTGATAGTGAGGACTTGAGACAGAAGCTCCTTTAGCTTGGTTGGGTCCCTGGACTGTTCTGAAGTCACCAAGGCCTTGGCTCTAGAGAATGGCCTTGATCTCCCCTTGTACCTTATCTTGTACTCAATCTTCCCATTTTCAAACTTGGTGGGGAACAAAGTCATTGTGAGCTGAGATGGCTTGACTGAAGGGGCCTGAGCTGGTGGATCCTTTCTTTTATCCCTGGTCTTGCCTTAGAGGCTGCATCCTCCCCTTCTTTTAGAGCCCTTCCTAGTGGCTCATCAAACAAAGCTTGAAGGCTCTCTTCATCAAGCACACAAGGGGCTTGAACAAGTCTCTCAGCTCTTGGCCTATCAGATCGTGGTTTCTCAACTCTAGCCCTCTCAAGACGTGGCTTCTCAATCCTTGGTCCTCTCTCATCCTTATCCTTCCCAACTCTTGGTTCCTTTGTCAACCCTTTCCTTCACAACCTTTGTAGCTCCATGACTCTTAGAACTGAGAGTGGTACTGTCAATTGTGGCACAAAAGTCTGAACCTCTAGGCTGCAAGCGATATGACACCAAACTATTCACCTTGTGAAGGATCACTTCTTGCTTGTGAAAGTCTATTGAAGCGCCAACTGTACTAAGGAAAGGGGTTCCCAATAACAGAGGTAATCCTTCTCTTCTTCCATTTCCATCACAGTGAGATCAGTTTGGATGATGCATTCTCCAATTTTCAAGTGATAGTTCTTGAACACTCCAAGAGGAGACTTAGAAGTTGCATCTCCAAACATGATTGAAGTAGTAGGGCGCTGCAAGGCTCCAGCAATGCCTAGCTTCTCTGCCATGGAGAGAGAGATCAGATTGATGCTTGCTCCAGAATCCACTAAGGCATTGTCAATCTCAAGATGCCCAAGTGTGCAAGGGAGAGTGAATTTCCCTTGATCCTTGACCTTTGGTAGGAAGGTGGGTGAAGTAAGCAGGTTGAACTGATGAGTAGACTCTTGTAGGACCTCTGAAACTTTATCACTGTTGGCTAGAACATCCTTGACCATTTGCATTTGATCAAATGCCTCACTCATGCTATCCATAGGAGGCAACTCAATTCCAATCCCACTGAGATCTCTTCTGAACTTGTGAATCACTTCCTTGTGACCTTGACTAAGTAGGCGAGACGAGGAAGCGGCAACCGGTTGGTAAGGATCAAGCAAAACAGGCTTCGGACAGAAGAGGTCGGACTCGATCGAGCTAGAGTTGGACTCGATCGAGCTGCCGATCGAGCTTGTCGTGCGAGCTCAACTGGTGAAGTGTGAATGGCCACAGTAGGTGCATGCACTTCTGGTTGATCAATCTGGACTCCAGGAGCCTCAGCAGCAACAATCTCTTCATCATTCAGCAGTAAACAAAAATCTTCAATGACCCTTTCTTGATCCTCTTCTTCAACAAGTCCTTCTTGAGTGAAGATGACCTTGCACTGTTCCTTGGGGTTCTGAATAGCTTTACCAGGTAGTTGTCCTTGCTTTGTAGCAGCAGCAACAGAAGAAGCATGATTCTCCAGAGAGTAAACCCTTGTGTTGAGGTTCTCGATCTTAGAGTTTATTTCAGCTAGCTTCTTGCTTGTGTCCACTACCCCATCAGCTTGCCCTTGAAGTAGTTGCTTTAGCATTGCCTTGAGCTCATTCTCTTGTGAAGGTGCAGGCTGGGGCGGTTGGTGGGGAAGCCTGGTGGGATATTCATTTGTTGTCCAGGGAAAGTGCCTTGTGGTCCTTGGTAATTGTTCTTTTGACCATACCCATGTTGTGGCACCTGACTCGATCGAGCTGCTTGTTGTTGAGGATATACTTGGTCCTGAGGGTTAGCAACATCAGTGTTGCGGTATGACATGGCAGGGTTGGACTTGTAGTTATAGTATCCTTTGTTGTAACCTCCTTGCCCATTGCTCATGTAGCACACCTCAGCAAATTGTGTATCCTCCCCTTCTTGGACTGGTTCCATCTCCTCAGCAGACACAAAGTTGACTTTCTTCATTGTGGACTGAGCTAGGATCAGCTTATCCAACTTCTCATTCAATGCCTTAACATCTTTTCTCAACTTTTCGTCTGACTCGATCGAGTGGTGGGTCGAGCTCCGGTTGGTGCGATCATACTCTTCTCCATAGCTTCCATTTGAGTTAGCTATGTTCTCCACAAGTTGCCAGCCATCATCTACATCCTGGTTGAGGAAGTTCCCATTGCTAGCTGTGTCTAGCATCTCCCTATACCTAGGCAAGCATCCTCTATAAAGAGTGGAGAGTAGTGATTCATTGTTGAATCCATGGTGTGGGCACTGACTTGTGTAGCCTTTGAACCTCTCCCAAGCCTCTGCGAATGTCTCATTGTTTCGCTGGATGAAGCTGGATATCTCTCCTCTAAGCTTGGCTGTGCGACCGGTGGAGAAAAACTTAGCAAGAAAGGCCTTCTTGCATTCATCCCAAGTGGTGATTGTGCCATGGGGCAAGCTCTTCTCCCATTGGTGAGCTTTGTCAGCTAGAGACATAGGAAAGAGTCTCAGCTTGATGGCATCTTCAGAGACACCATTGATCTTTGTCAAATCACAAAGCCTATCAAACTCATCAAGGTGGTCAATGGGGTCTTCACTTGGCAATCCATGGAACATCTTGTTCTGGACAAGGTTGATCATTCCCAGCTTGATCTCAAAGTTGTGGTTCTGCACTGGTGGTGGAACAATCCCTTGTCTCTGTTGGTGGCGGTTTGGAGCATCTCCTTGACCAATCGGTCGAGTTTGCCTAGCTCGACCGAGTCCATTCCCAAAGGGTTTCCATTCCCCTCTGGTACATCCATTGTATCAGCAACAAGCACCTCAGGTTCCTCTTGTACCCTCTGTGACCTCTGAACCCTCTTTCTACCCGTTGTAAGTCTAGCTCGACCAAGTCCTCAGTAGACCGACTCGATCGAGTTCGCATACACCTGCAAAAAGAGACAAAAACCCAGCAGTACAATAGAACAGGGGTGGTATAGCTTGATCGTCCAAGTGTGTTTGAAACTCAAATGCAACAAAAATATTCCCAAATCGGCAACGGCGCCAAATTGATGATAGGATTTTGTGTGGATGTGTGATATGATATGAGGTGGAATGCAAACAGTGGTGAATAAAGATGATGGTATGGTGCAATCACAATCAATCAATTCCTCTTAACCATCATAGTCATGTAGTATAAGAGGTTATCAATCCAAAATGGGAAACTTGTCACTCTATGAGAATATGAAACAACCAGAAGTCAAGCAAGCAGTAATAGATTTGAAGTAACACTAACAACCTAAATGAAAAGAAATGCAATGCAAAAGTAAACAAAGCAGTGAAGTAACAGCTCGACCAAGACTCGAGTCGAGTAGAACAAAGTACCAGCTCGATCGAGTTTAGGGACGAGTTGAGACAAAAAAGCTAAAGGTGACGACTTTAACAAGATAAAGAGAGAATTAGGGTTCAAGACAGGGTTTTGCAATCAAAGGAATCTACACTTAATCAATCTAGCTCTTAAAACTCCTTGTATCAAGGCTTCTCTTGATATTGGGCTTCTCAATGCCTAGCCAACCCTTTCCCAAGGTGAGGCTATCAACCAAGGAATGATCTCAGAAACAGGGGGTTAGCCAGTGAGAATCAAACCTTGGAGGCCATAGGATCATTGCCCAAACTAATCCATCCAACCCCTTAGACCTCTATTTCTAGAGCAAGAGATATTGGAGCTCTTAGTGGATCTTTTCCAGCGAATGCCATCACTTCGTGTGGGGAATCGCCTAAGGACTTACAAGCCAGGGGTAGTGGTCATGTAGCCTTAAGATCTATCCAAAAGAGAGAGAATCTAGATTAAGACCATAAGCTAGAAGGATTAAGCATATGAAACCTCTAATCTATCCCATCTCAAACCCTAATGGGTAACTACTCACTACACATGAATGTAAACACAAGCAAATGCAATAAAAGAGACATCATAAGAAAGAGGAGATGAAATTAAACAACTTTTATTGAAATAAGCAAGTGCAAATACAAAGAGATTATCCAGGATCTAGGATTCAAGAAGCAAGAGCTTCAAGAACACAAAGATGGGATTAGAGCTCTAAAAAGTAAAAGACAATAAATTAAAAGAAACTAAAACAAAATAATCTAAAGCTTGGTGGTTTTTTCGTGGCTTAGAGCCTTTAAATACAAGAGGATTAGGTTTAGGGTCAAAGGAAAGTCAAGGGGGAAGCAACATTTTTCGGGTTTGACTGTTGACTTCTCAGCTCGATCGAGTTGAAGCTTGGCCGGTCGAGTTGAGGAACTCGACCGGTTGGTCGAGTAGACGGTCGAGCTGGTCTTCAAGATGGCTTCTCCCTTCTTCCTTTGCGTATCCAGTTGAGCTGCGTCCATGTGCCAAGTCCCTCCATGCTCCTTGTCCCATATGCTCCAGAATGCTCCAAAAGACCTATTTCAAAGGACCAAACATGCATATGTATGCAAATGCAACCTAAAACTAACATGAATGCATAAGAAGAGAAAAGGAACAAGATATGATGCAAATGGAGCTAAAACTATGCAAAAGATGCATAAAAGATGTGCTAAAACTATGTAAAATGCAAGTACATCAAGGGGTCATTACACCAATCCTTTGTGCAGCTGAGATCCATTTAGACAAGAGGAAGGCAACTCCAGCTGGATGGATGGAAATCAAATTTTGCAAGACCAACCTCCTCATTGACACAAGGAGTTGATGGGAGGTACCAATTCAAGTTCACACACCCCATTGGCTGGCCCTTCCAAGCTTCTCTGCCCAACCCTGAGCTCACCACAGTTGTAGAGGACAACATTGACTTCAGACCCCCTGTACACATTAGTTGGGCATGAAGATGAGTTGCGAGAAGAGGAGCCTGAACTCGATCGAGCTGAGGATCGAGTTGAGGACCAGCCCAAATGAATGCGGATTTGGGTGAGCCTGAGTGCTACTATTTTGAGGAGTATGAGGCTCCAAGGATGAACCCCTCTGTTGTGGCTGCCACAAGAGGATTGGACTTCTCCAAAGGTTCAACAAGTGGCAAGGGAAAGCCATGAGAAAGATGCAAAAGTCCATGGACAAGATGGTGAGCAAGATCAAGAAGTTTGGAGAAGAAGTCTCTGGTTCTTCAAGCAAGAAGAAGAAAGTCCAAGGCTCCACATTCCCTAGGAGTAGATCTCTTCTCACCACTCCAAGGAGGCTCCCTGCCCAAGAGCCTCACAGAGCCTCTTCATTTGAGCCAAGGGAAGGAAGAAACAACACGCAGAGAAGGAGGAAAGTTCCAAGGCCAGACGCTCCAACTCGACCAGGACTCGATCAGAGCTCAACTGGTCGAGTTGACCTGGAGGAGCCTTTTGAGACCCTGGATTCGAGTACGATCCAACACCTTACCAGGAGCTTCCTCAGAGCCGCTGGACCCTACAACCGCTTCGAGCAAGCCATGCTCCACCAAGGCCAAGGAAGCCACACCCACTTCGATGAAGAAGAGGGAAGAGGAGCCGCAAGCTCGATCGAGTGAGGAACCCAGTCGAGTGGAGTGCTCCTGATGGCCGTCTCCCTCTCCAGACCACGACCTTGCCTCCCAGTTCTTTGGGGGGCACTGAGGTATCAAACAAACACAACCCTTGTAATACCATTTCATATTTTCTTGCATTTTTTTTTTCTTGGTTTTGCCCTCTTGAATCTTTCACTGAATTTTTCTCACACAAGGGACTGTGTGATTTAAGTTTGGGGGAGGGTTCAAGAGATGATTTAACCTTGTTTTCTTTGTTCTTAGTTTTTCATTTCTTTTGCATAGAAAAACCAAAAAAATCATAAAATTTTCAAAAAATCCAAAAATATTTTCATCTTTTTGCATTCATATTTGTAGACTTGTTTAGGATTGCATCTTTCACTTGCATTGTTGATTTGACTTTGAAAACTTGTTCATCATTTGCGATTTCTTGAGTGCCCTGTTTTTAGATTCTTTTGTGCATTAGGGTGAGATTGATTGAGCAGCAAGAACCATGTTTATCTTGATCATATCACTGCATGCACATCTCATTCAACCATTGCTGTGATTTGATGCATTTCCCTATCTATTTGAACCATAACTTGATCTTTAATTACCAATGCTTGCATTTGATTTCAACTCATGGCTACCACATACATATCTGGACATTCTTTACCATTTCATATCCCTCTTGCTTGTCCAGATAGCTGATCTCCATCTTTGAGACAGTTACCACACCTTAAACCTAAGCCTTTTCATTTCAAACCCCATATTATCTCTTGTGCGATTGTGAGAACCTTTCTTGGCTTTGCTTAGCATAAGGTGTTGTGTTTAAACCGGCAGGGGCAGTAGTTCTAGTTGTCTAGTTCTCTTGGGATTGTTTTCAGGCTAAGTTTGGGGGTGCCAACTCGAGCTCGATCGAGTTGGGTGTAAAAACCAGAAAAGTGGTAAAAGTTGGGAAAATCCAAAGGAAAAAGAGTTTAGTTAAGTCCAGGGAGTTGGCAGTGTTAAAAAGGGTCTAGTAAAGGTTTGGGAAGTTAAAAAGGAAAGTAAAAAGGGTTCTAAGTAGAAAGAAAAGAAGGCAAAGCCTCAAGTGTCAAAAAGAAAAGAAAAGTTCCCTAAGTGTTTAGAAAATCCCAAACCGCTAGATGTTACCTCAAGAAGCCTCTCCCTAGGAAGTTCTTAAAAGAAAAGTGAGCAAAGCTCCTCAGTTTCAAAGGCGAAATGCCAAAAAGGGTAGTTAGGATTTTGTTCTAAAAAGCTCTAAGTGTTGAACTCGATCGAGTTAGGATTAGGCGGCTCGAGTTGCTGCTCTTGCATCATTGATGTACTTGCATTTTACATAGTTTTAGCACATCTTTTATGCATCTTTTGCATAGTTTTAGCTTCCATTTGCATCATATCTTGTTCCTTTTCTCTTCTTATGCATTCATGTTAGTTTTAGGTTGCATTTGCATACATATGCATGTTTGGTCCTTTGAAATAGGTCTTTTGGAGCATTCTGGAGCATATGGGACACAAGGAGCATGGAGGGACTTGGCACATGGAAGCAGCTCAACTGGATACGCAAAGGAAGAAGGGAGAAGCCATCTTGAAGACCAGCTCGACCGTCCACTCGACCAACCGGTCGAGTTCCTCAACTCGACCGGCCAAGCTTCAACTCGATCGAGCTGGGGAAGTCAAAGTCAAACCCGAAAAATGTTGCTTCCCCCTTGACTTTCCTTTGACCCTAAACCTAATCCTCTTTGTATTTAAAGGCTCTAAGCCACGAAAAAACCACCAAGCTTTAGATTACTTTTGTTTTAGTTTCTTTTAATTTATTGTCTTTTACTTTTTAGAGATCTAATCCCATCTTTGTGTTCTTGAAGCTCTTGCTTCTTGAATCCTAGATCCTGGATAATCTCTCTTGTATTTGCACTTGCTTATTTCAATAAAAGTTGTTTAATTTCATCTCCTCTTTCTTATGATGTCTCTTTTATTGCATTTGCTTGTGTTTACATTCATGTGTAGTGAGTAGTTACCCATTGGGGTTTGAGATGGGATAGATTAGAGGTTTCATATGCTTAATCCTTCTAGCTTATGGTCTTAATCTAGATTCTCTCTCTTTTGGATAGATCTTAAGGCTACATGACCACTACCCCTGGCTTGTAAGTCCTTAGGCGACTCCCCACACGAAAGTGATGGCATTCGCTGGAAAAGATCCACTAAGAGCTCCAATATCTCTTGCTCTAGACAATAGAGGTCTAAGGGGTTGGATGGATTAGTTTGGGCAATGATCCTATAGCCTCCAAGGTTTGATTCTCACTGGCTAACCCCCTGTTTCTGAGATCATTCCTTGGTTGATAGCCTCCACCTTGGGAAAGGGTTGGCTAGGCATTGAGAAGCCCAATATCAAGAGAAGCCTTGATACAAGGAGTTTTAAGAGCTAGATTGATTAAGTGTAGATTCCTTTGATTGCAAAACCCTGTCTTGAACCCTAATTCTCTCTTTATCTTGTTAAAGTCGTCACCTTTAGCTTTGTTTGTCTCAACTCGTCCCTAAACTCGATCGAGCTGGTACTTTGCTCTGACTCGACTCGAGCTCTTGGTCGAGCTGATACTTCACTGCTTTGTTTACTTTTATTGCACTGCTTTTCATTTTTTTAGGTTGTTAGTGTTACTTCAAATCTATAACTGCTTGCTTGACTTTCTGGTTGTTTCATATTCTCAAAGAGTGACAAGTTTCCCATTTTGGATTGATAACCCTTTGTACTACATCAACTATCATGGTTAAAGGGAATTGTTGACTGTGTTTGTGTTTGCATCTTACCACCTCATCATATACCACTGATTGCATTCCACCATCTCATTTCATATCTTTTCACATCCACACACAAATCCTATCATCAATCATCTTTGGTTCTAACACTTAGCCTTCTGCCAAAGCAAAGCCACTTTCTTGAGAGATCCCTGTTACTAAACCACCATACAAAAGAGACCCTCTTTGTCTCTTAACCCATAAACCCTTGAAACCAAATGAGTTGATTGATCTTGCATGTTTTTGGTTCACTGTTTTTGCTTAATGAATGTTAAAGGGATTTGCTGATTTGAATGCATTGTTTGAGTGACTGTGAAGTGGGATTGATGTTGATAAGCATGGTTAAATCTTAATGAATATCTCTCACCTTGTTGCATTCTAGAATCTCTAAGTTGGACATTTAGCAAATCGCTTTTGAGGACATGTTTTTAAGTGTTGAATCAACTTGTTTTCAAACCTCATCTCTTTCTTGTTCTATTTGTTTGCTTGAGGGCAAGCAAAGGTCAAGTTTGGGGGTGTTGATGTACTTGCATTTTACATAGTTTTAGTACATCTTTTATGCATCTTTTGCATAGTTTTAGCATCCATTAGCATCATATCTTGTTCCTTTTCCCTTCTTGTGCATTCATAGTAGTTTTAGGTTGCATTTGCATACATATGCATGTTTGGTCCTTTGAAATAGGTCTTTTGGAGCATTTGGAGCATATGGGACGTGAGGAGCAAGGAAGGACTTGGTGCATGGACGCAGCTCAACTGGATACGCAAAGGAAGAAGGAGGAAGTCATCTTGAAGACCAGCTCGACCACCTACTCGACCGGCCAAGCTTCAACTCGATCGAGCTGAGAAGTCAAAGTCAAACCCGAAAAATGTTGCTTCCCCCTTGACTTTCCCTTTGACCCTAAACCTAATCTCTCTTGTATTTAAAGGCTCTAAGCCACGAAAAAGACAACAATCTTTAGCTTTTTGTTTTAGCTTTTCTTTAATTGTTTTACTTTTTGCAACCCTAAGCCTCTCTTTGTGTTCTTGAGCTCTTGCTCTTGAACCTAGATCTTGGCTTTATCTTTTGTATTTGCACTTGCTTATTTCAATAAAAGTTTTAGTTTTTTTCCTCTTTCATTTATGTCATTTCATTGCATTTGATTGTGTTTACATTCATGTGTAGTGAGTAGTTCCTTTAGGGTCAAAGATGGGCTAGATTAGGGGATCTTTATGCTTAATCCTTCTTGCTTATGTTCTTAATCTAGAAATCTCTCTCTTTTGGACAAACCTTAAGGCTACATGACCACTACCCCTGGCTTGTATGTCCATAGGCGATTCTCCACATGGAAGTGATGGAAATCGCTTGGAAAAGGTCCACTAAGAGCTCCAATAAACCTTGCTCTCGAAATGGAGTTCATAGGTGTTGGATGGATTAGTTTGAGCAATGATCCTATGGCCTCCAAGGCTTGATTCTCACTGGCTAACCCCCTGTTTCTGAGATCATGCCTTGGTTGATAGCTTTCACCTTGGGAAAGGGTTAGCTAGGCATTGAGAAGCTCAATATCAAGAGATACCTTGATACAAGTTGTTTGAGAGCAAGATTGATTAAGTATAGCTTCCTCTGATTGTAAGACCCTGTCTTAGACCCTAATATTCGCATTAGCTTGTTAAAGTTCCTGCCTTTATCGCTTTTTACTTAACTCGACCCTCAACTCGATCGAGCTTGGTTACTCTGTTCCCACTCGACTCGAGTCCTTGGTCGAGCTGCTTGCTTTACTGCTTTCTTTACTTATTGCATTGCATTTCTGTTTCATTAGGTTGTTAGAGTTACCCCATCTCATTTACTGTCTGCTTGACTTCCTTGTTATTGCATATCTCATAGAGTAATAATTTCACCCTTATGGATTGATACCCTTATACTTCAATGACTATGATGGTTAAGGGAATTGATTGATTGTGATTGTGTTTTGCATCATACCATCTCATCTTCATATACCACTGTTGCATTCCACCTCATTTACATTTCATACCATATCATCACATCCACACACAAATCCTATCATCAGCCTTACAGGATGGCGCCAGCTGAGTTGGCAGAGCTGAAGAAGCAGATAGAGGACCTTTTGTCTAAGGGGTTCATTCGACCGAGTGTTTCACCGTGGGGAGCACCGGTGTTGTTTGTGAAGAAGAAGGATGGCAGTTTCAGACTTTGTATCGATTACAGAGGTCTTAACCGAGTCACTGTGAAGAACAGGTACCCACTCCCGAGGATTGATGAGTTGTTGGATCAGTTGAGGGGTGCTACTTGGTTCTCCAAGATTGACTTGGCATCGGGGTATCATCAGATCCCGATAGATGAGGCAGATGTCAGGAAGACTGCTTTCAGGACGCGTTATGGGCATTTTGAGTTTGTGGTTATGCCTTTCGGTTTGACTAACGCGCCGGCAGCCTTCATGAGATTGATGAACGACGTGTTCAGGGAGTATTTGGACGTGTTTGTCATCATTTTCATTGATGATATTCTGGTATACTCGAGGAGTCAGGAGGAGCATGCGACTCACTTGAGGTTGGTTCTGGAGAAGCTTCGGGAGCAGAAGCTTTTTGCTAAGTTGAGCAAGTGCAGTTTCTGGCAGCGAGAGATGGGATTTCTTGGCCACATTGTTTCTGCAGAGGGAGTTTCTGTGGATCCGGCTAAGATTGAGGCTATCAGAGATTGGCCTAGACCTAGTAGTGCCACCGAGATCAGGAGTTTTCTGGGTTTGGCAGGATACTACAGGAGGTTCGTCAAGGGGTTTGCTACCATGGCGCAGCCGATGACGAAGTTGACTGGGAAGGATGTCCCGTTTGTTTGGTCAGCTGAGTGTGAGGAGAGCTTTAGTCAGCTCAAGGAGATGTTGACTACTACACCAGTGTTGGCGTTACCCGAGCCAGGGAAGCCTTACATGGTGTATACAGATGCTTCAGGCATTGGTCTTGGTTGTGTGCTGATGCAGGAGGGCAGAGTGATAGCATATGCTTCGAGACAGTGGCAGGGCAGTGAGCGTAACCGTCCTACACATGACTTAGAGTTGGGAGCAGTGATCTTCGCGTTGAAGATTTGGAGGTCTTACTTGCTAGGTGAGACAGTACAGGTCTTCACGGATCACAAGAGTTTGCAGCATATCTTCACTCAGCCGATGATGAACGCGAGACAGACGCGCTGGGTTGAGTTCTTGGCGGATTATCAGGTGAGCATTAACTACCATCCGGGCAAGGCTAACCTAGTGGCGGACGCGTTGAGTAGACGGAGGTATGATTCCGCAGTTGAGCGAGATGTGGAGTCTCTAGTTGGCGAGATCAGTACCTTGCGTTTGTGTGCCATTTCGCAGGAGCCTTTGGGTTTAGAGGCAGTGGATCAGGCGGATCTACTTAGCAGGATCAGAGTTGCTCAGCAGAGTGATCAGAGTTTGCTGGATGCGACGAGAGTGACTGGTTCTGAGTATGAGGTCTCTGCGAATGGGACTATCTTGGTTCGTGGGCGAGTTTGTGTGCCTAAGGATGTGGAGTTGAGACATCAGATTTTGGGAGAGGCTCACGCGAGCAAGTTTTCCATTCATCCGGGAGCGACCAAGATGTACCATGACCTCAAGAGGTACTATCATTGGGTCGGGATGAAGAGGGATGTAGCAGACTGGGTTGCGAAGTGCAACACTTGTGCCTTGGTGAAGGCAGAGCATCAGGTTCCGGGTGGTCTTTTGCAGAGTTTACCCATTCCAGAGTGGAAGTGGGACAGGATTACGATGGATTTCGTGGTTGGACTACCTGTTTCGAGGACTTTCGATGCTATCTGGGTGATTGTGGATCGGTTGACTAAGTCCGCACATTTCTTGGCCATCAAGAAGACAGATGGAGCTGCTGTCTTGGCTAGGAAGTTTGTGCGAGAGATTGTGAGGCTGCATGGAGTGCCAGCTAGTATTGTGTCAGACCGTGATCCCAGATTCACTTCAGAGTTTTGGAGGGCGTTTCAGGCAGAGATGGGCACTAAGGTGCATCTGAGTACAGCTTATCATCCGCAGACAGATGGTCAGTCAGAGAGGACTATTCAGACTTTGGAGGATTTGCTGAGGATGTGTGTGTTGGATTGGGGTGGCCATTGGGCAGATCACCTGAGCTTAGTTGAGTTTGCATACAACAACAGCTTTCAGGCGAGTATTGGCATGGCTCCATTTGAGGCTTTGTATGGGAGGCCATGTAGGACACCCCTATGCTGGACCCAAGTGGGGGAGCGCAGCATGTATGGAGCTACTTATGTTCAGGAGACGACAGAGAAGGTTCGTGTTGTGAGGCTGAACATGAAGGAGGCTCAGGATAGGCAGAAGAGTTATGCAGATAGACGCAGACGAGAGCTTGAGTTTCAGGTTGGAGATAGAGTTTATCTCAAGATGGCTATGTTGAGGGGTCCTAACAGATCCATAGCAGAGAACAAGCTGAGTCCGCGTTTATGGGTCCGTTTCCAGTAGTGGAGCGAGTTGGGCCATTGGCTTACAGGCTGGAGTTGCCTGAGATTATGAAAGCCTTTCACAAGGTTTTTCATGTGTCGATGCTGAGGAAGTGTCTTCACCCTACAGAGGAGTTAGTGGCTAGGATTCCAGAGGATCTTCAGCCAGATTTGACAGTGCCGGCAGTGCCTGTGAGGATTTTAGAGAGGAGGGAAAAGGTTCTGAGGAACAAGAGGATTCCCTTACTGAGGATTTTGTGGGATTGCAGTGGTTCTACAGAGGAGACTTGGGAGCCAGAGGCAAAGATGAAGTTGAAGTTCAGGAAGTGGTTCGACAAGCAGGTCGAGGAGTGAGCTTATTTCATCTTTGTAGCCTCAGTTATTTTTGGCTTTGGTGTTATTGTATTTTCGTTTTCGTTGTAACGATATACATTTTGGAGTTTTAATGAGATGCAGTTTTTCCTCATTTTGCCTTGTGTTGTGTGGTATTCGGATGTTACACATGTTTGACCAGTTTTGGTTGTGAGACGGTCTAATCTTATGGTTATAGACATTTTCCAGAATTTTTACTCTAAGGATTGCGATCCTGAATAACTCATCATGTTTTTGGAGACTTCGTTCTCTGGCAGACTCTCTGGGTGCAAGTAGGCCTCAGTTGAGTGTAGCTTATCTGGGTGCAAGTAGGCCTCAGTATAAGCAGTTTAGTTCATCTGGGTGCAAGTGGGCCTCAGTATGGACGGTTTCGGGTTCGTCTGGGTGCAAGTGGGCCTCAGTGCGGACCGGTGTGGACTTGTCTGGGTGCAAGTGGGCCTCAGTACAAGTGGTTTGTGTGTTTTGGATGATGAGTTAGGAGTGAAAATTTCTTGGAATGTTCTTATGACATAGGATTTGATATGTTTATGCGGGATCAGGTTTTACCTATTCCTATCCCTGATTCTGCAAGTGCACAGGTCAGGTGTAGTAACGGGTTATCGAACACAAGGAGCAGATAAGTGCACTACAAGCTATGCAAGTCTAACTTAGCTAGGACAAGAGGATGAATTGGGGTTTTGGTATGCAAAAGAACTAAACTAAAAGAAAGCAATATGAAAGCGGTGTAAGTTCAATGTGGGAAAGACGCTAGGCAATAGGTAATTCGCAGAGATTCATATATGATAAGATTGATGATTGATTTATATCTATTTAGGGATATGGGATGTAAGATCCGTCTAGAACACCAAACACGATTGTAAAACCATTCCACTGTCGAGGCTCCGGTTCCTTTGTTAATCTACCTAGTCGCTAAACTTTTGGTATGTCCCTAGGTGATTAAATCAAGCATTAGATCGAGCAAGTTCGGATACAGTTCACTAGGTTAAGTAAATCAACTTCGCAGTCTAAGAAACCTAGCTTGTCAAAGAATATGTCCGGCGAATGATACAACACTTTCGAGGCTCAAATCAACCTAAGATCGAATCACTAGATGTACGGTAAAGTGATTAGCATTAATTAAGTGTGCAAAACGAGACAAAGACTCTAATGATATCCCTAGTTAATTCATCAAATCATAATCAACACATGAACTCTTTGAAACCCTAAAACCTAACTAGAAATCTACTCAAACATGGTGCAAGTAAACAAGCATAGATCTGAGATAGAAATCATATTAATATAAGGAGAAAAGGGTTTAGAAAGCTTCTCTATGTCGAGATACAAAGAAGGGATCTTCTCCCTAAGGAAAACAATGAGAAAGAAGTAAAACAATGGAGATCCCTCTAAGGGGAGCTCCCTAGTGCGCCTCTCTCTTGTAGCTCTTCTCCTGTGTGACTCTCTATGCGGCTCTCTCTTCTAAAGAGGCTAAAAAAGAGTATTTATAGTGCCCTAGGTCTTCCACAAGTCGGTTTAGGTTGAAATTGGGCTGAGAATAGTCAAAACTGCATAAGTGGGCTTCTTGTTCGCGGAGCTCGGGTCGACCGAGGGTTGTGGTCGGCCGTCGGGGTCGGCCGTGATGTGATGTTCTCGGTCGATCGTGGTCCATTGCCTCCCGGCTCGGACGGTGCGGTCGTGCGGTCGGATCGGTCCTGGAGAAGGCCGAGCGAAGCCAATTCCCTTCCTGTCCGGCCGAGTGCGTTCGGCCGGCTGTAACCAGTCTTCAGTACAAACGTGATATCTCCTAAACGCTTCATCCAAATTGCATACTTCCAACGGCATTGGAACACTAACTCATCTGATATCTTGTGTTGAGTTTCATTGAAATCCATTGAGTTTAAGGGTCCAAGCCGCTGCTGCTCGTTCTGATGTACTGATGCAGTCCGATAAAGCTCCTCGTATATGTCTCAGGGAAATAGAGATATCTCCCAATCTACTCGGTCAAATTGATTGATTCCAGTTGCGTTGCAAAGCTAACTAACATATGCATCACTTCAACTTGAGAGATCCTTTCCCTTTGTCATTTGACCTGAGCTTGCATTGTTTGAATTGCTCTCTCTCTCTTTCTATCGGCCAAACGAGTTAACTTGCATGTGTTTTGATTCACCGTTTTATGCTTCTACTGAATGTCAAAAGGAGTAGAGGATTTGAATGCATGTTTTTGTTGAGCTAGTTGTCATTGATTGTGATTATGAAGGTGCGGCTAAGATTTTTGAAGTAGAGAACATCTTTTGCGCTTTAGACCTTGGAACTAGGTTGCTGAATCGATTTCTCTTCTCGGCTTTCGCTTAACTCTATTGCTCAGAGAACACTCTTATGCTTGGTTGATGTTTGCTTGAGGGCAAGCAAAGACTAAGTGTTGACTCTATTGCTCAGAGAACACTCTTATGCTTGGTTGATGTTTGCTTGAGGGCAAGCAAAGACTAAGTGTGGGGGTGTTGATGTACTCAACATTTGCATACATTTAGCCTCTCATACTGCATAGTTCTGTGTATAATTGAGTCCCATTTCATAACATTTAGTGTAGCTTTAGTCTACTTAGGATCATTTAGCCTTTAGGATAGCATTTTGCATTTCCATTGCATTTGGGGTGCATTTATCAGGTATTCGGAGCTTATGGCGAAGGAGGGACCGGAGGTGATGATCGGAGATGGACCAGAAGGAGATCGGAGTAATCGGATGGCAAAACAAGCAAGACGGAACAGAGCCTTGAGCAAAAGGAAACAGAGTGCTTGAGGAAGTTGCTCAAGCTGCGCGCATCTGTGAAGTCAAAGCAAAAACGTTGACCAAAGGATACACTTTTCCCTTCTCTATATAAACCTTTAAGACCTAATTTTAGGCAATCTTTATCTTGTAACCAGTTTCTCTCCAAGAAAAACAGTTTGTTCTTGGAGATCTTTTGTAAGCTTTTACTTTGAATCTTTTAAGTTTAAGAAGTACTTAGTTTGCTAATCTTGTCTTAATGATGATTTCTAGCTTTCTTTACCTCTTTGCTTTCGGTTCGAGTATGAGTAGCGAGTAGTTCTTTAGAGGTTTCGAGGGTGAGATTAGGAAAGGTCAGAGCTTTAGCTTCCTGTTAACCTCTTCCTTAATCTCCCTTGACCAGCTTTTCTTTAGCTAGAGCTTTATATCTCGGCTTCTTCTTGATCACTTGAAGTCGCGAATCTAGGCTAGTACACCTAGAAGGTGTTTGCGTTAATGCCTAAGAGAGCTAGCGATAGAGAGAAACATTCCCAACCTAAGAGATTGGTTGTTGGGATGTATCTTGTGCACTTTTAGACTAGATCTTGTGAAAGCTTGTAACTTTGAGTCCACTAGTGAGAGCTAGCTTTGGATTCTCAGCTTGCAAAGCGATCTGACCACGAGAGTGGCAGATTTACCCAAAGTCTAAGCACAAAGCTTGAGTCTTGGTGTGTTGAGAAAGGAGGTTGAGCTCGTTTGATCCCAACTAATCTCACCCAAGACGCCTCCTTTATCTTTTATTGTTAAAGTTTAAATCTTTATTTCATCTTGTTAGCTTAAAGCATAGATCTTTACAAAACAAAACCCAATCTTTTATCAAAACTTGATCTTTGCCTTTTCTTTATTTCGATAGTTTAAATCTCCACTTGGATTGACATCTCAAATACTACAATGACATGAGTGGTATGGATTGAGAGTAGTTGATACAAAAATCCTACTTATCAACTTACATGCAACCAATTATTTGTTGGAAATAATATATAAATCTATAATAATGTTAAAGATTTCTAAGAATGCTAGGATTATATATTGGTACATTATATATTAACGTGTACATCGTATATTGGCGTGTACATTATTCTTTTATACACCAAATGTTGGCGTGTATTCTATAAATATTACTAATTTTATTAGAATTTGGTGTACGTGCACTGTATATTGGCGCATACATTATAAATTTTATTAGAATTTGGTGTACGTACATTGTATTTTGGTGGTTTGTACATACACCATATATTGGTGCGTACACTATTTTTGTGTACACCATATATTAGAGTGTACATTATAAATATTATTAGATTTTTGTGTTTGTATACAATAACAGACATAAATTTTATATGAAATCGTGTTAGTATTCTCGAACTTGAAAATTTTTGAATTCAAAATATACAGAAAAAAAAAACTTTTTTAAAAAATACATTTTCTATTTTATAATTTATGTTTATACAATGATATATTTGAATCATAAATTTGATGGAGACACAAAAGTAAGAATGAGAATGTGATTTTAAAAAATTATGTGTTTAGGGTTTTCATTTTAGAATTTAGGGTTTAGATTAGTTTATAGAATTGATAAACATATATATGCTTTTTCTATTTTCTATTATTTTTAAAAATTGTCTGTTTAAAAAAAAATTAAATTCAGTATGTTCAGAAAAAAATATACTTTTTTCAATACATATATCATCATATAATTTATTTTTTGCATGATATATTTGAATGACAAAATTAAGGGAGAAAGAAAAATTGAAAAAGTAAGAAAGAGAAAACTATTGTATTTTTATGCATTATTTTATGTTTTTCTTTTACATGTTCCATATTATGTTTATGGGTCCGTCCACTTTTCCCTCTCTCTCTTCAGTCTATCTCTCTCCTAGAGCATCTCCAACCCTTATTTTCGTTTTAAAGGAGAAGCAGCCGTCTGTTCATCACGTTTTTCGAGGCAGAGAAGGAGAAAGGATTTTGAGAGTTCCTGGAAAAATCCGATTTTACTGTTCATCGGGTACTGTTCATCGGTACTGTTCACGGGTTCACTGTTCATCCGCGATTCGGCACTGTTCATCGTCTTTCCTTTTTCCTTCAGTTTCAATCCATTGTCAAGGTGAGTGCATGACTGTGGGTCCGCGATTTGCTAGATTAGATTTGGTTTGTGATTGTTCTTGATGAGTTTATGTGTTTAATTGTTATTTCATAGTATTTTGGTTGTTTCTGTGATGAATTGTGTGTTTGTGTGGTTTAATCTGGTTTAATTGAATTAATTGATTTAATTGGTTTATCTTGGTTTAAATTGATTTGATTCTGGTTATTTGGTGTAATTGAATTAAAATGTTTTAATTCAAATTGTTTGATTTATTTTCGGATTTAATTAATTAATGGTTAATTTAATTAATTAATTGATTTAAAATAATTATTTTAATTATTTTAAAATATGGAAAATTATTATTTAATTATGAGAATTATTTAATAATTGAGAAATGAGTTTTAATTATTAATAATTATTTAATAATTGGAAAATGGTATTTAATAATTATTGGAGTTTATAAATATTATTAAATATCTAGTAAATTGCGTAAATGGCTCGTAGGCAGAGTGATTGCCTCACTAAGTATTTATTAAATACTTACGCAACTCCATTCCAATGTGTTGCAGGTAAAAGATTTGTGTGATCGCGGAATCAAGGCTGAAGAGGGGGATGATAGGATGTTTATGTTTTATTGTTTTGCATTATTTTTGCTAGACTTGTTTAATTATTATTTGCTTCCGCTGAACTGATTTATTTGTTATTGATATTTTATTTATTTAATTTATTTTAAAGACCTAGAATTGATTAGTATTTAATTATAAAAAAAAAATGTTGGTTGTTTCACCCATGTTAAATATGACATATATGCTATTTTGTAATAGCATTTGCTCCAACCCTATTGCATATGCTATTGCAAAATAGCATCATGCTATTTTTGTGTCTATATTTGGCATGAGATTATGCAATATGTTATTTTGCCATTAAACTTTTTTATTTATAAAATCGTTCTTCAATTTATAAATATTTTTAATTAAACAGTTTAATTATTTTGATTATGATTTATTTAAATATATAAACAATAAAATAACTCTTTCAAAATATAAGTAATATTATTTCATAGAAAATATAATAACATAATCATAACAAACTTAAAAATTATTGTTAAAAATACTGAATTTCAAAAAGCATAAAAAATACTTATAAATCTTCTTTTTCTATAATTTTATGTAGTGTGATGTATTTTGTTTTAGTATTATAATAATAAAATAATAAAATAATAAAATATTATAATTGTGGATGTTTTTTGGCAAAAAAAAGAAAAACACATGATTCACTTTGTAAAATTTGAAGAAATCAAGTAGTTTTAGCAATTGATAATAAGTTGGAAAAAAAATTATAGCATGAGCCATTGGAGAGAAATCCAATGCTATTGGTATATTTTTGCCATTTGCAATAACATATGGCATGAGCCATTGGAGATGGTCTTACATCGAGGGTGATTTTGATCCTCAAACTGTAAAAGTGATATTCTCTCTCCTGATTTACCAATTAAAACTTGCATCCACCTTTTTCTCTAATTACAAATTTGAAACTACCCACTTTTCAAACTATCGCAACTTTAAACCACAGAACTAACAAATTTTATGCATCGCCAAACAAAATAATTGAAAAAGGTTTTATACTATGGATTCAAATAAAATTAAATAAAAAAAGATTTAATAACTCAAACTCAATCATATAACATTGGGCATTTACTCCACTTTGACTACTAAACATTTGATTGTCTTTTCAAAACTCAATTATTAAACCTTTTTCCGCTAAGTTTTCTACGTGGAAAAAATGTTAATTTTATTGCAAAATGTGAGAGAAATTTGTTTGAAGGTTTAAAGTACTAGTGAAAACCTTACTAAGTTTAAATTGCTATCATTTTTACTCCACTTTGACTACTAAACATTTGATTGTCTTTTCAAAACTCAATTATTAAACCTTTTTCCGCTAAGTTTTCTACGTGGAAAAAATGTTAATTTTATTGCAAAATGTGAGAGAAATTTGTTTGAAGGTTTAAAGTACTAGTGAAAACCTTACTAAGTTTAAATTGCTATCATTTGTTACATTCATGGTTTAAAATGCAATTTCTCCCTATTTTTTCTTGTTCCTTCCACACCGCTCGTTCAATCTACCCAGAACCCACATTATCCACATGGCTAATTTCACTGTCACAATTTTGTTATTTGATATAGCGAGTAGAAATTTTTAAAAACTATTAACCTCTCAGTAAAATCATGCTCGAATTGCAACCCATATTTACATATTTTTTCATTAATAATGTTTTCTTCTCGAGTCAAATTAAACTGAGCCTAAAAGAGTACAAAAGAACACTCTTCCCTCAAATATATATTACAACGCATAAAAATTAAAACTTTAAACGAACATTTTCCTTTCCAATCTATTCTTCTTCCTCCATCATACGGAACCTACCGGTCTCATAGCCATGGTACATCCACACAGGTTGAAGCCATTCTCTTGCAGCCTCAAGACTCTTCAGTTCATCTTCATCTCTTTCTTCACCTATCTCTCGCTCTATTATCGGGTAAATTCTTGGAAGTGAAACCAACATTGTGTCAAGGTCTTTCCACTCTCTATCTTCTCTTTTAACTAACCTTACACATAGAAAATGCAACAATCCTAGAGCGGTATTGTAATCTTTCTTCTCTATACACACTGCTGAACATATCAGGAGAACATAAAAATGCTTGGCTGTTTTAACCCTGATTTCCCAATCTTGATTTCCCAATAAACACCACTATATTGGCCAAAGCTTGTTAGATTGGTTACCACATTGTCGTAACTTAATACCAGTAATTCGGATACCATAAATGACTTCAAAATCGAAACACTTCAATCCAGAGCTCATAAATAAAAAGAAAAGACAACTAACTCAAGGAGGTTGTTGGTTATTGAATTGGAAACATTATGCAAAAACTTAAACCAGCAAACAAATACATCCTAAGCAAATCCTCTCATCTTCTCAATCTTCTCAATCTTCACCTCTTTGAGCTTCGCTTTCTTGTTCACATTTTCCAAATCTTCCAACGACATGTCTTGGTCGCGGTCGACACGTTTCTTCAACACGTAAAGTCTTTGGTCGTGGCTTCTGCCAGCATTACGTCATTACTGTCCTCCAACATCAATACACTCTACAAAAATGATAAAAATTGTGTTAAAACCAAAACTAAATTTGTTTGTAAGTTTAAATCTGAATTTGGTGTATACTGAATGCGCCGGGACTTTTTACCGGTTCACCAAAAATAATCGTTGAATGATCAACTTCTCTAACAGAATCGGTAAGCGTTGCAGTTTGATGACTTCGTAAGTATCATGCCCGCCTCCAAGATTAGTTTTCTCCACAGATATTACAAACGGGAAATATTTCCAATCAAAGCCTGTAACCCTTAAGCCACGTGTTCAGGATCATCGATCTGCATATTATCAATATCCATTTCAAAATGATTATCATTTTAACTTGAAAACGACAAATATAGAAATTACTTGCAAATTACGTTTTCTTGTAGAGATTAAAATGTTGCATTTTTTGTACCTCGTCATAGACCCCGTCAAGCAGCTCGGTTGCTTCATGCTGCACAATTTCTCTTGCTAATGAATCAAAGAACATGAGTTTGGTACTCCCGGTTGTGGGCTATGAAAACCACACTCGAAATTTATAGGTTTTGCAAGGAAGAAACTTAGGGAGATTTAGGGCTAGATTTTGATGTAAGTCGAATGAATCGTAAGCAAGGATTTGGCTAAACGGAATTGTATTAAACGAATGAAAATGGTTACAATGAATTCTCAGAAGAGAGAAAGAACTAAGCTCAAAGGAAAATACAAGGGAAGTATGATAGTAATTAGGTCTAATGATCGGAAGAAGGTTGTAAAAGATGTCCCTTGATCCGACTGCTGTCAAGCTCCTTTTATAGCTCCAGAATCAGCTACGATCCACCTCCGCGTATCTCGCCACGTGCAGCTAACGATCCCGGTGATCTCGGACCAGACCGGATTTGAAGGAGATCTTCTTTGACTTCGTCTTTCTTCGCAGTGCCGACCTGGTCCTTGATCGAGCTGGAGCTCGTCTTTACGTCGACCGGAATAGCTCGATGGCAGTTAACTGGCTTACGAGGGAGTCGCTTGGTGGGCTCGAGGTCTTCTTGCTGGGCTTGAGTGGGCCTGGACTTCAATCTTGGATCAAGGTAATGGGCCCTTACGGGCTAGATTCCAGGTGTGGAATCTGGGTCCAACACCGGTGCTATCCATCACCTTGACATGCAACTTGAATCTGAATCGGAAATGCGACATAAAAGTTAGTTTCATGAACCATAAAAATCTGGTACATCTTTAATATATATCAAACACATAATTAATATATAAGGTTAACTTCCTACCTCGCAGTGACATTCGTACTGTTTGCATTGCACACAAACAACTACTAAAACCATAATATACTATGAAATCAGAGCCAAAACATCATTCGCGAAAATAAACCAAAGCAAGAAGCAGAAAAACCGATAACAATATGAAAAAAAATGTAAAGCATTCATAAAATAAGTCTGTAAGAATTTCACCGCTCAAGAGACACAAACCGACAGGCGAAGAGATATCAACTTTTCGTATACGAAAAAGCCAAAACATACCTCAGCTAAACCTACAGCAGTACCCTAAAAGGATGTAACCGATCTGAGAAGTACACATACTATTTACTTTAAAAAAAAACCAAAGTTGATGTAGGCTCTAAGTGGTGACATGTAAAGGAACAAAAGGAATGAGAAGGAATGGATGAGGAGGGATAAAATATATGGAACTCAGAGTAATATGAGAAACCTGCATAGGGAGCAGATAGACATTGTTATCTTTGTATGCAAGAAAATAAAAGTACCAAAAAATTGCGTAAACCATAAAGAATATGAAACCCTAGATACTATAAAAACAGAATTAAAACGTCAACGTTCAAAATATAGGTCAATGACTAATAATCTATAAGCGATGTAAAAGCAATATAAAGAATCTATAAATAAACTTTTACCACTAAAGAGATATAAACCAACCGGTGGAGATGAATAGATATCACCCTCGAGAGATCTCCATATCAAACTAAAACACCAACATCAAACAAAATATACTGTGCGCCTTGAGTTACCTATTTAACTCTGATTCTGACCACATGACTCTTTTGACGATTCTGCAAAAATAACTTAACCATACAACCAGGATTTCCAGATCAAAGAAAAGAGACCAAAGCGATGTGGAGAAAATATAAACAGCGTGGTAGAAAACTTACCGAACAACACGCCGTAAAACTCTCGATTGCCCATAACCCTACCTGCACAAAGACAAAACACATGTAGTAAGAACTGTATGCAAACGAAAAGAATCAACGATTGCACAAACCCTAAATAACATGAGATTGTAAGTAAAACATATAAAAAATGTAAGACGATATGAGAGGTACTCAAACTATATATAGTAAGCGTGAGTTAGGGTTTCAGCGATTAATCTGTCCAATTAAATAAATACCAATGATCTGATAAATGCATATACGAATCTATCATCGCAACCGAAACTGAAATTATTCTTTTTCAACCACACGTGTTTATCTCTTAACCAAGAAAAAAAAGAAGTTTTGCTTTTCTAATTACATAAATTCGTTTTAATTCACATATTTACACAAAGACGTAATTAGACATGTGATTAGGCGTATTCATTAAGGGCATCAGAGTAATATTTTGTGAGGAGCGTTGTTGTGCGTTTTTACATCGCAAATAATAGAATAGATACATGGATTTTATACAAAATTTAGACAAATATATGTTAAGAAATTACCAACAACAAAAAAGAATATGGTTTTTATAAGTGTTGTAAGTTTATATTTATGCATATAAGGGTTTAAACATAATCGTTGATCTTAGAAAATTTGATTAGTTTATAATTTAATATTTATGTTTAAAATTTAAGGTATATAGTTTATGATATACTGTATAAGGTTTTGAGGTTTTAGTTTTGGGTTTAGGATTTGAGTTTTGAGGTATTAGAAATAGGAGCAAAGCCACGGAAAGCTCCAAATAAGCCACAACATAAAATATAGCAACAAATAACCACAAACATACTCGACACAAAAAAGGTACAAACTGTTGTTGTGTCATGTTTTGTAGCGATTATTTTGTTACTAATTTTTGACTATATACCTACAAAAAATTTGTGTAAAATCGTAGCTAACTAGCTACGAATAACCACACTATGTAATGTTAGAGGAGAAATTAGCACATTTCCCTGAGCCCGTCATCATTAGTAAAGTCACAAAGCCCAATCCGATTTTAGGCCTAACATCTTCAAGAAAAAGGCAAGACTTGAAGAGAAAGGCACAATCCATGGAGAAATGTAAATAAATCTTCATGCCGACTTAAAGAATGGAAGAAAGATCCAAAAACAAGAGGGAATTTTCCATATCGCAAAAGAGGAAGTTTTCCATCTCGCCTGAAGGAGAATATTCATCATTCGGCCGACTTATCAACACTATATATTGAAGACCCCCCATTGGAGAAAGGGATCCGAAATCATCTAGAATCACTAGGCTTTCACATTAGCTTTTACTCTCCTCTTGTTCATCACCATAATCTCGCTAGGCTTGTTAGCGAGATTGCTCTCTTGTAACTTCTTGATAATCTAAGAGTCGAATTAAGCGTTCCAGTTTCCTAAACTCACATCTTAGATAGCCCGTCTTGACGAGTGCTATCTCGGATTCAACAATTGGCGCCCACCGTGGGGCTGGAAACGCTTCTCGCTATTCATCTCGAAGATATCTAGATTTTCACGAACTAGCAACGATGGTGAACTCGAAAGAGAACACTCCCACCGGGAGCCCGTCTCCCTCAGAAGAAAACTTAAGCGACAGTCTACCAGCACGATAGACAAGTCGCTACCCGCTGAAGGTAGGGACAAGCCTGCCCTACAAGAAACCCATCTTTCTCGCCACAGAGATCCGTCTCGCCGCGAAGATCACTTCGCCGCAACGATCTCCTCCGCCAAGAAAGGACGAGAGCCCCCCTCCGTCCGCACCACGCCGCTCGAGAAAATCTTCCTCGAGCGACAAACCCCGCAGCTCGAAGAAATCCTCCTCGAGCGAGAAGATCCTCAAACTCATGGAGAATCTCGTCAAGCCACTCGCCGACGGTTTCGAGTCAATGCGAGCACAGCAGAAAAAGACTCAGGAACAGGTGGAAGCCCTAGCACGAGAAGACGATGAAGATCCGTCAAGTCCCACTGACGGAACAACCCCCCGTCCTGCGCACTTCAGGCGACTTACCACCCAAGAGCTCGAACGGATGAATCGTCGCCTCGATGAGAAAGTCACTCGCCGACACCCGAAGAAGCCCGCTCACCCGCAGGCTCCGCCAGATCGAACTACACGAAAGAGTTCGACTCAAAATCGACTCTTACACCGGCGAAGAAGACCCCAAGAAGTGGCTAACCGCGTTCAACCTCGCCATGAGGAGGGAGAAATACAAATCTTACGATGAAAGGGAGGCCAACTACTGTCAAGTATTCGTCGAGCACATGGCGAAAGATGCCTTGACCTGGTTCTCTAACCTCCCCGCCGAGTCGATCGATAACTTCGACGACCTAACCAATGCTTTTCTGAAGCATTACTCCATGCACATGACCCGAATCACTCGGAACATGTTCACCACAACGCAAACCCAAGGCGAACCATTGCGCAGCTTTATGGAAAGGTTCAAACAAGCAGCTCGCGATACTGGCGACATGCCCGATAGCGTCCCGCTGGAAGCACTCCGCAACGGCCTCTGGTACGACTCCAAGTTTAAGGAGGATTTGTCACTAAAACCCCCTGCGACTCTGGAGGACGCGTTCCACCGCTCTCGGAACTACATCTTCCTCGAGGAAGACCAGCGCTTCTACGCCGAGAAACATGGAGATAGGAGGGCAACCTCGTCGAAACCCAGAGAGAACCCATGGAGGCACGAAGAAGACACGATCCGAAGAGGTCTCTCCTCACAGCGTTCGCAGCAGCCGACGACGAGTCGAGCAAGAACACGCAGCGGCCGTTTCGATGCCACAAGACATCAACTCGCTCGGAGATGACAACGATACCAAAGCTTTCTGCAAGTTCCACGGGAGAACTGGCCACGCCACTGAAAACTGCAAACACCTAATGAGCAACCTCATGCGCATGTACCATCGAGGAGAAATCCCGCCAATGGACGGCGATAGGTCCCAAGGAAAAAGCTTCCCGCCGAGACCACCAAAATCTGGGCAAAGGAGAAGCGCGGACGACAACCCCGTCCGAGGAAGGATGCAGAAAAGGCGGAAGCCCCGCTTGGGAAAAGGAATCGTGACGACCACGACGACCTACCTCCACCACCGAAGCGACAAGTCAGCATGATCATGGGAGGCCTCCTGGATAACGACGATTCCATATCGGCGATCAAGGAATACGAACGAAAGGCCGTCGCGGCACAACGCTACCCGTATATCCATAAAGGGATCCCTACATCTCCTTTACGGATAAGGACGCAAGCGGGCTGGACATCCCTCACCTCGACCCACTCGTAATCACTCTACAGATTCACGACTGTGACGTCGCGAAGGTCCTGATTGACACGGGAGCACGGTGAACCTCATTTCCTAGAGACACTGGATCGCATGGGAGTGGAAAGGATCATCAAACCTACATCCCGTCCCCTCACCGGTTTCACCGCCGAATACACTACAGCGGCACAGTCCGGCTCCCCGTTTATGTCGGCGGAATTTCAAAGCTCTTGAAGTTCATCGTCATGGACAAACCGGCCATCTATAACGCAATACTCGGCACCCCCATGGCTCCATGAAATGAAAGCCGTCATCTCGACGTTCCACCAATGCGTGAAAGTTTCCGATACCCTCTGGAATTTTCACCTTACGTGGAGATCAAAGAGTGACGAGATCATGCTTCCTTCGCGAGCGCAAGCTCCGCACCGCATCGTCCTTTATGATAGCCGAGCCCAAACCAACAACCTCGCGAAGATCGAGCCAGATTGTAACGAGACCGACGGCGATACAACTGGATACATCGCCACGACGCTGGAGAATCCCCCGATCCAGGCAAACGCCGAACCCGCCTGGAAATCCGACTTAAGGTCCAGCTTAACACAAGAAGCTCTCCGATCTATTCGAGATGGAGCAACTCGAGGACGAACCGCTACGAAGCTACCTGAACAGATTCAAAGCGCTGCTCGACCTTGACAGACCCGGGAGCCCCCAATCGCGGAACCGCTCGTCCAAGCCCTCAACGGACTTCTGGTACGAATCCGGATTCTGGGAAGATATCGCATCCGATCCTCCCCAACTTTGAAGGACGCCTTCCTTCGCGCTGAGAATTACATCCCTCGAGCAAGACATCCCGCAGCTACGGCGATCCCCGAAGATCCTCGGTTCCGGCTAGAAACAAGAGAAAGTCATCATCCTCTCGCCCGGAGAAGTCCACGCATAAAGCACCAAGTGCCATCACGAATCTCTCCCTCGCCGAGACGCACCCTGTCTACGACGACGAGACCAGGAGAAACTGGAGAATCGCGCGAAGACTGATCGCCATGCACCCGCAATGCTCATTCTCGATCAGGAGATATTCGAGATCATTGCCGATATTCGAAGAACTCCCCTGACAAGCCGCCTATCCGAGGTACCACTGAAGAAGCGCGCTTCACTACACCTAAACTTCTACGACGGCCGAGAAGATCCCAAGCAGTGGATCACGTCCTTCATGACGCCATGAGAAGACAGAAATACACATCGCCGGAAGAACAAAGCGCGCACTTCTGCCAAGCCCTCGCCGAACACTTGCGCGGCGACGCCCTAACATGGTTCAGCAACCTCTGTGCCGACTCCATCGACAGCTTCGACGATCTAGCAGCCGCTTTCCTAAAGCAACACCTCCGTTTCGCGCTAGACGACCTCGTCTTTTGCAAAACCGATGATGATACGATCTATGGTCTCGGCAAATTCGGCTTCCGACTGGGAAGGACCATTCCGCATCGCGAAAGTCGTCAAACCAGGAGTCTATCAGCTAGAAGACAACCTAGGCATCACGTCCGATCGCCTCTGGAGCTCGTCGGATCTGCGCAAGTTCCATGACTAGACGCGAAGCACCGCGCTAGTAAAAAAAAAAAAAAAAAGGCGCAGCTATAATACTTAATAAAATTTAATTTTATTAAACCCCTTTTTCTCGACAAGCGCGCCTCATTCTGGCATAAGCTGAAACTTGTCGACACAGCACGCACCCGTTTGACGTCAAACCAAGTTATTGAGGCAAACTCAATAAGCACTTGCACTTTGCACCCTAAAAACATGGACTGATCACCCATTCATTAAGCCGAGAGCACGCACCTCGCACGGCTCTCAGTTCGTCGGACGAGCGAAAAACCGCTACCTCGTCACCCGCACGAAGCTTTGAAGTCGGAAGCATAAATCGAGTTTCTAGAGCTCGTCGCTGAAAGTAGGTTTAACATCCTAAGCACACAGACCTAATACGCGCCGGTCGGTGTCTCGAATGAGAAGTCATGACGAAACCCGAAAGCATCGCGTCTAGTCATGACGCATTAGCACCATCACGCGCACCATGTCGTGATACACTTAAACGGTGACGACCAAGTAAATAATTCAACTTATACGGTTGACGACACCATCGTCCTTTATTAAAAGACATAACCAAAAGCCGGATTACTTTCGTTGCGCTGCGAACTAATCAATTATGTCTAAAAGCCGTGACCGCACACGCAGCAACAACGCACAAGCAATAAAAAATCATACTTAAAACACTTTAAGTATCTAGCATAAAAGCACAAATCCTAAAGCATACGGATAAAAACCTTCCCAGGCAATGTTATTACAACAACAAAAAGGCCGCAGCCAAAAAGTCTTAAAACAAATGAAAATGGGGCCTAAGCAGACTTGGCCCCAGAAGTAGAGGGTCCCGCACCCGGATCCAGCACCATCACCGTCTCGACGAGAAGGAGATCCCGGCAGCACCAGCCGTTTAAGGCTACAAAAGCAAAGCAAACACATAAGCAAATAACGTTACGCAAAGCACGACATAACAAAAAGAAGAAGCAAAAACCTACCTGTTAGGCGGAGCGAAGTCATCATCATCGATAACAACTTCGTCGATCGCATCCCCATCCGCGATACTCTTCGCCAGCTTAGCCGCGAGCTTCTCCTCCATCGCGTCGAAGTTCAGATCCACTCCCCGAATCTTCTTCACGAAGTCGAGGAGAGCTTCGTCGACTTGCCTCCTCCCCACAGCGGCTTCAACCATGTCCCGCTGCGCGACGAACTCCGACAAGCGATGGAGGCGAGGAGCATACCAGTCATTCACCGAGTCGAAGACCTGAGTCACAGCCGCCTCGACCGATTCTCGACGAGACCGTCGGAGACGCTCCATCTCAGCAGCAGAAGCCTCTGCATCCCGACGGCCTTCTCCTCCAGATCACTCACTTGAGCCCTCAGCTTGTCTGCTACCTCCTGGAGTCCGAGAGTCTTCACTATCTCCCTGTTCAGCGCCGCGACCTTCGACTCAAGCCAGTTTATCCTGCTAATCAGCCACCATTGTATCGACATCTTGGCCATCTCCCGCTCTGCCGCAACACAAAGGCCTTCGTCCTTAGCTGCCCGAAGCGCCGTCTCGTACTTCTGGACCAACGCGGTGAACTTCCCGCCAGACATAATATGATGTTGAGCAGCTTCGTCGAAATCGGTCCTAAAGGTGAGCTCCTCACGCGGAATCCCCAAGCCGGGATGAACTTTAGACATCCAAGTCGCCCCTCCGCAAGCATCCTGGTCCTCCATAAGAGGACTCCCGCCATTCCACCACGTCTTGAACGCGTGAGGATTATAGCCCTCAGGACCATCCTTTGGATTCCGGCGCCCTCAGCACCGAGGTTCGAGCCAGGAGCAAAACCACCCGCCTCCGAGTGACGAGACGCCGCCTCATCATTCTCACCTGGACGCCGAGATGATTCCCCTCCTTCGAAACCACCACGATCACGCCGGTCAGAGGAGGGAACGCCGCCACCAGGGGTGAGGAACTCATCCCCCTTAGAAGGCGAACCACCACGCGCCGGAGTCCTCAAACCATCATCGTGATGAGAAGCACTCTCATCGTGATGGGAAGACTCGTCATGGTCCGAGGAAGGAGGAGAGTCAAGCTCGATCACTTGCTCCGGAACGCCCTCAGGAACAGAAGTCGAGGCTTTCCTCGTCGAAGCCCTGCAAAGAACGTCTACGATTAACATCGGAATTCCTATCTCCTGAAGGATCCATCGATAGGCGACCTTACCTCGTACGCGACGCAATGGAAGAGCTCCGAAGGGGAGAAGGAGGAGAATCCCTCAGTCTGGGGACTCGACCCTTTTCTTTTTAGGCGCCGGCTCGGAAGCAACGACAACGTCGTCAATAGGCACGGCCGCTCTCTTCCTAAGACCCATCGTTTCTTCTTAGAACGAGATGGCTTCGCTGCTAAAACAAAGCAAAACATTAAGATACGAAGATAGAACCAAAAAAAAAAAGAAAAACAAACGCTTACTAGATATCGGAGTCGCAGGGATGGCAGATTTGCTTTTTCCCTCCCTCTTATCTTTCCTCTCTTGCTTCTTCTTCTCAAGCGCCGCCACTACCTCAGGCCACAATCGATGGCTAAGCTCCTTCAGCAGCCTAAACTTCTCCTTGAGCCGTTCGGTCTCGCTCGCCTGGACGGTCCTGCGAAGACAACAAACAACATCAGAAAACGCAAACTCAGCAGCATGATAGCAATTCTAATCAAGAATTCTACCCGGTGATTTAACCCATTCTGTCCTAATCTGATCAGCTTTGATCTTCCCGACTGAGGCTCGGTTTATCTTCACAAAGAAGAAATATTTCTTCCACCAATGAATCTTGTTTCGGTAATCCCCGAAAACAATATCATACTTCATCGTGGTATGAAACCGCTTGAAGTTTCCCTCTCGCGACGAAGCCCGGAGATCAGTAACGTGCTCAAAAAGAGGCGGTCGAATACAACTCCGGCGGCTCTAGCCAGGGCCTCGGTAAAAACGATGTGGCGAACCACGCCGTGGGTCAGTTGACTCGTAGGAACGCCACGATCAGCCGCAAATTGCAAAAACAGAGGAGACAGAGGGAAGTTCATCCCAAATTCGGTGAACATACACTCGTAAACGCACATCCACCCAGCCGGAGCGTCGTAGGGCCTTTCGAGATGGCCAGGGATACGAAACTCCACGGAGTCAGGGAACAGGCCTCCGCTATGAGGTCTCGAAGGATCTCCTCCGTCATCCACGACCTCCCATCGTGGATTAGGCCCGTAGGCGGCGTACGACTCGGCATCTTGATTACATCCGGGATGCCCTCGAGTCTCGCTTGGCCTGACGGCCCCGCTCTTCGTCTTCATCAGAGTCGGTTTCGTCACCGGAGTCATGCTCTTCTCCTCCCTCTGTCACTCTCTCAGCCTCTTCCCGACGCTCGGCTTCGGCGGCGACTCTCGCCGCTTCCTCCATCTCACCTTTCGACCACCTTCTCGGCCTCAGCAGCGGCCGTCGCTTCATCCACCACCGTCCTTCCTGCGACGCTCCGCCGCATCCGCTTGGATGGCTCCACCAAGAAGCCTCTCCGGACGAGCGGAGGATCGCGTCCGACGCGCAATCGAGGCAATGCCTTTCCCTTTCTGTCTTTGGTTCATCTCAATTGAATGAAGAATCGGAAAAACTCGACGACCGAGACGAAATATTTGACGAATCGAAAACCCTAAAACCCGAATCGGCGGATGAGAAGACGAAATCGGAGCACAACCTAACTAGATCCGAGCAATTCGTAATTCCCTAGTCCTAAATCCCGCAAAATCGATTCGAGAAATCAATCGAGGCAAGATTTGAAGTCGGATTGAAGTTACCTTTGATTCGTCGGGACGGTTGAGTGAGAAGAAGAAAAGAAGCAAAAATGAATAAAGGAAATTCGAACGGTCTCTTAATAGAGATCGCGCGACTTCCAAGGGACACAACTGCCCTTATGAATTTTTTATTCATTTCTTTCCCGCTCAATGGAAAAGCACTAATGGGCTTGGGCCTCCGCGCGATTTAATCGACTATCGGACTCAGCCCACGCAATTGCAAACAGTCCCTGGGCAGTGACGTGGCAAAATCGCCCAGTCACAGCTGAAAACCGAACCCGTCACCATTCGAACCAAGAAAGCATTTTTGGTCGCGGCAAAAATCATTCGAAGCACATTTATGAATTAGATGACGTCAACGTACTCTTTTTCCTTTTTATGGTTTTTGTCCCAATTGGGTTTTTCCGTACCAAGGTTTTAATGAGGCGGCACGAATCTACATTCAGCATGCACCTAGGCACTAAGATCCGATTGAAGTGATGTATTTTACTAATGATTCTCAAGCTCGTCCTCTATTCATGAAGCTCGCCGAGATCAAACTACATTTGACCTGCCGAGCTGGCGGGGGGACTTATTGTTAGAGGAGAAATTAGCACATTTCCCTGAGCCCGTCATCATTAGTAAAGTCACAAAGCCCAATCCGATTTTAGGCCTAACATCTTCAAGAAAAAGGCAAGACTTGAAGAGAAAGGCACAATCCATGGAGAAATGTAAATAAATCTTCATGCCGACTTAAAGAATGGAAGAAAGATCCAAAAACAAAGGAATTTTCCATATCGCAAAAGAGGAAGTTTTCCATCTCGCCTGAAGGAGAATATTCATCATTCGGCCGACTTATCAACACTATATATTGAAGACCCCCCCATGGAGAAAGGGATCCGAAATCATCTAGAATCACTAGGCTTCATTAGCTTTTACTCTCCTCTTGTTCATCACATAATCTCGCTAGGCTTGTTAGCGAGATTGCTTCTCTTGTAACTTCTTGATAATCTAAGAGTCGAATTAAGCATTCCAGTTTCCTAAACTCACATCTTGATAGCCCGTCTTGACGAGTGCTATCTCGGATTCAACATGTAACAACAACAATAATTCTATCATAGATAAAAATGACCAACATACAGCAACAACAACAATAATTATATACTAAGAATTTACAAATTTTGAGTCCAAGATTTACCTGTGATGTGGCCGGCCTGACTAGTCCCGCCGGTCTCCACCAGAATAACCCCGCGGTGCCGATCCACTCTGACCCGCTGACTGCACCGCTGCAATCTGAACCACTGGCTGAGTCGCTATCGGCTGAATCGACGCCACCGCCATGCTCTGCAACTTGGGACACATTGGCCTGAGACGTCCCGGCTCAATACGATGATAACACACCCTGGCATCCTGAACTGCCTCCCTCCTAGGACAGCTCGCCATACAGTGCTCCGTACTTCCACAACGATAAATAGAACCTCGACTACTTTAAGTACCTCCCGAGCTCTCGTCCCGACTCCTCTTCTGACCCTGCGTACACCTACCGCCCCTGCCAGAACCAGAACGCGAACTGAAACTGCCACCTCTGTGTTGATGCTGCAGCTGCTGACTCTGAGGCTGGATAGTAGGAGCAACTGCAGACTGCACGGCTACCAGACCAACCAATTGACGCTGGTCCGCCTCGATCGAAGACGCCAACTCCACTAAGCCCGCCCGCGTCGTATACACACCACCTCTGCACTGTGTCCTGATACTTAACCAATGTCCCTCCAGGAACCTCTGCATCAGCTGGTAATCATCCTCCATGCCTCGGCCGGCATGTACCACTAGCCTACTAAATTCGGCATCATAGTCGCGTATAGAACGCTCACCCTACGATATCGACATAAACCACAACTGAAGGCGACACCACGTCTCTCTAGGAAAATACTTGGCGTTGAATTCCGCAAGGAACTCGCCCCAAATCCAAAGTGCCCTCCGCCCTAAAATAGACCGTGTAACATCCGTAACCCATTTAATGGTTATTTATTTTAAAGACTTCCGCTATAATTGTTTAGTATTTAATTACAAAAAAAAAAATTGTTGGTTGTTTCACACCCACACCACAGATGCGCGTCTCCATTCAGATGGTGGACCGCTAGCTCAACCTGATACTCCAAAGGACACTAGATCGACTGAAAATTCCGCTCTAGTCTCTGACGCCACGCGTCTGCCTCCTCGTGACCAACTCCGCCCTCAAAGAACGGTGTACCAATCATCTGCATCTGCCCCATCATCTCCAGATAGGGCGGAACAACCAAACCCGCAGCCTGCGGCTGAACAACCTCTGCAGCTCTCTGCTGCATCTCTGGTACTGGACCCTGTGGAACTACTGCGTCAGTAACCCCACAACTAGGTCATCACGAGCCGGAGTCGAAGCACCGCCCCCACCCGGAGCAGCCCCCACTCCCACACCAACATTAACATCCACACTGGCCTCACTTGCTACGGATACTGACTAGGTCACCGACGCAGTCGCCACGGCGCTGCACTCTCTCCCAAATCTGCCACAAGTCCACGACCATGACCTCGGCCTGCTCGGCCTCCAGCTCTACCACCAGCTCTGCCACCATGGCCTTGAGCACCGCGCCACGACCTATAGCAACTCCATCCATCTCACTGTAACGGTTTGTGATAAATGAGGAGAGGGTTAAGAGAATTTATTTGGCTACCTATGTCAACAAAGTGCACTTACCTTTTCGGTCAAAGGTTTATAAGTAACTCCAGAATTAAGCGTGCTTGGGCTGGAGTAGTTGAATGATGGGTGACCTGCCGGGAAGTGGTTTCCGAAACTAAGTGAGTAAGGCCAAAACACGGAGAAAGGTCGGGTGTTGATTGCAGGGATAGTAAACAAGTCATTAGTGACTCTCAAAAATAACGGACCGGCCGTCGAACAAGGGTGAGGCCCACAGGCCCAGATGGGCCTGAGGGCCCAGAGAGAGGGCGTGGGTGACACACCGGCAGAGGCGGTCGGGGCGTTATGATTTTGCACACATCGGAGGATATGCTTAGAGCATGTGTCCTAGACTGGGAAGGCAAATGGGGAAAATATTTGCCACTAGCTGAGCCTACAACAACTGAGACGCCCCTGGACTAGATCGAGTATGAAGGTAAGTGAATGAATGGATCGGATCACAAAGAAACCGATTGTGAATGGATGATCGGATGAAATGATGAAGTGAATGGCTATACTAGAGATCCGCGGAAGAGACTCTAACACCGCCTCCAACATGTTGATATTACGCACAACAAGTGGACAGAAGAATGATCAAACAAAAGAGAGGTTTTGATAATAGATTGATTGATAAGTTTCAAAGAGAGAAAGGACTAGGGTTTTAAAGAGAGAACAGAGAGAGAGAGAGAGAGATGATTGGAACAAGCTCCAACATCTCGAGAACACACAAAACATAAATGAAACAAAGACTGAGAAAGACCCTCGGCTTCTGGCGCTCTCCTTTGAATCTTGGGCCGGACCTTCACAAATGAGAAAAGAGAGGATTTGGAAGTGTGCTATGGGCCTCGTTAAAAACCTTGTCAAGAAAACCCAAGGGACAAAACTTGACAAGGGAAAAAGAGCACACCACAACACACTTGTCTCTTTATCCCATTGTAAGGCCTTCAAGCAAACCAGAGTAGTTGGCTTGGTTTCTTGCTGACTCAAACAGCTAAGGACTTTGCCAATTGCTTGGTTTAGTGCCTTAGTTCGTGAACGAGTGATTGGGCCAGTTGGAATGGCTAAATGCTCTCCTCAGGTACAAGCTGCTCTGCTTCAAGTCCCTCCTCGGCCAAGCTGCTCCATTCCATCTTCTTCCTCGGCCAAAAGCTGTTTTCCTGAACCTCCTCATCCATGATCGCATCATCCCCTCCCTCTTGAAAAGGATTTGACCTCAAATCTGGTTCATCTGCAAGAAAAGGAGATAAGTCAGCAACATTAAAACTAGGACTGATATTGTACTTACCTTGGAGATCAACTCTATAAGAGTTATTGTTGATTCGCTTGGTGACTGTGAAAGGGCCATCAATGCGCGGCATAGCTTGGACTTGCGCTCGGCTGGGAATCTTTCTTTGCGAAGATGAATCCAAACTTGATCTCCAGCCTCAAAGATTAGTTCGCGCCGTCCCTTGTTGGCCTTCTTGGCATACTGCCTTGTCTTTTCCTCAATATTCTTCTTTGCCTGCTCATGTATCTTCTTCACCATCTCAGCTCTCTTCTGTCCATCTGGCAGAGGCATTAAATCCAAAGGTGACAGGGGTTTAAACCCATAAACAATTTCAAAAGGAGAGAACTTAGATGCTGAATGCACAGAATGATTATAAGCAAATTCTATATGAGGCAAGCAATCATCCCAATTCTTAAGATTCTTTTTAAGCAGCACACGCAACAAGGTTCCTAAAGTCCGGTTTACAACCTCAGTTTGACCATCAGTTTGGGGATGACAAGTGGTGGAAAATAAAAGCTTAGTCCCTAACTTAGACCACAAGGTTTTCCAAAAGTAACTAAGGAACTTAGTGTCACGATCAGAAACAATGGTGCGCGGCATGCCATGCAATCTAATGACATCTTTAAAGAACAATGCAGCAACATGAGATGCATCATCAGTTTTATTGCATGCAACAAAATGAGCCATCTTAGAAAATCTATCCACAATCACAAAATGGAATCCTTTCCATGTCTAGTTCTGGGTAAACCAAGAACAAAGTCCATGGAAACATCAGTCCAAGGTTGTGATGGAATAGGGAGAGGAGTATACAAACCGTGGGGTTGGACCTTGGATTTGGCCAACTTACAAGTGGTGCAGCGAGCACATATGCGCTCCACATCTCTAATCATGTGTGGCCAATGGAAATGATCTCTCATGATCTGTATAGTCTTGGCAACTCCAAAATGTCCCATAAGTCCTCCTCCATGTGCTTCCCTGACAAACAAGTCCCTCAAAGAACAATTAGGCACACAAAGGCGGTTCTCATAAAAGAGAAACCCATCCTGTCTCACATAGCGACCAGAAGCAAACTTAGAACAAGCTTGATAAATATCAGAAAAATCAGCATCAGAAGCATATAGTTCTTTAATTTGCTCAAAGCCTAAGAGTTTGGCATCAAGAGTAGAGAGAAGTGTATACCGTCTAGACAATGCGTCGGCCACGACATTGTCCTTACCTTTCTTGTACTTGATCACATAGGGAAAGGTTTCTATGAACTCGGCCCAGCGAGCATGCCTCTTGTTGAGCTTCTGTTGGCCTTTGAAGTGCTTGAGTGATTCATGATCAGTGTGATAACAAACTCCTTGGGCCATAAGTAATGCTGCCAAGTTTGCAGCCTTATCATAGGTTGGGTAATTGAGAGTGGCTCCTCCAAGTTTCTCACTGAAGTAGGCAATCGGCTTCTTGTCTTGCATGAGAACAGCTCCTATTCCGATTCCTGAGGCATCACACTCAATTTCAAAAGTTTTAAGAAAGTCAGGCAACATAAGAACAGGTGCATTAGTAAGTCGATCCTTAAGAGTCTGAAATGCTTCCTCCTGTGCCTTCTCCCACTTGAAACCAACTTCCTTCTTGATAATCTCAGTCATTGGCGCGGCTATGGTGCTAAAATCCTTAACAAACCGCCGATAGAATCCGGCCAAGCCATGAAAGCTCTGACCTCTCCAACGGTCTTAGGACTAGGCCAATCCCGATAGCTGCGACCTTCTCTTCATCAACCTGTACGCCATCTGCACTCACCACAAAACCTAGAAACACCACGTTATTGTACAAAAAGTGCATTTCTTAAAGTTGGCGAACAGCTTCTCCTCCCTAAGAACTTTCATGACCGCGGCAAGATGCTTAAGATGATCATCAAAGGTCCTGCTATAGATCAGGATATCATCAAAATAAACAACCACAAAATGACCAATGAAAGACCTAAGGACATGATTCATCAACCGCATGAAAGTACTTGGCGCATTGGTCAAGCCAAATGGCATCACAAGCCACTCATATAGACCATGCTTGGTTTTAAAGGCGGTTTTCCACTCATCACCTTCCTTCATCCGGATTTGGTGATAACCACTCTTAAGATCAATCTTAGAGAAGATGCAAGAGCCATGTAACTCATCTAACATGTCATCAAGTCTAGGATAGGGTGTCGATACTTTACAGTGATGTTATTGATGGCGCGGCAGTCGACACACATTCTCCAGCTTCCATCCTTCTTAGGAACAAGAAGAACAGGAACAGCACAGGGGCTCATGCTCTCTCTAATGTGGCCTTTCTCCATGAGTTCATCCACTTGGCGCTGAAGCTCCTTGGTCTCAACCGGATTGGTTCTGTAAGCCGGCCTGTTTGGTAAAGTGGAGCCGGGGACAAAGTCAATCTGGTGCTCAATACCTCGGACAGGAGGCAAGCCTGGTGGACTATCCTCAGGAAAGACATCACTAAAGTCCTGCAAAAGTTGAGCTAGTTCACTCGGAATCTCCGGTGGAGTATGAGTCAAGCCAATCAAGTGTTCCTTATATATAAATAAAAGAAAAGGTTTGTTTAAGTTCAAGGAACGTTTAACCTGTTTTGGCTTCACCAGGAAGTTCTTTGGCTTAGGGACTTAGGTGCTTGACTTCTTTCCAGCAAGTTGTAACTGATCTTCATAGACTTCTTGTGGACTCAAAGGAATCAAAGTGGTTTTACGGCCCTCATGAAGAAGAGTGTAGCGGTTTGTGAATCCATCATGGATCACACGCCTATCAGATTGCCAAGGCCGCCCTAAGATGATGTGACCGGCGTCCATGGGCAGAATGTCACAAAGGATCTCATCCTTGTAGTTGCCAATGGACAAGGCACAACCACTTGGTTCTTGACACTCATCTCTCCAGTTTCATTCAGCCAGTTAAGCTTATAAGGCCGTGGATGCTTCTTGGTAATAGTCCCAACTTCTCAACCATAGTTTCACTCGCCACATTGGTACAGCTTCCTCCATCGATATCAAGCTGCACACCTTATCTTGACTAAGCACCGAGTGTGAAAGAGGTTCTCGCGCTGCTCATCTTATCAGTCTGACTTGAGTACTCAAGACACGTCTGGCCACCAAAGTTGCCTTGGACAGGCACGGCTTCATACTCCTCAGGTTCTTCTTCTTTCTCTGGTTTCTCCGGCTCTGGATCCTCCTCGGACTCAATCTCTCCATTGTCGCGGATGATCATCACTTTCTTGTTCAAGCAATCAGAGGCATAATGCCCAAACCCTTGACACCTAAAGCACTTGAGATCACGGGTTCTGGCTGGTGGAGTGCGCTCAGTCCGGCTCCTGTCTTGATTAGTAGCCAGAGGTTTCATTTCTGACTTGGGCGCGAAAGGCTTGAGTCGCGGTGAAGGTTGGTCGGCGCGGCTCTGTATTGAATCGAGTGGAGCTTCTCCTCTTTAATTGTGTCTCGGCCAAGACAGCTTTGTGGAGCATGGACTCTATAGCCACACAATTTTGCATCTCCACAATGTCTTGTATCTCACGGTTCAAGCCTCCAAGGAATCGAGACATAGTGGCCTCGCGATCTTCAATCACATTGGCGCGCAAGAGCATTACCTCCATCTCTTGATAATATTCTTCCACAGACTTGGACCCTGAGTAAGCTTCCTGAGCTTGAGTGTAGCTCACGTTGGTAATGGCCAGGGACAAATCGCTGCCTCATGATGCGCTTCATTTCTTCCCAAGTGGTAATCTCAAAGGCACCACCAATCTCGCGAGCCAAAATGATTTGCTTCCCACCATCTAGCGCATAATCGTTGAACTCCGAGACGGCTAGCTTGACACGGTTGTCGCCAATGATGTTGTGCAAGTTGAAATTGAACTCGCACTTCTTTTCCCAGTCCATGTACTCGTCTGGATTGTTCCGGCCATGGAACGGTGGAATCTTCATTTTGTAGCCTCCCAAGTTTTCCAACCATACGGTCTGGCTCATTCTCGCGGCCTTCTAGATCGGCGCCGGCTTGAGTGAGAGGAATGACCGCTACCGTAGTAGACATGAGCCTGATCGTCACCGAGCCATGAGATGCCATGGGATCGTTCCTCTTGTCTCCATCGAGATATGTATTGGATTCCTAGTCTCCTTCCTTCTTGCCTTGTTTGATCTGTTCTCTCCGATCAAACTCCTCGCCATCATCTTCTTGATCTGATCTAGCAAGGCCTCACCAACACCGCTTGATCCTTCTTCCTTTCTGACGCCATAGTACCTGAAATTTAAACAAAACCGGCAGTCAAAAGTTCAAAGGAAAATTGTTGCAACAATTTTAAAAATCATAGAAACAATTTTAAAAATTATGCAACCACTCAGAGATGACAGATCTATGTGAAAATGACCAGAATAAATTGTGGCAAAATTATTAAAATTATGGAATAAATTAAAAATGCAGTGATGGGAGATGATCAAATGGATGATGAAACAAGTGATGGATGATGAACAAATGATTTCAAATGATCGAAAAGTAACCTTGATGAGTAAACAAGCATTGGATGTGAAGGTAATGACAATGGAAACAAAGAAACGATCAATAGCACAACAACAAAGCAAAATCATATTCAAGATCTACGATTCTCAGATTTAGAAGATGAACAGTCATAAACATAAAAATCGAGATCACTTAGCTTTAAGGGCTCTGATACCACTGATACGCCCCTGGACTAGATCGGCTTGAAAGCTAAGTGTTGAGCGGATTGGAACACAAAGGAAACCGATGGTGATGGATGATGATGAATGATGAAGAATGGCTATACTAGAGAACCCGCGGAAATGGAACTCTAACACCACCTTCGAACTTGTTGATATTACACACAACAAGTGAAAGGAAATTCTGTGGACTTAGTTGATATTACGCACAACAAGTGAACAGAAGAATGATCAAACAAAAAGAGAGGTTTTGATAATAATTGATTGATAAGTTTCAAAGAGAGAAAGGACTAGGGTTTTAAAGAGAGAAGAGAGAGAGAGAGAGAGATGTTGGAACAAGCTCCAACATCTCGAGAACACACAAAACATAAATGAAACAAAGACTAGAGAAACGACCCCTCGGCTTCTGGCGCCTCCATTTGAATCTCTCTTGGGCCGGACCTTCACAAATGAGAAAAGAGAGGATTTGGAAGTGTGCAATGGGCCTCGTTAAAAACCTTGTCAAGAAAACCCATAGGGACAAAACTTGACAAGGGAAAAAGAGCACACCAAACACACTTGTCTCTTTATCCCATTGTTAAGGCCTTCAAGCAAACAGAGTAGTTGGTTTGGTTTCTTGCTGACTCAAACAGCTAAGGACTTTGCCAATCACTTGGTTTAGTGCCTTAGTTCGTGAACGGGTGATTGGGCCAGTTGGAATGGCTATGCTCTCCTCAGGTTCAATGGGCCCGTGGGCCTCACCCCTGTCCGACGGCCGGTCCGTTATTTTTGGGAGGCTCCGAGAATGTATTTACTATCCCTGCAATCATCACCCGACCTTTTCCCGTGTTTTTTCCTAACTCACACGGTTTCGCAGAGGACTTCCCGAAAGGTCACCCATCCTTCCACTACTCCAGCCCGAGCACGCTTAACTCTGGAGTTCTTTATGGGCTCTTGACCGAAAAGGTAAGTGCACTTTGATGACATAGGTAGCCAAATCAATTCTCTTAAGCCTCTCCTCATTTATCACAAACCGGGATGTTACAACTCACCCCCACTCACTGTGTCAACGTCCTCGTTGCGCACCTGGATCATCACCCCCTGACGGTGTGAGTCAAGGCCACTTCAACTTGACTCCACACTCTCGTCTGGGTTTGGCTCTGAGTACAGCTTATCATCCGCAGACAGATGGTCAGTCAGAGAGGACTATTCAGACCTTGGAGGATTTGCTGAGGATGTGTGTGTTGGATTGGGGTGGCCATTGGGCAGATCACCTGAGCTTAGTTGAGTTTGCATACAACAACAGCTTTCAGGCGAGTATTGGCATGGCTCCATTTGAGGCTTTGTATGGGAGGCCATGTAGGACACCCCTATGCTGGACCCAAGTGGGGGAGCGCAGCATGTATGGAGCTACTTATGTTCAGGAGACGACAGAGAAGGTTCGTGTTGTGAGGCTGAACATGAAGGAGGCTCAGGATAGGCAGAAGAGTTATGCAGATAGACGCAGACGAGAGCTTGAGTTTCAGGTGGGAGATAGAGTTTATCTCAAGATGGCTATGTTGAGGGGTCCTAACAGATCCATAGCAGAGAACAAGCTGAGTCCGCGTTTTATGGGTCCGTTTCCAGTAGTGGAGCGAGTTGGGCCATTGGCTTACAGGCTGGAGTTGCCTGAGATTATGAAAGCCTTTCACAAGGTTTTTCATGTGTCGATGCTGAGGAAGTGTCTTCACCCTACAGAGGAGTTAGTGGCTAGGATTCCAGAGGATCTTCAGCCAGATTTGACAGTGCCGGCAGTGCCTGTGAGGATTTTAGAGAGGAGGGAAAAGGTTCTGAGGAACAAGAGGATTCCCTTACTGAGGATTTTGTGGGATTGCAGTGGTTCTACAGAGGAGACTTGGGAGCCAGAGGCAAAGATGAAGTTGAAGTTCAGGAAGTGGTTCGACAAGCAGGTCGAGGAGTGAGCTTATTTCATCTTTGTAGCCTCAGTTGTTGTTTTGGCTTTGGTGTTATTGTATTTTCGTTTTGGTTGTAACGATATACATTTTGGAGTTTTAATGAGATGCAGTTTTTCCTCATTTTGCCTTGTGTTGTTTAATGGTATTTCGGATGTTACAAGTGTTTGACCAGTTGGTTGTGAGACGGTCTAATCTTATTGTTATAGACATTCTTGGAATTTTTACTCTAAGGATTGCGATCCTGAATAACTCATTACGGTTTTGGAGACTTCGTTCTCTGGCAGACTCATCTGAGTGTAGTGGCCTCAGTATGAGTGACTTAGCTGAGTGTAGTGGCCTCAGTATAAGTCGTGGCTGACTTATTGGGTGTAGTGGCCCAGTATAAGCGGTTGGTTCGTCTGGGTGCAAGTGGGCCCAGTGGGTAGGTGCAGACTTGTCTGGGTGCAAGTGGCCTCAGTACAAGTGGTTTGAGGTGATGAGTTAGGAGTAAAGATTCTAGAGACGTGCTTATGACATAAGATTAGATGAGAGTCTCGGGGATCAGGTGAGGATCTCCGGTGTTGCGGCCTTGCGAGGTCGGGTTTTGTGGTCTTTGTGACGTTTGTTGGGATTCGAGGTCGAATCCAGTTTAGTGGGGGAGAGTTGTAACATCCATAAACCAAAAATTGGGAATTTTGTCGGTTCAATTTAAGTGAATTGGTTTGGGTCGGTTTAGTGGAGAAAGCCCTAAAATCAAGTTTAAAGAGTGCAGCCGTCTTCTCTTTGGAGAATTTTCGAGTTCAGAGGCTGTAGAGGAGAAAAGTGGAGTTTTTGGAGAGATTTTCGTACTGTTTTACTGTTCATCGGGGTACTGTTCATCGGGTTACTGTTCTTCGGGTTACTGTTGAGTCGGAGAACCACCCCAACCTGGAGCAGCCCCCGCTCCCAAACCAACACTGGCATCATCCGCCAAAGAAACTGACTGGGTCACCGACGCAGTATGCACACTCGGTGCCACGCTCTCTGCCGACTCCTCCGGAAGTCCACGACCACGACCTCGGCCTGCTCGGCCTCCAGCTCTGCCGCCACGACCTCTAGCACCGCGCCCTCTCGCGCCATGACCTCTAGGAGGTCCATCCATCTCACTGCATGGACCCAAACATGAGCAACTAGACAATAACACCAAGAATACAAACACCAAAACTCACCGCGGAATCTCCTTTAGCTGAAGGGGATGATACTAAGCCTAACAATTCTAGCTGTCCTAAAACAGACCGCCCCTCCCGGCTCTGATACCAAAATTATAACGCCCAGACCGCCCCTCCCGGTGAGTCACCCACGCCCTCTCTCTGGGCCCGCAGGCCCATCTCGGCCCGTGGGCCTCACTCCTGTCCGACGGCCGGTCCGTTATTTTTGGGAGGCTCCGAGAATGTATTTACTATCCCTGCAATCATCACCCGACCTTTTCCCGTGTTTTTTCCTAACTCACACGGTTTCGCAGAGGACTTCCCGAAAGGTCACCCATCCTTCCACTACTCCAGCCTGAGCACGCTTAACTCTGGAGTTCTTTATGGGCCCTTGACCGAAAAGGTAAGTGCACTTTGATGACATAGGTAGCCAAATCAATTCTCTTAAGCCTCTCCTCATTTATCACAAACCGGGATGTTACATTTAGTATTAAATTAATTAAATGGTTTAAAATAATTATATTAATTATGAAAAATTATTAATTAATTAGAATTATTTAATAATTGGAAAATGGTATTTAATAATTATTGAGTTTATAAATATTATTAAATATCTAGTAAATTGCGTAAATGGCTCGTAGGCAGAGTGATTGCCTCACTAAGTATTTATTAAATACTTACGCAACTCCATTCCAATGTGTTGCAGGTAAAAGATTTGTGTGATCGCGGAATCAAGGCTGAAGAGGGGGATGATAGGATGTTTACTGTTTTATTTTTTGCATTGTTTGCTAGACTTGTTTAATTATTATTTGCTTCCGCTGAACTGATTTATTTGTTATTGATATTTATTTATTTAATTTATTTTAAAGACCTTCGCTAGAATTGTTTATATTTAAAAAAAAAAAGTTGGTTGTTTCATTTTGGTATCAGAGCCTAGACGGTTTTAGGATTGTTAGAATTGCTAGGCTTAGTATCATCCCCTTCAGCACAGGAGATTCCGCGGTGAGTTTATGGTGTTTGTTTTTGTGTTATTGTCTAGTTGCTCATGTTCGGGTCCATGCAGTGAGATGGACGGAGCTCCTAGAGGTCGTGGCGCGAGAGGGCGCGGTGCTAGAGGCCGTGGCGGAAGGCTGGCCGTGGCAGCAGAGCTGGTGGTAGAGCTGGAGGCCGAGCAGGCCGAGGTCGTGGTCGTGGACTTCCGGAGGAGTCGGGAGAGAGTGTCGGCACCGAGTGTGCATACTGCGTCGGTGACCCAGTCAGTTCCGTTGGCGGTGATGCCAGTGCCAGTGTTGGTTTGGGAGCGGGGGCTGCTCCGGGTGGGGGTGGCGCTCCGGCTCCGGGTCGTGATGACTTAGTGGTGGGGTTGCTGACGCAGCTGTTGGCTCGTTTTCCGCCGGTGGTTCCACAGGGGGCTCCAGGAGTACCGCCAGTGGCAGAGGTGCAGCATGTTGCTGCAGAGGTTGCGCAGCCGGGGCTGCAGATGCCGTTATTTGGAGTTTATGGGCCACATGCAGAGATTGGTACGCCTTTCTTCGAGGGCAGAGTTGGTCCGGAGGAGGCAGACGCGTGGCGTCAGAGAGTGGAGCGGAACTTTCATTCGATCCGTTGTCCGATAGAGTACTGGGTGGAGTTAGCGGTCCACTATTTGAGTGGCGATGCTCATTTGTGGTGGCAGGCCGCGGTGGGCCGGAGGGCATTTTGGACTTGGGGCGACTTCCTTGTGGAGTTCAACGCCAAGTATTTCCCGAGGCAGGCTCGTGATCGTCTTCAGATGCGGTTTATGGCATTGAGCAGGGTTCGCGTTCTGTACGCGAGTATGATGCGGAGTTCAGCCGTCTGTTAGTGCATGCGGGCTTTGGCATGGAGGTGAGCATCAGTTGACGAACCGGTTTCTGGAGGGACTTCGCAAGGATATCGGACGCTATGCAGAGTAGTATGCACACTTCGAGGGCGAGTCTGGTAGAGTTGGCCGCGTCAATAGAGGCGGATCTTGAGTGGGCCAGTTGGTCGGTGGCTATGCCATCTCCTCCTGCTACCCAGCCTCGGAGTCAGCAGCAGCAGCAGCAGCAGCGCAGAGGTGGTTCGAGTTTCAGTTCTGGTTCTGGCAGGGGCGGTTTGCCTGCGCAGGGTCAGAAGAGGAGTAGAGAGGAGTTTTCTGGTGCTAGTCAGTTTCCTCGTGGTTCGTGTTTTGGGTGTGGGAGCACGGAGCATCGTGTTTCGAGTTGTCCCAAGAGGGAGTCAGCACCGAGGGTGTGTTACTATTGCAAGGAGCCTGGGCATATCAAGCCCATGTGTCCTAAGTTGCAGAGTATGTCGGTGGCTTCAGTTCAGCCAGTAGCGGCTCAGCCAGTGAGTCAGATCGCAGCAGTGCAGCCGTTGGGTCAGATTGCACCGGCGCCGCGGGGCTTACTCTTCAGTGGAGACTGGCGGGACGAGTCAGACCGGGCAGATCACAGGTAAATCTTCGACTCAGACTTTGTAAATTCTTAGTATAGAATTTGTTGTTGTGTTATTGTATGTTAGTCATTTTTATCTGTGATAGTTTTGTGGAGGTTCTCAACGCAATTGAATGTGTAGGGACCTTGTTAGTGGGCGGTTTTGAGTCCCACGTTTTATTCGACTCTGGAGCATCGAATTGCTTCATTACACCGGAGCGTGCCGAGAAGAGTGGCATCCGGAGTAGCGGGCGAGAGCGCGGGCATGGTCAAGGTGGCGGGAGGTGGATTCTTGTCTACTTTGGGCCGTGCAAGATGATATACCTCTATTTTACATGCTTTTTATACTGTTTTAGTATTGTTTTCTAATGTTTTTGGCAGGTTTTCTATCTAAAAAGGTAGTTTTACTGTGTTTATAGTGTCTAGAGTCTAAACAGGTGAAATGATGCATTTTGGAGCAAAACCATAGGATTTGCACTTCAAGCCGCTCCATGCCAAGCATCAACTTTAAGAGGGCCCAGAAAAAGATCTACTCAATGGATTTCATCAAGACCAGTTCCCTGCGTGCTCTGAGTGAGTTAACTTTCCAACGCAACTGGAACGGCCTCATTTGGATGAGTAGAAAAGAGTTATAACCAAAAGAGTGAAGACTGGTCCAGTGGCTCTATCGAGAACCGCGGCCAAGCCGTGCAAGCGGCCGGCCGAGAAACGAATGTTCCGTGGTCGGCCAAAATCAAATCCGTCCGTCTAAAGTCTCGGCCAAAGTTCAACCACGGCCGAGTACGCATCACGACCCGGGAAGCAATGTCCCGCGGTCGGCCAAGCCACAACCACTCAAGCCATGCCGCGCACGACCATGCGCGCGATCCGGGAAGCAACGCCTCGCGGCCGCGCGACCTATCGCGTACCACGGCCGATGGCGCCGTCCGAGCCGGGAAAGCCACGTCCCGCACGTCGAGAAACATCGGCCAATGCTTCATCCGTCCGACCACAGCGCCGACCGTGAATCGGCCACGACCGTCCGATCGTTCCGACCACGACCACGACCCGATATCCGGCCGATCGTCCCGACCGACCGTCCGAACGCCGCGGTCGACCCGAAGCCCGTTTTGAAGCCCGTTTCACGTATTTTCACGGCCCGGCTTAACCCTAAGCCGCCTCTGAAGACCTAGCACTATATATATAGCTTTTTAGCCTCTTGTGAAAAGAGAGCCGCCTTGTATTACGATTTCATACTTTGAGTTTTATTGCAATCATGTTTTCTTCATCTCTTTGTGTTGTTGCTTTGATATGTCTGAGTAATTCACTAGTTAGGTTGTGAGATCTATCAAAGAGTTCATGGTTTGATAGGTTGTTAGAAATCGCATAGGGTTTACTATATCGCATCTTCACCTCTACTTGAATTCATTGCTGCTTGCTTTTCTGATCAACTAGCATCAGATCTTAGGTTTCATATACTCTCCAAAAGCTTGCTATATAACCTGAACTAAGTATTTGGTGAGCAAAACTTCATAGACTGCGAAAGTTGATCTATGCGGGGTTGTGAACAATTGGGTCTTGAACGAATTATTGCTTGATTTAATCACCTAGGGACATACCAAAAGTTTAGCGACTAGGTAGATTAACAAAGGGGTCGGAGCCTCGACAGTGGAAAGATCATACAATCGTGACCTGAGTTCTAGATAGCGCAAACCCTAGCGAACCTTCTAATATCTTGTTAACCTTGAATCTCTGCGAGTTTCTCATTGCCTAGCGTTTCCCTTTAATTGATTTTCATAAACCGTTTAACTGCTGCTTGATTTCTTTGTTACACAATCAAAACCCTAAATCATACTTGTTTTCTAGCTATATTAGACTTGCAATACTCGAAGTGTACTTATCTGCTCCTTGTGTTCGATACCCGTTTACTACTTCTGACCTGTGCACTTGCAGAATCAGGGATAGGAAAAGGGAAGACCTGATCCCGCGATCAAGTTTTTGGCGCCGTTGCCGGGGAGCAATACAGCTACCTTCGAGTTCCCAACTATAGTCTAGTCTAGAATTTCGTTTTTCCTTTTAGTTTTTGCAAATTTTCAACTTTTGTTTTTCTTTTTACTGTTTTCTATTTAAAAGAATCTGCCTCTACCTCTTTCAGGAACTAAACTTGAAGGCAAGACTCTAGCATGAGTGATTCAGACGATCAAGAGGAGAGAGATAACTTGGCCGCGAGAGAGATCGCGCTGGCCGAACAACGCGAAGGCCCTCCGGATCCGAACGTCGCGCACAACCGCGCCAATGATGAGATGCCGAGAGACGGAGCGCGAAACAATGAGGAAGTAATGGGAGATTTCGATTCAAATCCAACACTGCTAATAAATCGGAATCCCATCCAGCCGCCACTTCCTGAAGGAAGGAGCTATGAGATTTCACCAGAGATCATTGCTTTGGTGAAACAAAACCAGTTCCAAGCAGTGTTTTGAAAACCGGACCGGATCGGCCGGTCGAACCGGTTAAACCGTGACCCGGAAGGTTACCCGGGTTGGTTTGTTGCTGAAACCGGATTCTGAGAAAACCCAAAAAACCGTATAAAAACCGGCTAAAACCGGTGAACCGGGTTAAACCGGTGAATCACAAAAACCCGGTTTTTAAAATTGAGAGTTTATTGCATGATTTTCTCATGCTTTCTACAGAGTGAGTGATTCTTGTGTTGATTACTTGATTTTCATTGATCTGTTTCGGTATGTATGATATGAAAAAAGAAAAACGAAAATTGTAGATGTAAGGAAGAAACAAATAGAAATGGAAGAACCATTAATGAAATGTACACAGAAATTTGAAATTTGAGAAAATGAAAAGAAAGAGGAGAAAGAGGAGAAAGAAGGAGAAGAGTCACAAGATTGAAGAGAAGAGAGGCGGCAGCCTTTTTTGGGAATAGAAACAAATTATTTACGATTTATTTACGATTAAGTATATTAATTCCAATAAACAAATCTTAAAATAGCAAATCACATTAATTGTAATATTTCCTTTACAGATATATAGTGGCAATATATGTATATACTAATAAAAATAAAAATAAAATATATATTTATTGGGAATCCGGTTGAACCGGTTGGACCGGATCAACCCATGACCCGGAGGTCCTTCCGGTTCGTCTTCCGGTCCGGTTTTAAAAACACTGGTTCCAAGGAAAACCCCAGGAGAATCCCTTGGAGCATATTGATGCATTTGAAGAAATCTGTGGAACCATTAGTGCAGGTGGAGCGCCCAAGGAGTACTTAAAGTGCAAACTTTTCTCTTTCACTTTGACAGGGAAGGCTTTAAGATGGGTGAAGTCTCTTCCAGCTCAATCCATAACCACATGGAAAGAGTACAAGGTGGCATTCTTAGGCCATTTCTTCACAAAGCAAAGAGCAAACTTATTGAGAGAAAAGATCTCTAGTTTCCAACAAGGGCCGGTGGAGCCTTTTCATGAAGCATTGGAGCGCTTTAAGGACTACACAAGGGAGTGTCCTAATCATGGGCTATCTGATGGCAGTCTATGGAACATTTTCTACAGAGGAATAAGTGGGAAGTGTCGATTTTCTCTTGATACAGCCAGCAATGGAAATTTCATGACCAAGACAGTTACTGAAGCAAAGATTCTAATGAGAATCTAGCCTCAAGCGACAGTGACAACTTCATTGGGCATGAAAGAGCAGTCAAGGCCATAAATTCTGATCCATACAGAGATGGATACAGCGAGATCAAAGGCCATGATGGCTGAGATTTTGAGAAACCAAGGAAGAGAAGTGGAAGACAAAGAGAAGCTTATAGAGTTGAGTCCACAATAATTCAAGATTACTTTGGAGATTTGATTCCAAACTTCCAAGAAGAAGTAAACTTTGTTGGAATAGATGGATTGGCACATGGCGAAGAAGCTTGGAAAGGTGAGCATGATGTTTTTACAACCCAAAAGTCACCCAATGGAAAGAGGGATGTTCATGGAGGAAGAAATTATCAGCAACCACCTCACAAGAGAAGAATGGAGCCAAGAGCAACTTTGAAGATTTGATAACTTTCATCAAGAGTTCTCATAGAGAGCACACATCCATGATTGATGAGAGACTAGAATCAGCCTTCACGCGATTGAATGAGAAGTTGGATTCTATTTCTTCTTTCACACGAGACTTGGATCTTAGAGTTGCCAACATAGCCAGCTCTATTAAGAGAGAAGAAGGTGTGCTACCAGGAAAAAGTGGAAATCAATCCAAGGAGGGAGCAGTAGCTGCTATCACTCTTAGGAATGGCAAGGGATATGAGCCGCCGGCATATCCAGTTCAAGAGGAAACAATGCCGCCAATAAAGAAGAAACCAATGGAGTATGTTATCATTGGAGATGGAACTGAACCACCTAAGGAAGTCCATGTCAGAATAGAGCCAGGAACTCAAGAAGAAGTGGAGAAGCCGCCTGAAGAACCAAGAGTGTATGAACCAAAGATCCCATACCGAAATGTTCTTTCTCAGCCCAAGAAGGAGAAGGAGCAAGCAAACTCAAGGATCTTGTTAGCCAACTTTCAGTTCGGTTGCCTTTCATTGATGCCTCCATCTCTCAGGAAATATATGAAGCCATACTCACAAGCAATGTAAACCTTGAAGAAGGAGCAATGATGATTACAAAAGAGTGTAGTGCCATACTTCAGAATCGCATGCCAGAGAAGCTGAACGACCCAGAGAGTTTTGTTTTGTCTTGCAAGATCGGTTCTACACACTTTCACAGAGCACTTTGTGATTTGGGCTCTAGTGTGAACTTAATGCCTTACTCAGTGGCCAAGCTATTGGGCATTACTGACTTCAAACCTACAAAAATATCCCTAGTCTTTGCAGACAGATCAGTTCGCCGCCCTGTTGGTGTTATAATGGATGTTCCAATCATGGTTGGAGATTGCTACATTCCTGTTGACTTTGTAGTTCTTGAGCTGGAAAATCAACCTAAGGACCCTCTTATCCTGGGAAGGTGATGGTGTTTTGTTTGTGTGTGAAAAGAATGAAATGAGATGAGTGGAATGCAATCAGTGGTAAATGAGGTGGTAAGATGCAAACACAAACACAGTCAACAATTCCCTTTAACCATCATAGTCATTGAAGTATAAGAGGTTATCAATCCAAAATGGGAAACTTGTCACTCTATGAGAATATGAAACAACCAGAAAGTCAAGCAAGCAGTTATAGATTTGAAGTAACACTAACAACCTAAAAATGAAAATGCAGTGCAATAAAAGTAAACAAAGCAGTGAAGTCAGCTCGACCAAGGACTCGAGTCGAGTGGAACAGAGTACCAGCTCGATCGAGTTTAGGGTCGAGTTAGAAAAAAGCTAAAGGTGACGACTTTAACAAGATAAAGAGAGAATTAGGGTTCAAGACAGGGTTTTGCAATCAAAGGAATCTACACTTAATCAATCTAGCTCTTAAAACTCCTTGTATCAAGGCTTCTCTTGATATTGGGCTTCTCAATGCCTAGCCAACCCTTTCCCAAGGTGGAGGCTATCAACCAAGGAATGATCTCAGAAACAGGGGGTTAGCCAGTGAGAATCAAACCTTGGAGGCTATAGGATCATTGCCCAAACTAATCCATCCAACCCCTTAGACCTCTATTGTCTAGAGCAAGAGATATTGGAGCTCTTAGTGGATCTTTTCCAGCGAATGCCATCACTTCGTGTGGGGAGTCGCCTAAGGACTTACAAGCCAGGGGTAGTGGTCATGTAGCCTTAAGATCTATCCAAAAGAGAGAGAATCTAGATTAAGACCATAAGCTAGAAGGATTAAGCATATGAAACCTCTAATCTATCCCATCTCAAACCCTAATGGGTAACTACTCACTACACATGAATGTAAACACAAGCAAATGCAATAAAAGAGACATCATAAGAAAGAGGAGATGAAATTAAACAACTTTTATTGAAATAAGCAAGTGCAAATACAAAGAAGATTATCCAGGATCTAGATTCAAGAAGCAAGAGCTTCAAGAACACAAAGATGGGATTAGATCTCTAAAAAGTAAAAGACAATAAATTAAAAGAAAGCTAAAACAAAATAATCTAAAGCTTGGTGGTTTTTTCGTGGCTTAGAGCCTTTAAATACAAGAGGATTAGGTTTAGGGTCAAAGGAAAGTCAAGGGGGAAGCAACATTTTTCGGGTTTGACTTTGACTTCCAGCTCGATCGAGTTGAAGCTTGGCCGGTCGAGTTGAGGAACTCGACCGGTTGGTCGAGTGGACGGTCGAGCTGGTCTTCAAGATGGCTTCTCCCTTCTTCCTTTGCGTGTCCAGTTGAGCTGCTTCCATGTGCCAAGTCCCTCCATGCTCCTCATGTCCCATATGCTCCAGAATGCTCCAAAAGACCTATTTCAAAGGACCAAACATGCATATGTATGCAAATGCAACCTAAAACTAACATGAATGCATAAGAAGAGAAAAGGAACAAGATATGATGCAAATGGAAGCTAAAACTATGCAAAAGATGCATAAAAGATGTGCTAAAACTATGTAAAATGCAAGTACATCAGAAGGCCATTCCTAGCTACTGCAGGAGCTATAATAGATGTCAAGAATGGAAAGATTGACTTGCATCTTGGAGATATAGTGATGAATTTCGAGGTAAACAAGTCCATGGAGAAACCAACTGTAGATGGTCAAGCTTTTTGGATTGGAGAGCTCGCAGAGACAAGAGAAGAAGTGCTGGATGAACTCCTTCTTATTGATCCCTTGGAGCTAGCTTTGACAAAGGCTGAAATGAGTATGGATACATGGAAAGAGAAGCTCAATGCTTAGTCAAGTTCATGGATTCCAAGGAAGCTTATAAGGAGCTAATAGCTTATATGGACTTAGAGAGAGAAGAGGAAGAGCCAGACATTGACAAGGATCAGGAAATATCACAAACCAAAGTTAAGTTCGACCCATGGTGCCCACTTAGAGCTCCAAAAGCCGAGCTCAAACAACTCCCAGTTGGTCTAAGGTATGAATATCTTGGTCCTAATGAAACATATCCTGTTATTGTTAATGCTGCACTAACAAAAGAAGAGACCGCTTTACTTGTTCGCGAACTGAGAAAGCATAGAAAGGCTCTTGGTTACTCTTTGGATGATTTAACAGGAATCTCACCTGAACTATGCACACATCGCATCATCCTGGAGGATGAGTCTAGTTCTTCAATTGAACACCAAAGGAGGCTAAACCCAAACCTAAAGGAAGTTGTCAAGAAGGAGATAATGAAGCTATTGAAAGGCTGGAGTGATTATCCAATATCAGATAGTGCATGGGTCAGCCCTGTACATGTCGTGCCAAAGAAAGGAGGGATCACAGTCATCAAGAATGAACATGATGAGCTCATTCCAACAAGGACAATCACAGGACACAGAATGTGTGTCGACTACAGGAAGCTGAACTCCTCTACGCGCAAGGACCACTACCCCTTGCCATTCATAGACCAGATGCTTGAGCGCCTTGCCAATCATCAATACTACTGTTTCTTGGATGGATACTCAGGATTTTTCCAAATTCCAATCCACCCAGATGATCAGGAGAAGACTACATTCACTTGTCCCTATGGCACATATGCTTATAGGAGAATGCCTTTTGGATTGTGCAATGCTCCAGCTACATTCCAAAGGTGTATGATGTCCATATTCACAGATCTAATAGAAGAGATTATGGAGGTTTTCATGGATGATTTCTCAGTATATGGTTCTTCCTTTGAATCATGTTTGGGAAATCTTGGAAGAGTGCTACAGAGATGTGAAGACAAGCACCTAGTTCTAAATTGGGAGAAGTGCCACTTTATGGTTAGAGATGGAATAGTGCTTGGACATAGAATCTCAAGAGAGGCATAGAAGTTGACAAGGCCAAGATTGAAGTCATGACAAACCTTCAGCCGCCCAAGACAGTTAAAGATATCAGAAGCTTCCTAGGACATGCTGGTTCTACAGGAGGTTCATTAAAGATTTCTCACAGATAGCAAGGCCGCTAACACGCCTATTATGCAAGGATATTAACTTTGAGTTCACAGAGGAGTGTCACAAGGCTTTCACTAAGATCAAAGATGCATTGGTCAGTGCGCCAGTGGTTCAACCTCCAAACTGGGAACTACCTTTTGAGATAATGTGTGATGCAAGTGATTATGCAGTAGGAGCAGTGCTTGGGCAAAGAAAAGACAAGAAGCTACATGTGATCTATTATGCCAGCAGAACACTTGATGAGGCACAATGCAAGTATGCCACAACAGAAAAGGAGCTATTGTCTTTGCATTTGAGAAATTTCGATCATACTTGGTGGGATCGAAAGTTATAGTTCATTCTGATCATGCAGCATTAAGGTATCTTTTATCCAAGAAAGATGCCAAGCCAAGATTGCTGAGATGGATACTACTATTGCAAGAATTTGATCTTGAGATCAAGGATAGAAGAGGAGCAGATAATGGAGTAGCTGATCACCTTTCAAGGATGAGAGTTGAAGAAAACCTACCTCTTGATGATAGGCTACCTGAAGAAACAGTTTATGCAGCTGAAGCTAGCAATAAGCATGGACAACTAGCCATCACAGGCCAGGAACAAAGATCTCATCATCAAACACACCATGGTTTCGCCACATAGCAAACTTCCTTGCAGCTGAATACCCACCACCAAACTTCTTTGGCTACAGAAAGAAGAAATTTCTGCGTGATGTAAGAAGGTACTACTGGGATGAACCTTACTTATACAAGAAATGTTCAGATGGAATGTTTAGAAGATGCATACCTGAGGAAGAGGTAGAAGGAATATTGTTTGCTTGTCATAGTTCTAGCTATGCAGGCCACTTTGCCACTTACAAGACAGTATCCAAGGTCCTACAAGCTGGATTTTGGTGGCCAACTATGTTTAAGGATGCTCATGCATTCATATCAAGATGTGATGCTTGCCAAAGAATGGGAAATATAAGCAAGAGGAATGAGATGCCACAGAACTTTATACTAGAAGTTGAAGTTTTTGATGTTTGGGGCATTGACTTTATGGGACCTTTCCCAACCTCTTTTGGTGACCAATACATTCTAGTGGCAGTTGATTATGTCTCCAAATGGGTGGAAGCCATTGCCAGCCCTACTAATGACGCACAAGTGGTCATCAAGATGTTTAAATCCATCATTTTTCCAAGGTTTGGAGTGCCTAGGATAGTCATAAGTGATGGAGGTTCACATTTCATCAACAGAATCTTTGCCAACCTTTTGAAGAAGCATGGAGTTACTCACAAAGTTGCCTCTCCTTACCACCCTCAAACTAGTGGACAAGTTGAGATCTCAAACAGAGAACTCAAGAGCATACTTCAGAAGACAACAGGCAAGACAAGAAAGGATTGGAGTGCCAAACTAGATGATGCTCTATGGGCATACCGCACTGCCTTCAAAACACCACTTGGTACCACCCCCTTTCATCTTGTTTATGGTAAAGCATGTCATTTACCTGTAGAGCTGGAGTACAAAGCAGCTTGGGCTATTAAGGAGTTGAACTTCAACCTAAAGACAGCAGGAGAAAGAAGATTGATTCAGCTGAATGAGCTTGATGAGATTAGGCATCTAGCTTATGAGAATTCAAAGATCTATAAGGAGAGAACCAAAGCTTTCCATGACCGCAAGATCATCCCAAAGAACTTCGCGCCAAACGACCAAGTTCTACTATTCAACTCAAGGTTGAAACTCTTTCCAGGAAAGCTTCGCTCAAGATGGTCAGGACCATTCAGGATTAAAGAAGTTCGCCCCTATGGAGCAGTGGTACTATGGGACCCAATGGGAGGAGACTTTACAGTCAATGGACAAAGGTTAAAACCCTACCTAGCTTCCACCACCATACCACAGGAGACCACACTGGCTCTTGGCGATCCACCAGATCCTTAAGGAAGTGCCATACAGTCAAGCTAATGACTTTAAACAAAGCGCTGAATGGGAGGCAACCCATTGAAGGTCATTTCTTTTCATTTTCTTTCTTTAATTTTCTTTTTTTGAATATTACCTCTCACCTTAATGTGATTTGCTTTCACCGGGACGGTGCAAGTTAAGTCTGGGGGGAGTTTTATTGTGTTACTAATGCATTTTTCTTTCTTTTCTTATGTTTTATTACTTTGTTTCATGTTTTTCAAAAAGTTTTATTGAGTCAAAAACCAGTCCGGAAGTTATGAACTTGCTTTGAGAATTGAGAGTGTTGTGCTAACAATCCATGACCCTAGAGCAGAAACCAGCTAAAGGCACAAGCCTAACAGAAGCTCTTACAGTGGATCGACATGCTAGCTCAGCAAAATTTCTAAGGTAACCAAGCAATCTAGAGTTAACCTCACCCTTAATCAATCTTAATACTCTTGTCAAGGGGGTTGGCATACATGTCGACAGTTCCTTGCTTGATTTTCAATAAGATTTGTCTAATCTTTAAAGAGTTCTCCTCTCTCTCCCATCCCAAATGGTAAGTAATTATGAGAAAAAGCTCAAAGAGCACAAGGAAAACAAGTAAGCATGAGGAATGCATATGTCTGTACCTTCATGTCTTATGGAATACCTTAGTCAAACAAGGAACAAGCTAAAGACTTATCCTGTGGTTGAAAGAAGGGTCAATAGAAAAAATAAAATGATACCCTAGAAAAGTAGGGAGAAATTGACCTTTCAAAGTTCTGATGTGAGAAAGAGAGAGGAAAAGAACTCATTGCACTTCAAAGACAATCTTGGAGAAGATCAAGTGGGTAAGAACAAGTTCAATTGATCGATGTCCCCTTGATAAAGAATTCACGCTTTAAATTTATGCAAGAGGTTAGCAATAGAGAGTTTGGATTGCTGGATGAGACTAGTTGGGTTGGTATTGTTCGCTAAACTTGCAGGGTGTATGTGAAGCTAACCTTATGTTGTCTATGTTCTTAGTGGAATACAGGAAAGGAACCTTTCACAGGATATTCAAAAGAGCAAGGGAGTTTCCACGTTTTCAAACCTCTTTCACGGATTTAGATTCTTTTTGCTTGGGGACAAGCAAAGATCTAAGTCTGGGGGAGTTGATATACCTCTATTTTACATGCTTTTTATACTGTTTTAGTATTGTTTTCTAATGGTTTTTGGCAGGTTTTCTATCTAAAAAGGTAGTTTTACTGTGTTTATAGTGTCTAGAGTCTAAACAGGTGAAATGATGCATTTTGGAGCAAAACCATAGGATTTGCACTTCAAGCCGCTCCATGCACAAGCATCAACTTTAAGAGGGCCCAGAAAAAGATCTACTCAATGGATTTCATCAAGACCAGTTCCCTGCGTGCTCTGATTGAGTTAACTTTCCAACGCAACTGGAACGGCCTATTTGGATGAGTAGAAAAGGAGTTATAACCAAAAGAGTGAAGACTGTCCAGACGGCTCTATCGAGAATCAGCGCCCAACCGCGCAGTCCGGCTGGCCGAGAACGAATGTTCCGCTCGGCCAAATATCCGTCCGTCTGAAGTCTCGGCCAAAGTTCAAACCACCGGCCGATCACGCATCACGACCCGGGAAACATGTCCCGCGGTCGGCCAAGCCAACCACTCACGCCAGCCGCGCACGACCATGCGCGCGAGCCGGGAACAAGCCTCGCGGCCGCGCAACCTTCGCGTACCACGGCCGATGCGCCGTCCGAGCCGGGAAAGACGTCCCGCACGTCCGAGAAACATCGGCCAATCTTCATCCGTCCGACCACAGCCGGCCGACCGTGAATCGGCCACGACCGTTCCGATCGTTCCGACACGCCACGACCCGATGTCCGGCCGATCGTCCCGACCGACCGTCCAACGCCGCGGTCGACCCGAAGCCCGTTTTGAAGCCCGTTTCACTATTTTCAAGGCCCGGCTTAACCCTAAGCCGCCTCTGAAGACCTAGCACTATATATATAGCTTTTTAGCCTCTTGTGAAAAGAGAGCCGCCTTGTATTCGATTTCATACTTTAGTTTTATTGCAATCATGTTTTCTTCATCTCTTATGTGTTGTTTGCTTTGATCATGTCTGAGTAATTCACTAGTTAGGTTGTGAGATCTATCAAAGAGTTCATGGTTTGATAGGTTGTTAGAAATCGCTAGGGTTTATATATCGCATCTTCGCCTCTGCTTGAATTCATTGCTGCTTGCTTTTCTGATCAACTAGCATCAGATCTTAGGTTTCATATACTCTCCAAAAGCTTGCTATATAACCTGAACTAAGTATTTGGTGAGCAAAACTTCATAGACTGCGAAAGTTGATCTATGCGGGGTTGTGAACAATTGGGTCTTGAACGAACTATTGCTTGATTTAATCACCTAGGGACATACCAAAAGTTTAGCGACTAGGTAGATTAACAAAGGGGTCGGAGCCTCGACAGTGGAAAGATCATACAATCGTGACCTGAGTTCTAGATAGCGCAAACCCTAGCGAACCCTTCTAATATCTTGTTAACCTTGAATCTCTGCGAGTTTCTCATTGCCTAGCGTTTCCCTTTAATTGATTTTCATAAACCGTTTAACTGCTGTTTGATTTCTTTGTTACACAATCGAAAACCCTAAATCATACTTGTTTTCTAGCTATATTAGACTTGCAATACTCGAAGTGTACTTATCTGCTCCTTGTGTTCGATACCCGTTTACTACTTCTGACCTGTGCACTTGCAGAATCAGGGATAGGAAAAGGGAAGACCTGATCCCGCGATCACTAGAGGAGTAGAGATCGAGATTGCGGGGCAGTCAATGCCAGCATACTTGGTCATCAATCCGGGATTGTTACAGAGGCAGGGTCGTCTTTCAGCGGGATGCAGGGAGGTTGGTTTATCAGGGAGTGAGACCGACTTCTGGGAGTATTGTGATATCTCCGATTCAGGCTGAGCAGTTGCTAGAGCGAGGTTGTGAGGCGTATCTGGCGACGATTTCTATGTCTAAGTCAAAAGGTGGAGTTGTTATGGGAGATATTGAGGTTGTCCAGGAGTTTGAGGATGTCTTTCTGTCACTGAAGGGATTACCACCATCTCGGTCTGATCCTTTCACGATTGAGTTAGAGCCGGGGACAGCACCAATATCGAAGACGCCTTTGTTGTACTTGCATTTTACATAGTTTTAGTACATCTTTTATGCATCTTTTGCATAGTTTTAGCATCCATTAGCATCATATCTTGTTCCTTTTCTCTTCTTATGCATTCATAGTAGTTTTAGGTTGCATTTGCATACATATGCATGTTTGGTCCTTGAAATAGGTCTTTTGGAGCATTTGGAGCATATGGGACGTGAGGAGCAAGGAAGGACTTGGTGCATGGACGCAGCTCAACTGGATACGCAAAGGAAGAAGGAGGAAGCCATCTTGAAGACCAGCTCGACCACCTACTCGACCAACCGGTCGAGTTCCTCAACTCGACCGGCCAAGCTTCAACTCGATCGAGCTGAGAAGTCAACAGTCAAACCCGAAAAATGTTGCTTCCCCCTTGACTTCCTTTGACCCTAAACCTAATCCTCTTGTATTTAAAGGCTAAGCCACGAAAAAACACAAGCTTTAGATTATTTTTGTTTTAGCTTTTCTTTAATTGTCTTTTACTTTTTGAACCTAATCCCTCTTTGTGTTCTTGAAGCTCTTGCTTCTTGAATCCTAGATCTGGATATCTTTTGTATTTGCACTTGCTTATTTCAATAAAAAGTTTTTTTCTCCTCTTTCATATTGATGTCTCTATTTCATTGCATTTGCTTGTGTTTACATTCATGTGTAGTGAGTAGTTTCCTTTAGGGTCAAAGATGGGCTAGATTAGGGGATTTTATGCTTAATCCTTCTTGCTTATGTTCTTAATCTAGAAATCTCTCTCTTTTGGACAAACCTTAAGGCTACATGACCACTACCCCTGGCTTGTATGTCCATAGGCGATTCTCCACATGGAAGTGATGGAAATCGTTGGAAAAGGTCCACTAAGAGCTCCAATACTCTTGCTCTCGAAATGGAGTTCATAGGGGTTGGATGGATTAGTTTGAGCAATGATCCTATGGCCTCCAAGGCTTGATTCTCACTGGCTAACCCCCTGTTTCTGAGATCAAGTCTTGGTTGATAGCTTTCACCTTGGGAAAGGGTTAGCTAGGCATTGAGAAGCTCAATATCAAGAGATACCTTGATACAAGTTGTTTGAGAGCAAGATGATTAAGTATAGCCTTCCTCTGATTGTAAACCCTGTCTTAGACCCTAATTTCGCATTAGCTTGTTAAAGTCGCTGCCTTTATCGCTTTTTACTTCAACTCGACCCTAAACTCGATCGAGCTCGGTTACTCTGTTCCACTCGACTCGAGTCCTTGGTCGAGCTGTTGCTTACTGCTTTATTTACTTATTGCATTTGCATTTCTGTTTCATTAGGTTGTTAGTGTTACATCATCTATTTACTGCTTGCTTGACTTCCTTGTTTTCATATTCTCATAGAGTGACAATTTCACCCATTTTGGATTGATACCCTTATACTATAATGACTATGATGGTTAAGGGAATTGTTGACTGTGTTTGTGTTTGCATCTTACCACCTCATCTTCATTACCACTGTTGCATTCCACCTCATCATTTCATCATTCATCACATCCACACACAAATCCTATCATCAATTTGGCGCCGTTGCCGATTTGGGATTATTTTGTTGCATTTGAGTTTCAAATACACTTGGACGATCAAGCTATACCACCCCTGTTCTTTGTACTGCTGGGTTTTTGTCTCTTTTTGCAGGTGTATGCGAACTCGATGGAGTCGGATGAGAAATTGCGTAAAGATGTCAAATCGTTGAATGAGAAGTTGGATAAGCTTATCTTAGCTCAGTCCACAATGAAGAAGGTCAATTTTGTGTCTACTGAAGAGATGGAACCAGTCCAAGAAAGGGAGGATACACAATTTGCTGAAGTGTGCTACATGAGCAATGGGCAAGGAGGTTACAACAAAGGCTACTATAATTACAAGTCCAACTCAGCCATGTCATACCGAAACACTGATGTTGCTAACCCTCAGGACCAGGTCTATCTTCAACAACAGCAAGCTCGATCGAGTCAAGCCCAACAACATGGGTATGGTCCTAAAAACAACTACCAAGGCCCTCAAGGGACTTTTCCTAGTCAGAAATTGCTTCAGGGGCAAGCTGATGGTGTAGTGGACACAAGCAAAAAGTTAGCTGAAATCAACTGAAAGATTGAGAATCTCAACACAAGAGTTTACTCTCTTGAGAATCATGCTTCTTCTGTTTCTGCTACTACAAAGCAAAGACATCTACCTGGTAAGGCCATTCAGAACCGCAAGGAACAGTGCAAGGTCATCTTCACTCAAGAAGGTCTTGATGAAGAAGAGGATCAAGAGAGAGTCATGGAAGAGTTTTGTTTGTTGTTGCATGACGAGGAGATTGTTGTTGATGAGGCTCCTGAGTCCAGTTTGATCAAGTTGAGGTGCAAGTACCTACTGTAGCCTTTCAAACTTCACCAGTTGAGCTCGCAGAACAAGCTCGATCGGCAGCTCGATCGAGTCGAAATTTAGCTCGATCGAGTCAGACACCTTCTGTCCTCAAGCTGATTTTGCTTGATCCTTACCAGCCAGTTGATACATCATCAGGCCGCCTACTCATTCAAAGCCATAAGTAAGTGATTCACAAGTTCAGAAGAGACCTCAGTGAGATTGGAGTTGAGTTACCTACTATGGAGAGCATGAGTGAGGCCTTTGAGCAAATGAAGTTGTTCAAGATGTTCTAGCTCACAAGGAAAAGGTTTCTGAGCTTATGGAGATGTCTACCCACCAAATAAACCTGCTTACCTCACCTACTTTCTTACCAAAGGTGAAGGATCAAGGGAAATTCACTCTCCCTTGCACACTTGGGCATATTGAGCTTGACAATGCCTTGGTGGATTCTGGTGCAAGCATCAACCTCATTTCTCTCACAATGGCAGAAACGATTGGCATTGTGATGCGGCATCTATGGGATGAGTACAAGTAATAATTCCCTAAGACAACTAGTGTTGCAAGTGCACAACATATAATTGTAGTATTTAGGGGTCGAACCACAAGGGATTGGATTTCACACATTACATAATCATAGAGTTTAAATGATCTAAGCTAAATCAAAAGATGCAAGGGTTTGTGTTTGTTGAGAACACGCAAAAGAAATAACAATGCAATTCTATACAAGCAACATTATTGAACTATTGAAAACTCTTTTGAAAACATGAGCCAAGTCGATTGAAAAGTTTGTTAAAATCCGATTCTTTTGAACTCAAAACACTAAGGAAGGATTATTCCACTTTCGTGGTTCCAATCCCCTATGTCTCTTAAACCAATGGGCTCAGCTTTCGTTGGTCATTGTAGAGTGAGACATGCATTACATCCAAGTAATGATTGTTCACAAAACTCTTTAGGTCTACTTTCGTAGCCTAAAACGATTTGCCCATCAAATACTATATCCGGAGATATAACAAGCTTTTGGAGAGTATATCAACCTAAAATCAAGTCACTAGTTAGCTACTCTAGCAACAGGCATTAAGCATAAATAAAGATGGAGAACCATAGGGTTTCCCCTTTTAACAATCGATTTTCGATGGCCATTATATCACGTCCTCATTGGAAGGATCCATAATTCAACAATGAGTCTTAGATAGTAGATGAAGTCTCATGAATCCTTAGAGAGAGAGGCGGCGGAATATGAGCTAAACGCCTCACCTCTTAGGGAGAAATCTCTACTTCTAGACTATATAAATTGAAACATGCAAGCTATATACAAATGCAAAAGAAGAAAAGAAAGAAGAAGGAGACCACCTAAGTGGCTCCGAACTTTATTGAATAAGTGTTTCTTGTTATGCGGCTGGTGATTCTTATTACAAGAGGCTAAAAGCAAGTATATATAGGTAGAGAGCGGGTCTAGGTCGGCAAAGTTGAGCGCGCGCAGAAGAGGAAAGTTTCCATTTCTCTTTAGCCGCTTGAGCTTGCTCTCCAAGTTCTTGAATGGGCCGCGTTCAGGCCAATGGAAGCTTCTGGATTGAGTTATGCTAGTGTCAAGACGAGCCAAGGCCTTGGGCGCGGTGGCTCGGGCCTCTTGATCCATCAAAGTCTCCATGGGCTCTACTTAGGCGCTCGTCGGACATGTCTTGGTAGAAAATAAGTTCCGGTCCAACGAGTGATCCAAATGACCTCTTTCCACTTCGCCGCGGGTCACGACTCAAATATCTATCTTTCCATATAAGAATCATGACTTTTGGACGTCGGGAAGGCATGAATATGCGGTCGTACTTCGGATGCTCCGGTTTGGTCTTTAGCGAGAAATGTAGATTTTGGTGCTCTAGACTTGGGAACTTGGTGATTTGACTCTTTTTGCTCCATTTTGGACTCTTCTTTGCTATTTTGACCTGAATGATGCTCAAAACCAGAATATACAAGAAAACTACCTCTTGGGCTTAAAAACCACATTATTTGTATTGAAAACATAGTGAAAACCTTGGATAAAAACATGAAAGATATGGATATATCACATTGCTGGAGCATTGCAGCGCCCTACTACTTCAATCATTTTGGAGATGCAACTTCAAAGTCTCCTCTTGGTGTGTTCAAGAACTATCACTTGAAAATAGGAGAATGCATCATCCAAACTGATCTTACTGTCATGGAGATGGAAGAAGAGAAGGATCTACCTCTGCTATTGGGAACCCCATTCCTTAGCACAGTTGGCGCTTCAATAGACTTTCACAAGCAAGAAGTGATTCTTCACAAGGTGAATAGTTTGGTGTCTATCGCTTGCAGCCTAGAGGTTCATACTTTTGTGCCACAATTGAAAGCAAATCTCAGTTCCAAGTCCTGAAGTTACAAAGGTTGTGAAGGAAGGGTTGACAAAGAACCAAGAGTTGTGAGAGATAAGGTTGAGAAGGACAAAGAGTTGAAAGGAACAAGGATTGAGAAGCCACGCCTTGAGAGGGCTAGAGTTGAGAGACCACGTTCTGAGAGACCACGAGCTGATAGGCTTGTTCAAGCACCTTGTGTGCTTGATGAAGGAAAGCCTCCAAGCTTTGTTTGATGAGCCACTAGGAAGCACTCAAAAGGAAGGGGAGGATGCAGCCTCAAAGGCACTTGTGGGAGAGAAAAGAAAGAACCCATCAGCTCAGGTTTCCTCAACAAGCCATCTCAGCTCACTATGACCTTGTTCCCCACCAAATTTGAAAATGGGAAGATTGAGTACAAGATAAGGTACAAGGGGAGATCAAGACCATTCTCTAGAGCCAAAGGCCTTGGTCACTTCAGAGCAGTCCAGGGATCCAACCAAGCTAAAGGAGCTTATGTCTCAAGTCCTCACTATCACCCTTGATGGTGGGACTAGCTCAACCAATGCCTAAGAAGGTAAAGGTCAAGCTATGGGACCTTAAACAAGCTCACTTGGGAGGAAGTCCCATGACTATCCTTGTACATACTTTTTATGCAATTTCTATCTAGTTTTGTGTCTTAACCTTTCAAGAAGTTAAGTTTAGGTGACAAAGAAGCCAGCTCGACCGACAGCTCGATCGAGCTAGAAACAAGGGTAACTCGATCGAGTTCCACAACTCGACCAAGGTAAGTTTTTGAATTTCAAATTTCTAACCGTTTCCTTGGTCAAGGGGGTGGGTCCCACATGTAAATTTTGGTCCCCCACTTCCTAAAATCGATCAGAAATCCCCTAGCTTTTGTCCCCTCTTTAATTCATCTTTTAATCCCAACCACACATCTCAAACACTCCCTCTTCCCCATAACTCGATCGCACAACCCCTCTCTCTTCCCACACTCAAAATTTCTGAAAATCATCCATTTCTCTCATCTCTCTAAGAAAAATCCGAAAATCTCTC